TTATTGATAATTTTTAACATAATATTTGATTAATTCTTTTGTAGTCATAAAACACCTTTAAATAACAAGAACAAAATGACCCAGACATCAGCAAGGTTGAGAGTTAATAATGCTTGTAAGAAGTTATTAATGTGAGTTATTGTTTAGCAGCAAAAGCATGTTATTATTATTAGTGTTTATGATTATTGTTATTATTGATTTGTTATGTTAAGGCCCATTCTTTGTAATTTGTTTTAGTAATTAATGTTTAATGATCACAGACTCACAGTTGAATCTCTCTCTCTCTCTTTCTCAGGAAGTTGTTTTTATTATTATTATCGTGATTCTTTTGTTTCTTGTTTACCTTTTACTCTATTTTTATCGGTGTTTGTTTTGTATTCCCTGTACGTCTTATTATGTAACCTGCTTAATAAAATTGTTTGTCTTTAGTCTGGGTTTTTCGCCTCCTAATTATAAACTGGTCCTTTCACATGGTTAGGTCAGGTTAGGTTAATCATAAGGTAAAACATACTGTGGGCTAATCTTCATATGATCGTGGATGCTGTGCTGTGCCGGCATACCACCATGATGCTGTTGTCTTCCTCCTCTTATCTCATGTTTGTGTCAACTTATACTAACTGTGTAGTGCCATGTACTGCTTTTCCTTGTTCTTCAGCCACGCGCATTATTAAATTTGTTTTTGTATTTAGCGCTATTAGCCACAAATGAAATGTTGAAAGTATACCATATTTTTCTTATGGCTTGTTTTACACTGTAGCCTTTGTTTTTCTTGTCCTGCATTTAAGGCATTTTAGCAATTTTCAACCATAATCTTGACGTGCATGGGCACATCAAGTTACACACACAGTGGGGGAAGAAGACTGCAGCTAAGGGAATGAAGATATTCAGCCTTAAGCAAAGGTAATTTTTTTAGTATTTTCAAGATTTCTTTACCATGAATGTTGTATATTAGCCTACATTAAAAACACAATGCAATACAGTACACCGATACTGGTATATATATATATATATATATATATATATATATATATATATATATATATATATATATATATATATATATATATATATATATATATATTAATGTTATGCAAAATATGCAAAATTAATTGTCACGGCTGCTTCAAGGTTACATAGCGCCAAAGTGTGTGCCGGGGGGGGGCCAGATGTCTTCTGGAGCGTCCTCTTTATTTGAATGTTCAGATATGGCAACCTAACTAACGTATTTTACGAAGACTAGATTTTATCGAGTCTTACGGCCGAGTTCAACCATATAAACATTCACAACAACCACCATAACAACCAACCATCACAACCACACCAACAACCAACTCAACACTCACCAGCCATCACAACCACACCAACAACCATCACAACCACACCAACAATCATCACAACCACGCCAACAACCAACACAACAATCACCAACCATCACAACCACAACAAAAACCATCACAACCACACCAACAACCAACTCAACACTCACCAGCCATCACAACCACACCAACAACCATCACAACCACACCAACAACCATCACAACCACGCCAACAACCAACACAACAATCACCAACCATCACAACCACAACAACAACCAACACCAGGGTTGCCAGCTGTACGACAAGCTTCACGGCCAACTTCACGCCATCTTACGGCCACATCGGCCAAAATTCGGCCAAAACTTTTTACTTTTACTTTTACTTTTATCCTCTTCGCCACTGATCGGCTTGTTAGCCGCTTGGGCGATCGGTCACGTCTCTTTTCATTTATATTCTTCACCAAAAGATCGGCTCGCTAGCCGCCCGGGCGATCGGTCACGTCTCTGTCACGCACTGTTGGCAAATACTGGGCATGCACCGGCTCCTGAATGTACCTGAACCCGCTCCAGTGTTGTGAAGTCTTCTCTTGAAAGAGCTCACACTCGGTGCCGTCACAACACTCTCTGGTAGATTGTTCCAAGAGTTTACAACTCTCACTCCGAAAAAGTTTGCCCTCACGGTTTTCTGGACCTGCGGCTTCTTCAATCTTGAGCTGTGACCCCTTGTGGGGCGAGCGTCCGCCAGCTCCAAGTAAGGACACTCAACTGAGTAGTGCCCCTGAGATGCTTATACACCTCAACTAGGTCCCCCTTGCCCGTCTGTAGTATAAGCTAGGCAAGTTCAGGCGCTCCAATCTCTCAGGGTAGCTGAGGTGCCGAAGTGCAGGCACCAGTCTGGTGGCCCTCCTTTGAACATTTTCAACCAACTGACAGTCCCTAGCATATCGCGGGGACCAGATGGGGTGACAGTACTCCAGATGGGGAAGCACTTCACTCCTGAAGATCGTTACGAGGGACAGACCGTCTAGATATCTGAACGACCTTCTTATAAGACCCAATAATTTATTTGCCTGATTTACCTTCTTCTCACAATGGCCCGAGAACTTCAGCTCATTGTCAACATACACACCTAGGTCCTTCTCACACACAGTCTCAACTAGTGCATTTTCTTCATCCCGTTGGGACATATGATACGCCTCCTTACCGTTGTCTTTAAAAACCTACATGCTCTCCAAATTAAACTTAGAAACCTTTAGAAACAACAAAGTAAACACAAAACGTTGAAATATTTCTAAATAAATCAATTTAACAATAATAATAGGCATAAGGTAAAATAACTCGCCTCAATCTTGTTACAGGAACATCGTTATGTCAACTTCTTCTTGTGCGCTTCGTGCAGTCTGTTGTGAGTGTGAAGTTGATGCAACACCAATTCTACCACCATACGAATAGAGAATATCAGACTTGAAGTTCGTTATCATTCGACCCGTTATACGCATATCCTTACAACAGATTGAATTCTCGAAGAGATGCGCTCGGATTCTGAAAATTGCATCTAGAAGATTGATTTGCATTCTGTTTCTTGGTTTTGTTTTGATTGCAGTTACCAGAGAAAATATTCGTTCAACAATAGCATTGCTTGCTGGTGTGACTAGGCAATTAAGTGCATAAGCTGCCAATTCCTTGAAGTTTTCATGATGATAGACACCAAGCCAAAATTTGGTTGTGTCATCTGGAATTTCATTGTTTTCAAACACATTTTCTAGTCTCCAATCTGTTACAGTAATTTTCCGATATTGTTGTTCTATTTCATCTGAATTATTTTTAGCTAAATGCAACATAGGTAAATCTGAAAAATCACCTTTAGCGGTTTGGTTTAATACCTTCGAAGGATTAAGTAATGAAAGATTTTTGAATGCTTCAGCTGCATTGCACAATCTGGAACCCACTTGATCGATGGCCTCAACAATAAATATACGGCATCTTCTTTTAACATCAAGGACTTTGCTTTCTTCTTCTTTAACTTGTTGTCTCTCCTTGAACTCCTTTAGATGACTATTAACTTCTTGCTGAAATTTGGCTCCAAAATCAATTTTTTCAATGCCTTTGTCTGTACCATCATTATTGTAAATTCTATTGCAAAGAGTTTTTCTGAGGAACTCTAATTCATTAGATAGTTTATGTGGATCCATGTTAGTGGATTGAAACATTGAATTGACAGCTTCAAAATCTTTAACAATAGGTGTAGCAAACACAAAATATAAATAACTGACTTTATCATAAATGTTACGAGTTGGGGATTTAGAATATAGTTAAAAGTCTACCCAGATCCCAACAGGCAACAAAAAACAAAAACAAAGACAATCTGACTATAAAAGGGTAGACAAAGGATGCGAGTTTTTGTTGTGTATAATAAAGTACCATAAATTCCTTAACAAAATATTCTGCTTTCTATAATTTACCCTTAACCATACTTAACCTAAACATTAACAGTATATACATATTTAGGCCTATACAACATTCTAAAGCATGTGGAGGTGGGGAGGCAATATAAGATTACAAATACTTAAGTGCGGAGCTGAGATGGCTGACGAGTAAGGCTGAGTATTGTAGAAGACGGTAGGTAGTCACTGTGCCGTAGGTTTCCAGGATAGGTGATCCTGTGGTCACTTCCCAGAGTGAACTGACCTCTCATCGAACTATAGCTGATGAGGAAGACTTTGAGGAGGTGACGCAACAACCAGGATATGGAGAAGGGAAACCCCGGAGTGGTAACTAAGACGAGTCATACTCGTGTTTCGTCCCTAGATGGCGTTGCTCGTGGTGCTGGGTAGGTAGATCAGGACAATAGATGGCGTGGTTCGTAGTGCTGGGTAGGTAGATCATGACAATTGGTGGCGGGGTTCGTAACATAAAGCATTTCTTTTAATAATCTGGCTTTGAACTTTGTATCTGTTCGACCAGTATTTTCTGATGTTGCAAAATATGCTTTAAGTTCTTGCCAATTTACAAGAATATTGAACATTACTTTACCTTTAACAAGCCACCTAGTTTTAGAATCCTTCTGAAATGGTAATGGTGCTTGGTAATTACATTCAGTTTCGGACTGTGGATTCAATGTATCAAATACAGATTTGTAATCTTCTCTACGTAAGTTACTATTTGAGAACCAATGTGGTATCTCAGTTATGAGGAAGCCAAGGCTGGATGGAAGTTTTTCGAAAGCATGCTGGATACATAATGCTAAGGAATGACAAACGCACTTCATTTGCACACAGTTTGGTGCTATTTCACTTATTCTAGTCCACATAGAATTTTTACATCCGACCATAGTAACTGCACCATCGCTTGCAAATCCAATGCAATTTTCAAATTCCATATCGTATTCACACAACTTAATCTTCAATCCATCAAAAAGAGATTGCGCAGTGTTGTAAACGCGTTTAGTACGTACTTAAAAAAATGGCCAAATTTTGAATATGGCCAAATCGAAATTTTGGTGGCCAAATACCTTCCAAAAAGGCCAAATATCTCATATTTTGCCATAACAAGGCCAATCTGGCAACCTTGGGGAGAAATCCACTACAACGTCACCAATGCACTGTTACCAACAGTATATCCTGTGCTAATATTATCACTTATATATCTCCTTGTCGTAAGAACTATAATAAACTGTGTAAAAGTTGCCAGGTTGGGTGTTTTACAGATTTCACTCCGTTTCTCGGGAAGCCCGTTTATAGTCGACATTTTAGTGCAGTTCTGTTGAGTGAGAGGGTGATGGCGCTCCATAACCTGGTGCAGTACGCAACTCTCCCAGTTAAACTCGTTGGCTCGTTTGTGTTAAATACTTTCATTACCGTCTATGGAAACATCTTCAAAATTAAATGGCATCGGAAATTCCTAGAGACTCTTGAACTACATGATGGCGACAAGTACATGAAATGTGTGAAGGAGAACCATGTTGAGCTGAGGTATTTCTGGCAGAGGCTGAAGGAGATGTGGTGGAGGTGAGTGTAGGGGGGGTGCGGTCCGACTAATACAGGTTGACAATCCTTTATCCGAAATCCTTGGGGCCAGAGGCATTTCGATTTTCGGGGCCTGGGGTCTAAAATATAATAAAAATTATAATAATAATAATAATAATAATAATAATAATAATAATAATAATAATAATAATAATAATAATAATAATAATTATTCATAGGTCTAGGTCGTGTTTCTCACTTTTGATCTTTTTTCATTCTTGTATTTCTTTACTGTATTATTATTTTATTATTACAGTATTATTGTTATTATTATTATTATTAATTTTTTATTATATTTTATTATTATTATTATTATTATTATTATTATTATTATTATTATTATTATTGTAATCATTATTATTTTATTTTGGTGTATAATTATTAAAAATTTTATTTACTATGAATAATTATTATTATTATAATTATTATTACTATTACATTTTTGCCCCCCAGGCCCTGATGTGGGTCAGTGATCTGTGCCTGGCTGGGCTAATAATCCCTGTTAAAAAAAAAAGCCCCACAAAAAACTTTCGGTTTTTAGAGCTTTTCGGTTTTCGGAATTTCGGATAAAGGGTTGTCAACCTGTACCCAAATGTAGCCAAATATAGCCGGAATGAAGTCAAATAATGGTCCTAGATGACTACATTTGGGTACATTTGGGTAATTCCTCGCTCCGTCGGTACATGCACGCGATCTATTAACTCAGATTAAAGTAAGTTTTCCAATTTTTTATGACTTTCTGACACCAAATACTAGTCGAGAAGTGATTGGCAGTCCGATTTATTCATCTAGGACCATTATTTGACTTCATTCCGGCTATATTTGGCTACATTTGGGTACATTTGGGTAATTAGTCGGACCGCCGTATCACAGAGAGAGCGGGATTTCTTAGTTTATTTGATTGGAGAGAAGAGAATATTGAAAAATAAAAGTACTTGTGGGAAGCTTGTTGCACTAAAGAAACAAGTATGGATACGCATTACAAAAGTTTCAATGCTGAGGGATATGGACCTCGGCGATCAGTAGAACAGCTGAAGTGGATGTGTACCCATCAATCAATTTCATTGATGAGGACCACAATTACTTTGCTGAAAGCATGCCTTCTACAAATCCAGGGCAAGATTTGTGCTTCACAAATCCTGTACCAGAGCGTGCCTCCAGCAGAGACGATGACCAAAATTTACAACCTAGCCCCTCAACCTCCTCCCAGAAAAATAAAAAGAAAACGTCATTATTTGATGAAAAACGGTATAACCGACCAAACAGGAAAAATATAACCATTGAAGAGGAAGAAAATAATAAACTATTTTGGAGCACACGGCAGCAATTGTTAGATAAACAATTGGAAGAACAATGATCAACATTCAACTTGCAAATAATCAAAAGTTGCATTCAGATTTGGAGATTCAGCTTGTCAAAATAAAATTCAAGTTGAACAAAAGAAATTAGAAATGATGGAAAAAATTCTGTACAGTACAGTATAGTATAGTATAAAATTAATTTTGTATTGGGTGTTATCTCAGTCACCCTTGGTGCTGTTTAAGGGTTAATAATGCAATCAGTTCACAAACAACAAAAACGGTGTAATTCACTTCATAACTACAGCTGTATTGTGATTTTCTACCTAACTATACATTATTTTAATTTACATAAAATTTTTTTTTACTAAATTAGTTACTACCCAACTTTAATTTATTTTACATATTATATTTTATTATGTTCCTAATTATAATTTATTTTAGTACTGTACTTAAGATTATGTATTTAATACCTACCTATAAATTAATTTAGTATTTTAAATTAAGTAATTAAAACCTAACTATAATTTAATTTAGTAATTAAACTTATTTCTGTATGTACTACAGTAACTAACTCGAATTTAATTTACTTAAAAGTATGTATTTACTACCTTACTATAATTTAAATTAATATTTCATATTAAGTATTTAATACCTAACTATTATTTAATTTAATAATTAAAATTATTTCCATATGTACTTCAATAACTAACTATAATTTAATTAGTACTTAATAGTCTGTATTTACTACCTAACTATAATTTAATTTATTTCAAAATAAGTATTTAACACCTAACTATAATTTAATTTATAATTTAAATTTATTTCCGTACATACTACAGTAACTAAATAGAAATTAATTTAATAATTAATAATTAAACGATTATCCTTTATTCTCTTTGTATTCAAATGATTAAAAAACATACAATAAGTCGAAAAAGTCCTCTCAGTCAGTCGGTTAGTTAGAAATGATATTCATTAAGCTGTCTGGCACAACTGATATCCCTCCCTGACTACCACAGCAACCTGCAGGAGGTGAGGATGGTGGCGCAAGCGGAGGGCGAGGCGCCGAACCCTCCTGTGGTGCCCTTGAGTGACGTGACGATGAAATTCCCACTGCTGGACCTGGCCAGGGTAGGGAGGCCACTCGTCCTCAACTTCGGCTCCTGTACCTGACCCCCTTTTATGGCCAACCTCCAGAAGTTCCATGAGGTGTGTGTGTGTGTGTGTGTTTGTGTTTATGTGTTTTACGATTTATTGAAGAGTTGCTTGTGGTTAAACAGTTCCACGAGATAAGCATAAAAATTACAGAGGTTCTTGAGTAAGGTATGTCATTTGTGACCCTGTACACGAGAATAAAACCTGATAAATGCGTCAAAATCTGTATCGATGATTGAAGTAGTGAGTGGGTGAGTGACGGAGTGAGTGAGTGAGTGGATGGGTGAGTGAGGGAGGGAGTAGTTTGTGATTGTTATTCATACGGGTGACTGAAGTAGGAGAGGATTGACAATAGACTGGTTGGTTTCAGCTGTGTGCGAAGTACAAGGAGGTGGCCGACTTTGTGTTGGTCTATATCAGTGAGGCTCACCCCACTGATGGCTGGACCATCTCTGGCAGCATCTTCCAGCTCCCCTCTCACAGGTAGGTATTCTCTCTTTCATAACCTACTCCTCCCACAGGTAGGTCTTCTCTCCTCCCTAAACTCCTCCTCCCATAGGTAGTTCCTCTCCTCTCCCTCCCATGTCCTGTGGCCATGACAGACAGCCATTGTTGGCATAATTCAAGTGAAACGCTTGTCTGGTGTAGCTCATTCTGGTACTGTTGCTATGGTAGGAGTTTAAGTCGTTTGTATAAAGTTTTCTCTCCAACAGGGTCCCAAGAGTCTAGTTTTTGCAATGATAAGAGGAATGTGACCTTACTTTTATATCCACACAATGCCTCACTCTTCAGTGCCTGTGATAGAGATGTCCTCTTGAGCAAGACGGAGAACCAAGTTGACCTCAAACCGGTGACAAATGACATCCTAAAACCTTAAGTGTGTAAAGTCCTACGAGGATACTGTTAATGTCTTACAAGTAATGTGCTGGAGGCCTACAGCTGTTATGGTAATTTCCTATAATGTGACCCACAATTTCTTCACAATTTCTTCAGTTTTTATAATAAAGTCATACTGGTGTGTTCCTAGTGTGTTTAGCCTGGTGAGTTTGTGTCATTAAAATATTTCCCAAGTTTCGTTTTGGATCCTAACATACTGTTGTGTTAAGATCCTTTAAGTGTTCTATGAGTCTTACCTACCTTGAACGTAGTCCGACAAGTGCTGTGATGCTTTCCACACCACAGGACACTGGAGGATCGAACAGCGGCGGCAGGAATGATGGTCGCGGCAGAGCACTTGGAGTGCCCGGTGGTGATGGACAGCCTGGAGGATCTGGCCAGCAGGGCTTACGGCGCCCTTCCGGAGAGGCTCTACATCGTGCTGGACGGCATCATCGTCTACAAGGGAGGTCCTGGTCCCTGGGGGTACAAGGTGAGTTAGTATCCACCCTGTAGAATGTCAGTCTCTCTACAAGGTCCATAAAAAAGAAATGTGAAATAAAGGATGTGAAGATTATGAAGTTAGACTTAATGTACCATACATATACATACAGTAGGGGGGGGGGGGGATTGATAACCTGCCATGTGTGTTGCATCTGGGGAAGGTCATGGAATGAATTTTATTTAAGTTTAAAAGTCTAATGTACAGTAATGCATAATATTTAAAGTGGAAAAAGATCCTAAGAAATGCATAAAATAAATGGAAAATAGCAAGTTTTTTACCCAAGGTGAGATTTTTCTTTTTCTTTTTTTATTATTGAATTTTTGTAGTGTTATGGGACATACTTGTCTAGGGATTATTATAACATACCACAACATGAAAACACAAGGGAAGATAAACAGAGAACGGGAATATTCATAATACTGTACACTAGAAACTGCTATAATATATTAAGTATTAAACATATTTACACTATATACACAGAAAGGTGAAAATGAAAGTACAGTACATCAACTACAACCGAGAAACAACACCAGGGACAAAAAGACAAGAACCTCTAATCCTACAATTAGCATATGGAATAAGTGTTACCTATCACAGTATACATTATAATTATAATCCTATTCCATATACACATAGTAAACTTAGCTGTGAGGTGACCACTCGGTAGCACAAACAAAACCCTCAGAGACACCGGATACTCGTACACAGCGCAGGTAAGAGCCGGTCCGAACAACAGCGCATCAAGAAGCCAGGGGAGTGGGTTAGTCACATCTACCAGTAGACCTACCAATTAACCTCACAGAGTTGCCAGGTTGTTTATTACTCACTACAAGGATATAAACATGGACACAAATAATACATAATTTACAATATACTATATAACCTACAACAATACATATCACAAACAAACATAATACAAACTTAACACATGTAAGATGAAAAAGAATAAACATTATGAATAAAGCTAGGATTCCATTCACGCGTTAGTGCCAAAAATAGATCACATTGAAATGCACACGGTTGTTTCCATTGGCACGGTTGTGTTAGCCTAGTGTTATGCGTTTGCAGTACATGCCAATCACTCCCTGTAGCGATTGAAAATGCAAACGCATGGAAATGGACGTGGGAATCCCACCTGTGATGTCACTGTCCCTGTGTTTGCTCTCCTCACCCAGCGAAATGCCTCGAGAAAAAAAAAAGTTTTCTATCTGGGAGATTGAGAAGTTGATTTCACTCAGAATATATCCCAACCAAGCAAGTGTTATTTCATAACTAATTAAGCATCAATCTTTATATACCATTTTACGAGATTCATTCATTTTTTACACAACTGTTCTAAAATGAAGGCTCATGGTCTCAATAAAAGGTTCACTGAAATACTAAATTTTGTCACTTAATATTTATCTACGGTTCCTATTACAGTATTTCCGATTTATATGCATGACTCACCTTATACATATTGCAAGTCGCTGACTTGGGCAAATGACTTCTCTGTTCCTTCAGTGTTTCAGTAAATTTTTGTCAACCAAGGAAAGAACATGTGCAAACTGTTGTCTGCTCAGACGAAAATATTCTTTGGATTTTCTTCATCCAAGCCGAGGTCTTTTACCAGAGTACTGTAGGCTCCATATTTAGTCCAGTTCAGCAGCAATCTATGAACCCACCACTTATGTTTCCTTGTCTGTTTTTCCTTTGAATTATGCATGATCTTATACAAACCCAGGATATTTAATAGCAAATCATCCTGTTCATATAAATACAGTAGTGACGTAGTTTCGATGCACTAGGTGCCATCTTTTGTCCTGTTCTCGTTAGAAAGACAGCTGCATGCATATGGAAACAGGAGTGTTCGTTTTTCAGGTCAATTTAAAGCAAACGCATTGTAAAGGTACACCGCAAACGCACTGCAAACACAACTATGGAATCCTAGCTAAACTCGTTCATTGAATGAGCCGACTACCTAGTTCCCATCACATTAAGCAAGAGAGCATGATTGCATAGGTGAATTTTTGTAGGCAAATTTTTCCATGGCAGACATGATAAACAAAACAATCATATTCCTCGTCAATTTGTTTATAATACACTGGGGTTTTTCTCCCCACAGCTGAGGGAAACTGAGTCATGGCTGAAGGCTTTTAAGGAGAATCAAGCTGTGTGTTGAAGAGTCCTGCAAGTGTTGATGTTGAGAATCCTGCAAGTGTTTTATCAAAGTCCTACAACAACTCTACTTGCCTCGAGGCATTGCCCAGACCAAAGACTCAACATATCAACCTGATGATGGGTTTGTCACAAAGGTGCTGGTTTTCACCAAGTCAGACCCGGAAGATATAAGTTGGTCTAGGAAGAGGCTTTGGTCAGAGTAACGCCATTGTAGGTGTTCTGGGGTCAACACTTCACTAGTGCGTTTACAGGGGCTCGTCATATAAACACTCCACAAATCATTATCTTTGAGGTATTTGTTTTAATACTGTTTTAATTTCATTCCATAGTATGTTTGCTATTGCTAGTTTCCATGTGTTCAATGTAAACAAACACAGGCCTTACTGCATAAAACCTGACGAGCCCGTTAATGCACTATCCCCTTTCTATGCTAACCTGACCCGTAAGCCACACCCTTCATCTATAGCGACAAATAGCTGATTGGTTCCCCTGAGCATTTTACCTCCCCCCAGACTGCACATATATAAGTGCTTATTTATATCAACCCTTCATGATAACTATTTAAAATTTTCTAACATCCTCTCTGAAGTGCTACTGCCTTGAAATCATTTGCTTACCAATTGTGAACACATTTAGTTTGAATTTTCTATGAACCAATCAGTATAGAAGAGGGGCATGGCTTATGGGGACTGTACATAAGAAATACTTATTTTACAGAGGGAGAGAGATCAACTTTGGGATAGTTAGAACAGAAATAATTCTTAATTGTCTTAAACATAATGATAATGAAATTTATAATGATAATTATTTACTAAACATAATGCATTCTTTATTAGAAACATAATACCTAATTTGTAGTATACTTTTGAGTTGTTAATAAAAATTAATTAATGAGTTTTTATCTTATTTTATGTACAGTAAGGATAACATTTTTTTTTCGGGGATTAGCCCACCCGGGGACAGGTCACTGACCCACATCGAGGCCTGGGGGACGAAAATGTAATAACAACAATGATAATGATAATAATAATAATAATAATAATAATAATAATAATAATAATAATAATAATAATAAAGAACCAAAAAGAAATGCAAAAATGAAAAGAAAAAATCAAACGTGATTAACAATATATGTATGTTGTGTTGTGAATAGTAAGAGAAACAATTGAGACCCTGTAATTGTGTGTGCAGGAGGCAGAAGTCAGATCAGCAACCTGGGACTTGGTCACAATTTTCGTGATGCCATATGACAGCAGGGTCCACCATTAGACAACACATTATGCTTCCAATATCTTCCCAGGCGGTAGTACCTCCCTGTTTGGTAGCTGCTTACTACCTACTACCTGTTTTCTACTACCACTAAACAGTTCTACTTCAATTAACAAATCCCTTAATTATTATTTTCTGATTAAACATGTTTTTGCCTTTATTAATTCTAATTATTGCAGATTTTATCTAATAATAAAATTTCAACCTATTCTTAGCTTACAGATGACATCAACAGACCCAGCATTGCATTGGAATTTTTCACATCAACTGCAGGGACAGTGGCCAACTTTAGTGGCTGTTTCACGTTCCTTTCATTTGAGTTTTTGCACATATGGGGGCAGATCAAGGAATCCTTACCTGCTGTTTAAAGTAAAGTACAGTACTGTATTGTATAACCATTTTCAGAGTTCAGGATTGTGGAAAAAGTTCGAGAAAAAAATATATACTGTATGTAACCAATATTAAAGGATTGAAAAGAAACTTCCACTCTACTAAAGAAGTACATTTATTATTGTAATCATCATTACATTTATATACCATCAGGAATGCTACAAATTCCAAGACAGGTTATCCCAAGTTAGGAAAATAAATAGCCACTCTACACCATATCCAATTTTGGTATACCTATCAATTTCTAATCCTCTAAACATGCATTTAATGGTCTACAAGTATTAAATGATATTGGGTTTATGATACATGATAATGTTTCAGAACCCTCGTATGTAAGCTCTTGTAATTAAACCCATCCATATGTGAACTATCCTGTTGGGGCAATATTTTCCAAAGGATTTAATTATTTTCATTATCAAAGTGGTAATGTATTTTGTACTTTACCATATTTTCACAACTGATTTAAAAATAAAGATTTATTTTTGGTAAACTAAGATAAAAAAACTAAAAATCGGAATCAAAATACAACCCCAACATTATTGAAAAGGTAAGACTAGCTTATAAATACCTCACTGGTAAGATTCTAATGGAAGATATAATGGAGGAATTCTTAGTCTCCAAACCAGGACACCATTAGAGTTTAAGCCCAAGTAAATGCCTCCTATATCTGCAACAGAACTATGAGGACTTTCACCAGTTAGGTTAATTAATGGAACAGTGGGCAAAATATCAGAGCTTAGAGAGAGTTAAGAACATGGGCCAGTCTGGTTATTATGACGGTAAAACATTCAGTATTAATTACACGATAGAGTTTTCCTTCTAGTTCTGATAATTATACCTTGTAAATCATGTACTAATTAAATGTCAATAATGTCTTTCCTTGTGTTTTATAGACCAAATTATATTTTGGATTCTACAAAACGAAAATAAATGATCATGTACTTGCAAGAATGGCTCAAATACTATGAACATATTATATGGTGAGCTCCAATCATTTTATGTATTCTCCTTTTAGAAGTTAAAACGAAAAATAAAATGAAATGTTCACATTTTACTACAGTATTACAGTACTTTAAATATCTCGTTTCAAGATTCTACCTCAAAAGCATCCTGTTTACTTGTGCAATATATTAATCAAAATGGAAACTTCAGTCCCACATATAAATTATAAAAGAATTAAAAAAATATACTGTAATTTTCTTAGTGAATATGACAGTAAAACAACTTTAGGAAATGGTTAACCATATTACAATTTTGTATTAATAACTTACCAGATTTATTCTTGCTGTGCCTTCACAAAAAAAAAAACCCCAGGGCAGATATTTCATCCATCAACAGCAAGTTTTCAAACCGAGGAACAAATCATAAGAATGAAAATATACTCATATCAAAACATTATTACTAGAATCAAACTTCATAGTAATGCTATGGTAAAAATTTGAAGAACAGTATCCCAAGATATTCTTTAAAATGTGCTGTACTCAAAAAATGTATGTACAGTATGCTGCTATTTCTTCACCAGTATCCTCATCTACACCTTTCCCCACATTCCTCATAGGGTGACAAAGGGGCAACACCTGACGCATTCCCCTCAAACATTCTGGTCACTGCCTATTTCCATTCATGTAAATGCTTCACATTCAATATCAATGCTCAAAGCACTTGCTAAAGATTAACTAAATTGGTCTGGCTCACATAAATGAAGCAGTTGCCATGTGCTTCACTAAATGGGTCTCACGTAGGTGAAGCAGTTGCTATATACGGTACTCACACTCTGGTTTTCATAAAAGTGAAGTAGTTGCCACATGCTTACACTAGCTGGCTCTCACATATATGAAGCACTTGCCATATGCTTGCACTAAAAAAACAAGAATGTGAGGAAAGGATGAGGGGTTATCTCACCAAGTTTAAACAAGGTGATGAACAGGAATAAGGAATCCAAGAGCAGGAAATTATAAATTTAAATTTGGAAATTGAGAAATATGGAAATGACAAAGCTTCTTACATACCATCATGCCAATTACAATTTGAAAAGAGTAAAAACAAAGATTACAACGAGCATGAAATATCACTGTTGAAAATCTGAGATTCCCTAAAACCAACATTTTCCTTTGTACACACTCAGGAACACAATAACACAGTGAGACCTAGAAATATGCACCTCAGTCAAGCATGATCACATCATTTGATCCCGGATTCTGAAAAGAGATAAAAAAGAACTAAACACCAACTCACGGATGATAAAAATAAAGTATTTTAGGGATAAAGGTGTAAAAAAAATTATCAACTGAGGATAATAATGGTTACTACTGATATGTATGAAAATAATACTAAAGTGAAGAAGTCTGGGAGTGATACACATCACAAAATAGTGAGGCTCCAGGATTAGATAAAGTAAAATATGGTAAGCTTTAGATTAAATTAAGTGTCACGGGAAGTCTTCTGGATTAAATAAAGTAACACAATAAGGCTTATGGATTAAATCAAGTAACACATGGTAAGGCTTATGGATTAAATAAATATCACAGAAAGGCTTCTGGATTTAATAAATTAAATAAAAAAGCACATGGTAAAGTTCTGGGATTCAATAAAGTAATGAGGTGATGGTAAGGGAAAAGGTGAAAAAATACTCAAGTGTTCTCAAGTAATCTATCTGAACACAGAGAGAGGGGACAGTGTCTTAAAAAGGATGTAGAAAATGTCATGCTAAACACTTGAGAATAAAACTTACAAAAAACAGAACTGATGTAAATAAGCTGTACAAGTGTAAATTCACTAATAAAATGTACTGTACAGGAAGGGAACTACAGGGAAGATAAAAAATATATAAATTCAAGAACAATAAAATATTTGACTTTGACGCCAGTCATCTATTCCTATTGTGTTTAAACTGCCCCCCTGTGTTATGTAACCAAGGCATCCACAATATGATCAATGGATGCTTTATCATCTCCAGCATCATCTACTTAAAAGATGAGAAAAGTTACATTTACACTAAACAAGAAAGTAGAAGTATTACCATGAGTGTATGAAATGTGAGACTGTTAACAAACCTGGGAGTCAGTACTGAATTAGAATGGCCACTAGCTATGATCGTAAGGTCAATAAACAACAGAGATTGAAGTTTTATAGTGGAAGTAATTCAATCAAGGGAAAAGAGTAAGGAACTCTTTAAGTAAGCAAACACAAACCCTTTTACTATTTTTTCTATTACCTTTTCTTACTGTTATTCCTCTTACTTCCTCTTTACCCTTCTTTTCACTCCTTACTCATCTTCCTTTTTTACAACTGAATAAATGTTTTTTTTTTTTGTGGGGGATTACGAAAAAGAGAGTGCAATTATGCTTTCTCCTTTATTCAATGTTGCTAAGACAAGGCAACACTCCCCTACTAGCTTGTGAATGAACAAGATTAAAATGGACTTTTTCACATCTAGTTGACTACCACAGCACCAGGTGTTACCATCATTCTATTGTACTTGATATTTTTTAGTCTGCTGTTAATTATGTCTCCTATATAACCCAGTTATATACCAAATGCTGCTCCCATTACACAGCAGGGTGGTCCATCAACAACTGCCCATCATGTCTTTGGCATTTGTAATTTCTTGTATAGACCCACATGCTAATACCTTACACATACACACACACATACATACCACATACTAACACTTCACACATTTACACTTTTCTTAACAAATCCTCCTTTCTGAATTCTTTCTCATATACAAAAAAGGGAAGCAAAAACACATATTTGGCCTAGGGTTACAAGATCTTTTGGGAATTCAGTTTTATATAAGTTTGTAAGTAATTTTTGGTAAACATAGAGACTTAAGAAAAAGTGTGTTTTGTGGTAATGAGCTGGTGTTCAGTGGAAAGGTATGAGGTATAAAGAAAGTAATTTTACAGATACGATAACAAGTTCATCAATAAGTAAGTGGGCAGGATGAAAATGACAAGAAGAAAACCTTGCATCTGTAAGCAAATGTATGGAGAGTGGGTGGAATATGGTATGGGACAGACTAGAATACTGTAGTTGAAAAAGTGTTTTAATATACACATTATGAGAGGATGGCGAGAGACTTAAAATGAGTTACCGAATGAATTACAAGGAAGACGAAGCAGGGAATATATAAAGCAAGGTGGAATTATAGTAAGGATAAATGAGGATGACATGGCAAAACTAAAGGGGTGTGCAGTAACAAGAATATGCAATTATGATTCAATATCATGAGCCACCCCGCTAGAGGTTGGAAGCAAGGCATTTTGTATTTGGATTATTAATCATTATTTTGCACTTGCTTCACTATTTCACAAGAAAATGCATATTAACATTCTCAACTTCTTCATGAATCCTCGGGTACCTTTCAGGCACACAATTCTTCCACTCTTTAATGAACTAGATATGACCATTTATGTAATACCAATTGTTCTTCAGCATTTCTATCAGTTATTTGCTTTACTCTAAATCCTTGCCATATTTTTTTTTTAAGATTTCTCTTCCCCTTTAAATCTCAACCCCTCAATTAATCATCTGTTTCATTCAGAATGTATATTTGGCATTTCTGAATATCAGATATGCAAGTTAACTAGAATACATTCCTCTACCTCCCACTCCTGTTCCTCAAAATTTCATGACCTCATATATATTACCTTCGCTGTCACTTTTCATATTTGTGTAGCCTTTTCATTAATATTAAATTATTCTTATATCAAACTGTTCTTAGGATACAATGGATAAAATATTCTGGTAATGCTGTATAAGTTAATAACCTGGTGAATGAAAAAGTGGAGAAAATGAGAGTACGCTTAAAAATAATAACTATTTAAACCTGTTCAGGGGGGTTTTGCTGAAGCGGTCTCATTGTGGAGGTTCCAGCATTGCTTGGTCTTCCAACATAATTAGCTGTGGCTGAAGTAACCCCTGTACTGGCTGGCTGACCACGAATCAGTCCTGCAGACATCTGAAAACAGGTATTTAAACTAGATGTACTTCAATTGATGACAAGTAACTGAGAAAGTATCCAGTCTTTCAGTCTCATCTAAACTAAGATTGAGAAAAATACTGTAACAAAGGTTTTAAGTAAAACCTGTGAACCATAACCTACAGTATTGTATGAACTATACCATAGCTGGAATCTGCCTCCAGTATATGAAAATTTGCAAGATGTATACACTCAGTATTATGTGAAATGACCTTAAAATAAAGTTAAAGGTTAAGAACTATTGCATACTCTTTTAGGATAAATACTAAAAGATCACGAACGATGACCACAATATTAATGTACAAGTTCCAAATTTGAAGCAATTTAGTCAGTTTTGTTCACATTTTATAAAGAAAATCAACAAGTAACAACATATTCAATGTACACCCCAACCCCCAGCCATACCGTGAACAAAATATGGGAAGTAAGAAATATGTCAAAGAAACAAGGAATTACTGTAATCAACTTTCAGCTTTCTAGTTCAAAAAGTGCTCGAGATATACAGGTAAGTAAAAAAACAAACAAATGGAGCAACCAATCAGAACATATATCCTCACGACACATGCTTTGCACAGCACCTGGAGATGTAATGGGGGTGGGGGGCAAAAATGGATTTAAAAGGGCCCCTTGAACCATTATGGTATCATTACCAGAGAGGAGCCATGCCAAAGCATTGAAAAGATCTCTGCATTTATAAGATATCTAATGATGCAATTAATAAATAAATGCTCAATAGGTTGTTTAGAATACATACATTCTACACCACATATAAAGAGTTAACACAATAAAAAGGACTCTGGCTGTAACAGTAACCCTTGTTCAGTATGGACACTCATATTTATTTATGAGTTTCATTTTGGCAGGCCATTTCTAGGAATACTGTACATAAAAATACGAAACCTATACTGTAATAATGAATTCCATGGGTTACTTTGCCCACTAATATACAGTATGAAGAAGTTGCCATCTTTCAAATACTTATATGATTAACAACAATGAGATTAATCACTACTAAAGCAAATATAAAACCAAAACTCAACCAAGTTTTATACTTAAAACTCTTCTACAATTAATAAGATTTTAACTTGTCATTAATCGCCAACACATCCAGCTACACTCACCAAATTGGCCATGGACACCTGGTCTCTCTGTGGAGTGATTTGTGTCATGTGGTTAATGACTTGGTTTTCTCGTTGGATGTTTTCTTCCAGCATTCTCAATTGCTGTTCTAACATAGGAAGCATCTCTGGATGATTCCCAAATGGTAAGAGTTTCCTCTGCTCTGGTGCTATCATTGGGTTCTTCAGCTGTTGAGATATCAATACATGTATTAATATCTATGCTGTAATACAAAACTACTATATATTTGCATAAAAAAATCTGGCTGCAGCCAGTACAATAACCTAGCACACACAACAAAATTATTAAATCGGGACAATTAAGGATGTATCAGTCACTGATAGGTGATTTAAGGCAGATTTCTTGGTCCATAGCACACAGCTACTGTATTACTCATCCACCCATTATTCTTCCAGGCTGAGCTCTAACTATAGGCTACTCAAAGGCAGTCAGTAATCCAATTGGAGGAGTTAAATAATCCATTCACAAAAGCCATTAGGCTCCAATTCAATGTTTCATCTTGCAATGTAATGACAATTAGCCTTGACCTCTTAACAGAGGTCCAAAACCAGGAAACATTTTCAAAACTGTTGGATGAAATAAGTATGGAGTACTATTGGGTATGTAAAATGTAATTAAAAGTGACAGGCTTCTACTATGGTGACACACCAAGAAGTTGCTACAACTGTTGCAGGAGTATGATAATATCGGGTTAGATATGTCTGATATCAAAGAAGGGAGTAAAGTTTACAATTTTGGTAAAGTGAATCCCCAAAAATCCACCCAAAGTTTTCCAATTTGAATAATGGGATTATTCTGAGAGAAAATTTAAGAACTCCTTTGATTTTACATTTAACAATTTTACAGAGGGTGATAAAGTAAGAAATATGTGGGTAGTCCAAAATAGCATTCTCTACAGTTTTATAATAATACATCTCGTATCTGTCATGGGAGACATCAGACTAAATAGATCCTTCACTCACATTGTACACCATGCTTTGAACACGTTGGTAGTGGTTGAGATGTATCTTCTGAATCTGTTTTGTTGCTAATACTACACTCTCACACATCTCCTGCTGTGTTAAGTTGGGGTTCTGAAAAAAGACAAATTAGTGTTAATTCAGTACCTTGCAAACAATTACTGTACAGTGGTCCCTCAATTAACAAAATTTTGGTTAACGAATTAGCTCCCATAAGCATTTTCAGTTTCATTACCGAACAAAACTTCTATTAACGACAGCCTTACGAGAAACACGCCTTGTTGTGCGCATCAGCTGATCGGCTAGTCCGCCAATACAGTAATTGGTTCTATGTTTACATTCGTTTCCAGTGGAGTAAATATCAAGAAAGTTGTGCTCTTGAATAGTTTTGCATTTTTTATATTAAAATTATTGGTCATTCTAAAATTTAGTTAACATATTGATAATATACAGTGCAGAAATTATTATGAAACGTGAAGAAGGCATTAGAACCAATGCACTCTGTAAAGAATATGGCATGTCATCATCGACTGCCTCTACAATCAGCTGTTTGATATGTAAACAAAGCTGCCGGGAATAAGACATACACACCTCAAAGTAAGTTAAAATACAGTATTCTATTGTTTTTTTTATTTATTATTGTACAGTACTGTATTTAGTTTATATTTAATGTTTTGTTAATTCTATTACATGTTGACAACCCTTTATCCGAAATTCCGAAAACCGAAAGTTTTTTGTGGGGCTTTTTTTTTTTTTTTTAACAGGGATTAGCCCACCCGGGCACAGATCACTGACCCACATCAGGGCCTGGGGGGCGAAAATATAATAGTAATAATAATTATAATAATAATGATTATTCATAGTAAATAAAAATTTTAATAAAAATACACCAAAATAAAATAATATGATAACATTAATAATAATAATAATAATAATAATAATATATAATAATAAAATTAATAAAAATAACAATAATACAGGAGTACTGTAATAATAAAATAATAATACAGTAAAGAAATACAAGAATGAAAAAAGATCAAAAGTGAGAAACATGACCTAGACCTATGAATAATAATTATTATTATTATTATTATTATTATTATTATTATTATTATTATAATTATAATTTTTATTATATTCACCCCCCCCCAGGCCCTGATGTGGGTCGGTGATCTATACCCGGGCGGGCTAATCCCTGTTAAAAAAAAAAAAAAAAAACCATTCTGAAAACCAAAAAATTCCAAAATCCGAAATTCCTCTGGCCCCAAGGATTTCGGATAAGGGATTGTCAACCTGTACTGGTATACAGTACTTTGTATGTATACTTTTTCTGTGAGTTGAAACCAATTACCCAACATCCCATTGAAATAATAGATTCAGTTAACAACCGACTCTGTGGAACCAATTGTGTTCATTAATCGAGGGACCAGTGTGTGTGTGTGTGTGTATGTATATATATATATATATATATATATATATATATATATATATATATATATATATATATATATATATATATATATATATATATATATATATATATATATATATATGTATGTATGTATGTATATATATATATATATTATATAATGGTTGCCCCTCGTGTAATGAGGATGGCCGGCCCAAGGGTCACCTAGGCTGTGAATTTGTTTAAGGTGTAGAAGCTGTCGCCAACACAACAACCACACCCTAAGTTAATGAGTTGCAAGACCCAGGATCAAGGAATAGTCCAAGAAGACCGGACGGACAACTTGCCAACTGCAGTGGCTAACCATTACCCCGGAATACAATCCACAAATCGATTAACATCCAGGTCCCCAATTACTGCTGGCTAGACAGAGGCAAATTGTGTAAAGAAACTTGCCCTGTTTCACCCTGTCCGAGGATCGAACTCGAGGCGAGAATGCTGACCATTACACACAGTAGAATGTCGAATGTCTTGAGATGGTTTGAAGAAAAAAAATAATGTGACCACTGTATTTTACTTATTTTCATTGTTGAGTGGTGATTTTATCTGTACTTACTGTGTTATATTATATGTATAAATGTTATTTTTTTTTTATCCAACTTGTTAATGTTCTGATATTCATTGTTGGGCAGGTAAAGGCTCTTGTTTTCAAGTCCAACAGGGAAGTGATAATAAGAATATATTTTTACTTAAAGTCTATATGTAAACTTTAGTACAGTAATGGCACAGAAAAGAAATCAGATACAGTAAAACCTCGCTAAGGCGGACTAATTGGGGGGAAGGGTGTTCGGGATAAGAGGTTGTCCACCTTTGAACAAATTTTTCCCAAAAGGCCGCCATTTTAAACAAAAAGCGAGTACAACACCAATGTATCCAAGTTTTATTTAAGAAATATACTGTATGTCTTTTAATCAAAATTAATTTTAAAAAGTAATGTACTACATAAAGTACTGTACACTTACTTTTAATTCACTGATAAGGTCTTAGCTTAACCTTCTCGTCACCCTTATGGATACCAAACACTTTCCTCGGTGGCCATGGTTATTGGTTAATTTTTCAATAATAATGCAAAAAGTATGAAAGCTACTTCAACCTACGGTGAATGTACTAAATATATAAAAACGAAAAATAATGACAAAAAACACCAAAATTACTGTACCGTATTTTATGGTAGGGAGTATTTAGGAAATTTTTTTGTGTATTTTCCTCCTGTAGCTATAGTTTTCTTAAAATAACATATAGTACTGTATACAGTACCAGGAACTGTGAGGAATAAAAAAAAAAAAAAAATACTGTATCGCCAAATCAGTAAATAAAAGCCAAATGAAGGTTCAACACAGCCACCATTTGCATAGTACTGTACTCCGTTTCAACATAGTTTCAAACATCAGTTGGCACGCCAAATCCCTGACACCGCCCCGCCACCCACAACCATCTTCCCCTCCCTCCCTCACTCAGCCAGCTAACTCAAGTGCAAAGAAATGTGTTTGCCCTTAGGACAATTATTTCTTTTATTTTTTCACAATGAGTAAAAATAAATGAAGAAAGTTACGTATATCTACCCAAAAATACGAGTTGAAAAACAACCATAACACCACAGCTTGGCCCAGTAGCCTGGTGGTTACAGTGACGAGTTTAACCTGGCGACAATGCCAGGATTAATCACTACTATATCAGTATACACTAATAATAACAGTAAATACAATGAAATATGGCAGGGAGGGAGGAGATACGACTGCAGACGACACTTTAACTAGTGGTCACTCGCTCCTGTTGCCAGGCGTACGATTGAAATACGTATGAGAGAAATACATATCTTGTAGTCTAATTTGAAAATTGTGACGGGCACAGTGATAAACAAACTATATAAACCATGCATATACCTATGATAACATAGTAAGAAACATTGTATCATAACTGGAGTGAATGAAATAATATTCCCCAAAACAACAATTGGTAACTTTCGGTCACATGTGTCCCACATGCTGACGCCTTGGTCCCTTGAAATTTTGCACACATGTCATCAGAAGCCAAATTTTGTCCTACTTTTTTTTTCATAATCTATAGGAAAATAATTTTGTCCAGCTTAAGCAACATCCGTCTTAGCGGGATCTGCCTTAACGAGGTTTTACTGTATACTTGAAACACACTGCTGTAAGAAAAAAGCATATAAACTCACCTGAGCTTTAATTGTGTTAACAACACCTTCAAAACTAAATGATGAGAGAGAGAGTGATGGCAAATTAGGATTGGTCATCATGGCTGCATTACCCACCACAGGCATCACACTGTTTCTTTGCTGCTGCACCACTGCAGAAGGGAAAAAAAGTCTTAAATGAAGAATAAAGAAATAAAGATTGTTAAAAGTATCAAGAAATACCAGAATGGAACCTACATATTTATGATATAAAGCTGTATAACACATTTCAATGTACTGTACTCCAAAAAACGCTTTCAAGTCACTGACTGGAAACCATATAGCATATCGATGGATGAACAAACAAAAAGTAACACAACATCATTCCTAACTTCCCCATATTCTATGTAGGAGGTGGGAATGAGAATTACTACATTGGTTGCCCTTATGGAACATAACATATAGCGAAGAGGCTAAATTATCAACCCAGTAAAATTAAATTATTCTCTACTCACAGAAGCCCTTCTTTTCATTTTCATAGTCATCCCATGCTGCTTTTCGTTCTTCTTCACTGAGTTCTTCACTTGTTTGGTTTTCCAAAAGTGAGTCGTGCTCGTGATAATTAACTATCCAATCTTTCTGGCGTTTTAGCAATTCCGCCAATAGCCGATCCTAGGGTGGATATACAGTATTATGACAGATAATTATGGCATGCAAAGACACTACTCATATGAAAAGAGCTATTGAAGATTGGTGTAACAGAATGATAATTTAATTAGTTTTATCCAAGAATCACATGAGAAGAGGTTGTGAAAAATTACTTCAGTGTTGAGAACTTGATGAGAGAAGGCTACAAGAAACAATACCATCAGGTAATGACAGCTAACCCAAGCAAGAATGGAGAATGGCCACAAAACAGTGATGATGAAGAGGAAGCAATTGATTATTGACTTACTTACAAGAATATTATGTAAAGCAGATTCCAATACTCTCCAACAAATATCTCAGTCACTTCATACATAAAGAACTACATATGGCTGGTATATGAAATATCCTTGGAAAATTTTACTTGCATTACTTTGTCTGAATGAATGAAAATATATACATGGTACCTATAATAATGATATTTTAACAAAAACATCAAAAGTCTCCAACTTAATAACAAAATCTGAAAGTTGGTGGGAAGGGGTACAACTTACCTCTGGGACAATAGGAGTTTCACGCTCGGTGATGGCAGACGGAGTAAACTCATACAGCTGCGCTAATTCATCCATTTTAAAATAGCGCTTGATCTGATGTTCATCCACAACTCGTAAGGCTGTTGACATTTTTGTTACTTGTCGAGAGTAGATTTTCTCCTCCATGGTCCCCTTTGAATATATTTCACCTTTAATTTCCTTCTTTTTATCATTACTGTACAGTTTATGTTAATTCTACATGAATCCTTTCCTGAGTCCCATAAATTTCAGTTACTGTGAGTCTATATTACATTCATGCATGGTGGATTGAAATATGTGAAGATTTTCATAAGTGTGGACTCTGATTTCTATGTAACTATTTTTTCTTTTTAGTTTAGTTAGTTAATCAACATGCTCCTCGAATTAATAATAATAATGAATAACTTCCAGTTTACAGATAATTCAGCTTATGGATAGTCTCCAGGAATGGAACCCATCCATAACCCAGGGAGTGTCAGTAGTTTGAAATACTGTACACTAAAGTATACATACACAAATATGACAGTGTGAAGACTAATGTTATCAAAGTAAATACAGGTACACAAAAGATAAACTGCCTAAATCTTTACTCTTAGCAATTACTCCTGAGAATCCCTGTGCTTAGGTTAAAACATTCAGTGATCATAAAAGGCCTTTACCTGTGCAACAAAACGGTAAACGTAACATGGCTTTTTCTGTCCAAAACGGTAGACTCTGAAAATGGATTGAGTGTCATGGGATGGGTTCCAGGAGGAGTCGAAGATGATCACTCTGTTTGCAGCAACCAGATTGATGCCGAGACCTCCAGCTCGTGTTGAGATAAGGAAGAGTCGACATCTAGAAGATCAATAATTCATCAATAAGGCATTCAAACTTAAAGACAAAACAGGCATCATTAATTCATTGGATTTCTATCACTTCCCTCTACATCTAAAGGAATCAACAACTCTTGACAATAAGCATAGATGAGTTATACATTTACTGCATATATTTATTAAGATAACATTAATCTCAATAGGTTGGTTCAATCAAGAGAAGTTCATCTGATTACTGAGTGAAAACTTACATCAGATAGCTATGTACAGTATAGTTTTGTAAGAAATGTTATTATCTCTATTTTCCCATCAACACTGTATAATGTTTGTATGCACCAGTTACACCATCAACACTAGTCCCTCAAGCATGGGACCAAGACCAAACTGGATATCAGGATCTTACACTATTTGAGACCTTCAAAATCTGGTACCATCTACCAGGCCTATTTTAATAAATACTGTACTGGATGACCCCTGAGAGACTTGCCTAAAGTTCTATAATGAACAGCTCAAGGTTTAAAACAATTATAGGATGTAGGATACCACCATTTCATGACATTTAAACAATAATAGTCTAAAAATATAAAATTATAATACAGTAATGAAATAGTAATAAAATAAAACATCATATGCTAATGGCAACCAGAGCATTTTGTTTGCCCCAGACACATTTTTACAGACACACCACAGCTTACAAAAGATAAACAATAATAATCCCCCCCAGAACATTTGAGTGTCTCAAGCATGCTGCAGCTTCCTATGCTACTTATTGTTTACATATGGATGTACCGGTATGTATGCAATTAATTTACTTTAAATCTTTTTGTGAGTCACATTCTTCAGCTTGTCAACTTTGATAACCCTGTTTAAAATTCTTCGATTCCCTCTGGCATTGAAATTTATTTTCCCTGGTATTTATGAAACTCATCTTACATTTCAGTCCTGTATCCAACAATACCCAGTCTAACATACATCTATAAACTTTGGTCTGGATTAGAATCAATGAGTTACTGCAAGAAATAAGGAGATGATATTTCTTGCCTGTTTCACTGATTTCTGGACTTTTGACTTTTTGACCTTATAAATTAAAAGGATTATCTGTGGTCTTTTTAACTCAAAGAACTGTACAAATATAAAAGACTCTTAGAGATTGACGAGACAATGAACATCAATTTTATTATAACTGTAACTAGATACTGTATTCCCCAAAATTGAGTCAAGAGATCAGAACTAATGTACAAGCTCTTACCTCTCATTGGTGGAGCTGTTGAAGAATTTGCACATATTTTTTCTCGCGTCAGGTGCAGAGGAGCCATCAAGACGTAGGTAATCACGTTCTTTTTTCCACTGCTTGAACGGAAGAGGCAGAGGATCTTCGGGTTGTGGTAACTCTAATTCCCCTTCATCTATCAACTGCAGGAAGTCCTCAATCATATCCAGAGCCAACAGACTCTGACTGAAAACTAATCTGAAAGATGGTAAAAAAAATGAAGAATAATGACTTCCCATTTTGGTTAATTAATGAACTGAGATTGTTTAGCATATTTATATAAAAAGATCAGTGGTAATTACATGATTAATGAAAATAAAGATTAAAATTGAATATATACCATGTTATAAATTTAATAATTATGATATTAATAAACTTAATAAAAAAAGATAATACGGAAAGACAACCAATACAGGGGCCCCAAAAATTCACGGGGATTAGGTTTTCATAATGGCCACGAATCGCCAAATCCGCGAATAACATTTGCGGACCGGGGGGAGAGGGGGGGCGTTACATCTTTACTTGTGTACAAAGAAATGCGTACTGTATTCCCTTTATGTGTTTGCCCTTAGGACAATCACTTCTTTTACCTTTATCTGTACTGTAAATATGTGTGTGTGTGTGTGTGTGTGTAGGCACACACACACACAAAACACATACAAATAAATAATAATTGGAAAATCCTCTCACAAATAATCATTAGCAAATTTATTAAAAATGTGACAGTCTACCCCCAAGTCCGTGCTTTATTAAAAAAGAAATAAAGCACGGGTAGACTGTCACATTTTTAATAAATTTGTTTGATTATTTGTGAGGCTTTTCCAATTATTATTTATTTTTATGTGTTTTGTGTGTGTGTACACACACATACAATATTTACAATACAGGTAAAGAAAATTACTGTCTCTAGTACAAATAGTTCCCTGTCCCGGTTGCGAAAATGCCGGCAACTCTAAATCTACCCACAGATATTCTTGGGTACATCCAGGGAGTCATTCGTGAAAAATAGAGAATCACGAAAAAAAAATCTGTAAACTTGGGGATATATATATATATATATATATATATATATATATATATATATATATATATATATAGATATATATAGATATATATAGATATATATATATAGATATAGATATATATAGATATAGATATATAGATATATAGATATATATATATAGATATAGATATATATATATATAGATATAGATATAGATATAGATATAGATATAGATATAGATATAGATATATATATATATATATATATATATATATATATATATATATATATATATATATATATATATATATATATATATATATATATATATATATATATATATATATATATATATATATATATTCTATTTACAAAAATTCAGTAAAAAAAATTATCCCACACTTTGGTTTAAGTGAAAACCCCAAAGTTATGAAAAAAATCATTGGTAATAATGTGCAGTAGCTAAAATAACTATCTGTGCAGGTGGGGGTCGATATGTTCCAAAATTTTACGTGTGACTAGTGACAGCCCCCATATACCAAAATTTATCGTCCATGTTCTCATATTGTTTCCCACAAAGTATGCACAGATAGTTGTTTTAGTTACTGTACATATGCTAAAATAATGGCATATAACTGTGCCAGCCCTTAGTGCTCCAGCCGAGAATGTACCGAGCCATAAGTGATAATATACTGAGTATGTTGATGTTTCTTAAGTGTAATGAACACTTCTAATGTTTTAAATAAATAGAAAAATTAAGTAGTAAGTGGATATGGTCATTACACATTTATAAAAAAAAAAAAATATTACTGGTAATTCTTAAAGAAGAAACCATCTGCCCTCCACAAAGAAATAATAAACAAAAATTTAAATACAAACCATTTGGACACACTGGGTTAGCCTAAACTGAAGAGTTTGACATGCAGAAAGGCATAGCTTATCAGTAATAATTGGAAAATATTGTTTTTATTCTAAAACAACAGTTGTCTCTACAACATACAGGAATTCTAATCCCCCCAAAATATTACTCGCATGTAAGTCGGCTCCCTACTTTTTTCCAAAATATTTGGGTTTCAAAACTCGACTTATACACAAGTATATATAGTAGGTAGTAGGCAGCTATCAAACAGGGAAGTACTACCACCTGGGAAGATATTGGAAGCATTGTGTGTTGTCTAATGGTAGACCCTGCTGCCATATGGCATCACAAAAATTTTGACCAAGTCCTAGGTTGCTGATCTGACTTTCTGCTTCATTTACACACAATTGCAGGGTCTCAATTGTCTCTCTTACTTTGACAACACAACATACTACATATATTGTTTCTCATTATTGATCTGTTTTCATTTTTGTATTTCTTTATGGTTCTTTATTATTATTATTATCAGTTGTTGTTATTATTTTTTTTGTATTAATAAATCTTATTTACAGTACTATGAACTAATTGTTATTATTATCATTATTACACCCTCCCCCCCACCAGGCCCCACTGTGGGTCAGTGACCTATGCCCGGGTTGGCTAATCCTGTAAAAAAAAAATAATTCTACTGTACAGTAATAACCTGCCATTATAAATATAGAGGTAAGAGGAGAAATAAACAACACTTACACTTTATCACCAATAGAAGTACATTCTCGTACGATATCTAGCAGCAGTACAAGTTTACCACTGTGTTCCAGTTTGTCAAAAAATTCATCATCAAAATCATCACCAATAATGTCCTCCAGCACCTTCTTCCACCAATCAACTTTGACTTTACCACTTTCAGTCAATCCATGGATGGGACCTGTCCCCAGGAACAAGATATAACATAAGCAAAGAAGGGAAATCTCATATATGTATATGGATCAGTGTGAAAAACTTCATGTAATTGAGAGTTCATTATACTTTCATATCATTCAAAAAGCTCCAGCAGTGAAAATCATTAAGGTAAATTACATGTCCTGGCTAGCATGAATGCATACATACATAAACATGAAACTCCAATATAAATATATGCAGAGCTAGATTTTCAACTAAATCAGACATAAAACTCGAATACTTAAGTCAAGTGAAATGCAACATTTCCAAAGGTTGTCCCCTGAACCTTCGCTTTCTCTAAAAAAAAAAAAGTCATAAATTATTCACTAATTGAAAAAGCTCATTTTTATTTGTTCTTGTAGCTGTTAATATATTACCAGGTATTTCTGTCTCTCCTTCAACCACTTCTTCCTCTATCTCAGATTCTTCTTCTTTCTTTTTCTTGCCTTTCTTCTTTTTCTTTCGTGATCTTTCATCATCTGAGGATTCCGAAGTTGATGTGTCGTCACAGATGAAATCATCCATATCCTCTTCATCATCCTGAAACTAGAAACAAAATTATACAGATAAAACAGCAGAAGGCTGTCACTATGTTATGCATAAGTAAAGAACTTGAGTTCAAATGCACTAGCAAGAAATATCCTTCTTAATATAAATTATTTCCTTATCTAAGTTTCTCTGCCAATTTTTGAACAATAGTGGATTGAACTTGTTAAATAAAATTCTTGTTCTCAAAATGAACAAATACTTCCATACTAGGTTGGGGGTTTACACCTTCAAAGCTGAGGATATGAGAGTCATTTGGAGCATTGTTCTAAAGAAACAACACATTTTCAAGCAGCAGCAGGAAATCATTGCAATCTTTCAGTTTAGGAAGTCTCTTCATGAGTGTCAACTGATAATTATATAAATTTTCTCAAAAACAAGTGATAACTCATCTGAACGGGAACAGCTCAATTTTGTATTCTTTATTTACAACTTCAATCCAAGATCCTCTTTACACAGTAGATTCTGAATATGGAAATACTGTAGAAATTTTTCAACAATAAGCAAAAATGCTTTCTGCAACTCAAAATTTGAGTCAAAATGAAGATCCAAATATGAGACAGATTCAAAGGAATAGAACATTACGCCTTCAAAGTCTTCAGCTGTAATGCTCCTCCCATTGCCCCTGAAGATGGTAATTTCACTTATACAATACTATCATTCAACTTGAATGTTTTCCTTGTCACCCCTATCTTTGTCTCAAGCAATGAGATGCCACATTACCCTTTGTGTTCTCAATGTTCAGTATTGTCTACATAACAAATAATACTCAACATTATGTGTCTCGAATAAATAGACAGATCTATGTTATGTAAATGGCGAACAATAATGGAATCAAGAATGATCTCAGTGGTATAATATAATACTCCCAATCTGCAGAGGTAGCCAGATACCAATTCTATGACTACTGTACATTCGCTCCAAAAAGTATCTTTACGGAAGGGTCAGATTAATTTCAAAATGAGCACCGGGACTCCTGTTGTCTCAGTAGGGTTGTCAAAATTCTTAATCCGTTGTATCATATAGTCTCGCACAAAATCGTAGATACTTTTTTGGAGTGAATTTACAATGTCCAAATTAGAGCAGACTCTAATTTGGTCTTCAACTTTTCTCTTTCTTTTCAAAATTCTTCTCCACAAGATATAAAGTGGCACCAGTGTAGTCCTTAGGTTTGACATTTATACCTGACACCTTGTTATACATGACTTGCCCTCAACCTCTCTATATGTTGGTCTTGGATGCATGGGTCATGTCTTCAGATACTGCACAGGACATGAAAATTGTTTGTGAAATTCAAAGTTCACAGTTGGAGGAGGAAAATGTGACCAGAACCCAACCAGAAATTATTATTATTTTTTTATATTCTTGTATTTATTTCCTAAGTAATAATGAAAATATATTAAAATAGTCTTTTTTACATTCAATATGCTTACTTGTTTCATCAACCTATTTCATCATCCCCTAACGCACAAATTTCTATTCGAAGAGGTTGTTTTTTCCAAGCAATGGTAATTTTAAAAATTTATAGCAGAGAAGCCTATACAAGTAGTTAATCATGTGTAAAATATTATAATTATACAAACACTAATATGTAATCAGCATGAGTCTTGTGAAGTCAAGTCAAACTTAAATAATTAGTCAAAGCATCCTTCTAACTACATTATAATTATATCCTTAATTCTGTGATTCACTCCGTACTGAATGGGATAACTTACCAATGATCTTCTGACTGCCAATTCCAGAACCTTAGGGTGAGTCCATACTCGAGAGAGAGCACCAAAGTCCACAAACAGACCCGACCCTTGACGTTTAGGACCACCCTGGGCCAGGTTATCAAGGTAATACTGGTACAATTGACGCTGGATATCTGACAACTGCACAGACACAACAAACTCTAACTTGGGAGGCAGGAAAGGCTTCAATACTGTGTAGTCAAATCGCTGAAAAAGATAAATATTACAGTTACATATCTCATCTACTAGAAAATAATCTGATCATTACAACAGCTCAGTCATATCATATTGTCATCTTCTTCCACTTTACACTCACCTGCACACACCCCTCTAACATGTTATGAAGAATATGAGCTCTCCTCTTCATTCTCCGGACATCTCTAGGCATTGCATCAACACACTGGCCTTGCTCAATGGGATTAACAAACCGGTTCATGAACTCCTTCTTTGTGCCAAGCAGATTTGGTTTAACAAACTGAATCATACAGTGATCTGGAATTATTTGAAAATTATACATAGTGAGGTAGAGTGTACCTAAAAGTAGATATGACACTTCAATCAATTTTCAGGGTGTAAAATATGATAAGAACTATTCAGGAACAGAACCAGAACAGTATACAGCCACTCCTCGACTTACGACTGGGTTAGGGACCCAAATCCAGGCCGTAAGTCGAAAATGCAAAGATAATACAGGGTACATAGAAAATCTAAAATGGGTGTCTTTTTTCTTCTCAGCACCACAAAACTCTCACTTTTAAGCATGCCAGCCATTTTAAATGGAATTACAAACAAAAATTTTGTCAGTACACAGCGCAATCACTAACGTCGGGACTCGAAAATACGTAATTTGTAAAAATTTGGGTACGACTGGGGTGGTCATATGTCTGGGTGATCGTAAGTCGAGGAGTGGCTGTATGTAGCACAGTAATAATTTTGTTTAAAATAACATAAATCCTGTAATTAATTTTCACCTTGAGCTGTTGTACATTTTTAGGTATGTCTCTCAGGGTCACTCCCCCAAAAGACCCCAGCCCTTACCAACCAAGGGAGAATTCTAGGATGTAACCCCCACAGTTTGTGATGGATAACTGTATAATTATACCCTGCGTACTGTAATAAATAAAATGGGGTTGACTATCCGGGACACAAGAAGTAAAGAATACTCACATTCCTTAAGATTATTTTGGAGAGGAGTACCAGTAAGCACAATACGTCTTTTAGTGTTAATCTGATTGATTGCTATAGACAGAGCAGTCTTCTCATTCTTCAATATGTGACCTTCATCACAAACCATAAGATCTGGACCTGATGATTAAAAACTTAAAGCATTAAAATCTAGGCAGAAAATTTTTGGGTAAAGAGACATAAAAATTAATCAACATCACATTGTACAGCTGATTATAAGACACTGGTTTCCATTGAGCAGTAATTTCACATAGGTATTTTATTTTATTTTCTGACAGGATTTTTTTTTCTTAATTCATTATTGTATACTTAAAAGGTTATACTACCACAAAAGTAGCATGTTTCTAATCTTACGTGAAAAATTGTGTGAAGCATTAAACATCAATTACATAAACAGATGGTTTACTGCATAAACTGTACAGACTGGGTTTTCTCTGTCATAAGTAACTATTGCACTGAGCATTTATTTTGGCTATTCAGACTTTAGTTATATACAAGGTTTACGTCACTCATCGAAGTAGAAAATAAATAACAAAAAATACAAACCAGGATTTATTAGTGTCCTTTGGAAGATCTCTTTCATTTTGCCTTTATATCTCTTGGACTTGCTGTTTGAGAGGTTACGGAACATGTCATAGCCTATAATACAAACACCTCCTTCCCGCCACCAGTCATCAAGCCGATAAGCTCTACCCCACAAATCTTTGGCTCTGGATAAATACAACAAAAAGAGAAAGAAAATTTAGTTTGTCTTCACATTTAGCAGGAATTACTTAAAAGTAACTTACATAAAGTCAGCTACTAATAATGACACTTACAAAAACATTTAATAATTTATTTTCAAGCAAACAATGTTAACAAAAACCTTCAATCATCCTTCTTATTCACACACACGTTAACTGAAATCAAGAAAACTCCATACTGGGAGCTATCTAATCCAAAAATAACCAAACCTACATCACACCAGGTAATACCAATACCTAGAGGAACCATACTTGAAACTTGAGGACAAGAACACAAGACCACTTCCTCCCACACTCTGACTCAAAACTTATGAGGGAATTAGAATATGCAGTACTCTGAGCAAAGTTGAATCAAAAGTGGTAACCAAAACCGACTTGGCCATCACATGGTTATTAAACCAGGGATGCTTTAAGACAGCTTCAAGCATTTTCTAGACCTGAGGTGGGCAAGATACTGCCCGCGGGCCAAATTTTGTTCGCCAGATTATTTGGGTGGCCCGCCATTGCATGTGGCAAAGGATTTTATTTATTTTTATATTAGAAAGGATCAATATTATGTGGGAGTTGGTCACCCATAGCAGCGAGACCAGCTCATCACCTGCTGACCTGGCCTTGTGAATACCCCAAATATGGTTATCCATAGGGATTAGGATTTGGGATTAGGCAAAGGGAGGTCAGTAAGCGTTTACCTGAGAAACCCACTCTTGACCACATGACCTGGACAGCCACACCCACACCTCAATATTGTGTTCCACACTGACCTGAGCATCCAGCACCAACACTAGAGAAGCTCAGTCTTCTCTCTGCTTCTCACTTAAGAGAACGTTACTGTGGTTTTGCAGAATTTGTACTTATGTGTTGTTGCCCCCAACCCATAATTTTTAAGTGAAAATGAGTAAATCTAAGAAGAGGAAAGCTGAAGCAGAGTGTCGAACATTCAACAAGGAATGGAGTTCTAAATATTTTTTTTTACCAATGTGGATGGAAAAGCAGTGTATTAATTTGTAGAGAAAGTGTGGCAATGCTAAAGAATTACAACTTAAATTGCCATTTTGAGACCAAGCACTCCAGTAAATAAAAAAATAAAAAAATTTTGATGAAGAAAGCTAATGAGATAGTTGCTCAATTACAACAGAAGAAAAGTATTTAAAAAAAAACAAGAATGTATGGTTAATTCTGCCTCTATTTCATGTCCAGACAAGAAAAACCAGTAAGAGAAAGTAAGTTTGTTAAGGCAAACAATTGTAAGACGTGTAGAGGACATCGCTGAGAACATGTATCTGCAGTTTAAAGAGAAAGTAAGGACTTTTGAATACTATTCACTGGCACTTGATGAAAGTTGGCTTATTTTTGGACATGAAGCAGAAAGATATAGATTTCCCACAGTTGAATGATGAGAAATGGCTCTCCAATTTTGCATTTGCTGTTGATATCATGGGTCATATGAATGACCTGAATTCAAAGCTACAAGGGAAGGGGGCTTTTGCACATGATTTATACAACAATGTCAAGACTTTTATAAAGAAATTACTTCTTTTGTCTCGTCAGATGACAAACATACAGTTTGCTCACTTTGCAACCTTACAACAGATTGCAGTTTGTGATCAGAATGTACAGAAGTACTCATTGCAGCTACTTGACTTGCATGCCGAATTTTCACGCTGATTCCAGGATTTCAAATTAATTGAAAATTACCTGTCTTTGGTGTCTTCTCCCTTCTCATTTGATGTTGACAAAGCCCCATTTGACCTACAACTCGAGCTTAGTGACCTGCAATGTGATCCTCTGCTTTCTGAGCAGATGAAATCAGTGCCTCTTCCCAAATTCTATGCCTCTCTTAATGACTGCATTTCCAAAGCTAAAGGCTCATGCCCAAAGAATGCTTGTGCTGTTTGGATCTACTGTACATATATATGTGTGTGAGCAGACATTTTTGGTAATGAAGCTGAATAAATAAAATCGTAGATCTGCACTGACTGATGATCACCTTGAACAAGTACTTTTCATTGCAACAATGGAGGCAACACCCGACTTCAATGGTTTGGTTAGCAATCATCAGCGTTGTCATTCATCCCACTGAGTAATTTAAATATTCTTATCAACATATAAACAGCTTCAAATATTACATAATCACATATTGGTCTTTTTACTTGCTTTTATTTACTTATTATTAACCATTAAAACTTAATTTTATTACTTTTTATTTATCAAGAAGAACCAATAAATATTAAATTTTATTTATTTTATTTATCAAGCAGAGTGCAGCAGTGACAAAGTGGATCAGGGACAGCTACAATCAGACCTGGACGACTCCACCCAACCACCACCTCCATAGGGAAGCCGGCAGAAGCAGTATTAGCTGTGATCAGACCTGACAAACTCAACCCTACCACCACCTCCCTAAGGAAGAGTAAAGACAACGTCTCCAGAGAAGAAGAATTTCAGCCAGCAAGATCGATTCTGTTCTATTACGTTGATGTACTTAATGTAATAATTATACTGCACCGTATCTCTATCTTATTACCAGTACTGAAGTATTAATATTAGTATTTGTATTGGCATTATTATTAATAATAAAAGAGTCAAGCTAAGAAGTGATGTATTTATTTACCCAAAATATCTATGTATGTTACTTAATATTTTCCTTACATCCTATATATACAAATACAAGGCTTTACTTTGTGCAAATATTATGCATTTACATCTAAATTAAGTCTGTGGCCTGTGAAGTGGACCACCATTCATGAAGTGGCCCGCCAATCAAAATAATTGCCCACTCGTTTTCTAGACATTTAGAGCATTCAGGAAAGAAAGTAAAAATGGTTATATGCAATCTCTCACATCCCAGTTCATGAAAAACTTGTCTACCCTGTAGCCCTCCAGAGAAATATGTGAAACAAAATACAAGATGTTGTGAATACCCATTATTGCAAACAAAAACCCTATCAGACAAACCCCCAGACAAAGTAAATTGAGAAAAAACCTGAATCTACCCACATTCACAGGGCATCAACTTAGAAACTCCCCAGCTGGGAAAGGGCCCTCTGTATTCAAGAAACAGAGAAGAACTAGAGGAACTATAAGTGGTTAAGGGGACAATTGGTAGCTCTGTGAACACACTTGGATATCCACAGGAGTTGAAGATTAAATTTTTAAAATTGCACAAACCAATAATTAATTGTATTGAAAAAACTGACTGTACAATTTTATAATGAAATTTACACTTTAAATTCTAATAAGAGTATATACTAACATGAAATGCATAGTAACAGTTTGGTATATATCAAATAATACATATTTGACAGGTTTTTAGCATTTGCATAACTTTCTTGAACTATGACCCTGCTGCTGTACTACTGCTACATATTACAGGTCCACAATCCTTCATCTGCCATTCCGAAATCTGAAAAGCTCTGAAAACCAAAAGTTTTTTCGTGGAGCACCACTCGTGTGCACGACATACCCAGAGTGAAGCCGAACATGACCCAATGCAACCAAAGCTTGACCCACGCAGGTGTGAGGCCAGTTGTGTCTCAGCATTGCTGCCAGTCACACCTGCGCCTGCTGCTCTGATATTTTTTGTGATTTTGAGTTTAATTTGACTTTGAAAATGTCAAAAAGAATTCAAATTCCCTTATGGGTAACAGTGAGAAGAAAAGGAAGCATCTCTCATTACCGATAGCACAGAAAGTGGAGTTATTACAGAAGCTTGATCGTGGTGTGTCTGTGTGGCGTCTTACTAAAGAATATGGTGTGGGAACTACCACTGTATATAACTTAAAGAAATAGAATGACAAGTGTTTGAAGATTTACACTGACAGTGATGACCATAAACCAATGAAAAATAAGAAAACATTGATACAGTTTCAGCCAGAGTTGAACCTGATGACTTCGTCATCTGAGTAAAACTCTCACAACATTCATTGGCTGTCCTTATGTTTTAGACTTTACCGCCATTGGTGAGTAGAATTTTTGTTTTACATTTGTAAGTATTATTTAAAACATATATGAACAGTAATAAGTGTTGCTTTCATATTCTTATGTAGAGAAATGAAGATATGTTTTCACATGTATGCAATTACATACGTTGACGTTCCCAATCCATCTAGCTTTTTTCTTTACCCTTAGTGGTTAGCTTCTTCTATTGTTCCATTTATTAACATTAAATAACATTACTTAAAACATATATATTAATTTTTTACATTAATTTTGCTCCAGCAATAACCAGGGTCTTATTCTCTTGTTTCTTATGTAGATCCATCGTCACGGGAGTAAACACTAACGAAAACAATGCCATCTCGTCTCCTCGTGTGTTTTAATATTCTACGTATTATTAATGAATTGTATTGTTCATTTCTTATATATAAACATTAATTCAATCAGATACACATTCAGTAATAAACAATAATGAATCTTTTGTACATATTCTAAAGATAAATGTGGCTATATTTCCTTGAGTGCGCACGTATAAGTTGGCGTTCCACTATGTCTCACATTTTTTCTTTAACATCAGTGGTTACTTTACTGTACATTAAATAACATTAATTAAAACATACCTACTGTATTTTTTTACATTAATTTTACAACAACAACCAGGGTCTTATTTTCTTAAGTTTCAGATGGATAACTGACATTATGGGTGTAAACACTGACGACAACAACAATACCATCTTGTCTCCTCTTGTGTGTTTTAATATTCTACGTAGTATTAGTAATGAATTGTATTGTTCATTTCGTATATATAAAGATTAATTCAAACAAATACATATTCAGTAATAAACAACAATGAATCTTTTGTACATATTCTTAGTAAGATAAATGACACTGCTTCCTTGAGTGTGCACAAATACTTTGGCGTTCCCAATCCATCTCGGCATTTCTCTTTGCCATTAGTGGCTTTACTGTACTGTACAAATAACCGGTAATATTATTTATAGTCTTTATTTATTCCACTCAGTGTGAATATTCATAAAGTTCGTTGCAAAAATATTAATGTGTTTGCATACGGGGTGCTGCCTCAGACCCCGCTAGGGTGTTACTATAATATATGGTATATGTACCGTACTACCGTTCTGAAATCCGAAAAATTCCAAATTCCAAAACACAAGGGTTTCGGATAAGGGATTGTGGAACTGTCCAAAATATCAAACAATCTTCCCGAGGAAAACAATACAGTACCGATAAATAAATATCAACTTATAAGATCACGAATGCCCTCCCACAGTGGTTAAAGAATACAATAATGTGTTAAGAAGTTTCAATTATGATACAGGAAACAGTAAAACACTTACGAAGCAAGTTCCACAACGTCAAAAGGCAACATCTTCCCTTTGAGCCAGTTGGTGAATTCACTAACCCAGTTGTAAACAGTATTGACCGGGCAGCAGACCATAACTTTTGATACATGCCTTGCAGTCTTCTTATTAGTCATCAAGGTGTGGACGAAGGCAATTACCTACCCAAAAGGAAACACTATTAGCATGTTATTTCAATTTTCAACATCTGCCTATAATTCAACTTTAATCTACCCATAACTACTTAGGTAGAATAAGAAAAATTTTGCCATATTTGACCTACTTGAGAGCACACAGTGTAGTATGAATAAGTTATGGGGAACAAACTTTGTGTTTTTATTTGTCTCCAGGGGGGGTTTGGGGTTGTGGGTTACGGATTTGTGCTGGGCTAGTGAATAAGTGGTGGAGATCATTTACATTTAGTCCCTTTACATCTGTCAATGTAGAATGGGCGAGTCTGGGAGCATTGTGCACTGGAGGAAAAAAATACCGGGGTAATAAAAAATTTCTAATTTTACAAGTCAAGAGTATAAAATTTTGTGGTCAAGGGAGCAACAGACACCCATTGATAAAGGGAGAATTTTCAGCAATAAAAGCTGAAGCCAGAGCATATCATTGTTTGGGGAAGGAGAGGGAGCGACAATGACAGCAACGTGACTCAAGGGTCATCTGACAGTTGAAGGCACAAGAATCCCCACTTCAGTGAAAAAACTGAAAAGAATTTTGTTAAAAAAGTAATTAAGGATAAGGGTCATTAATTGGAGAAACCTGATGACTCAAGATGCAAATATTTTGGGTTTTATTCTGTGTGGATGACCCATATATTACAAAAAGTAAAACAAGGTTGAATGCAGTTGAAAATGAGTTGGAAGATTCATGCTATGAACAGTACTTTTGAAACAACTTATATTTACCTAGAAACAAGAGCAAATACACAACCAATTTAACCCAACATCCAGTGCCATTCATTCAATCTTACTACAGTAAAATAGATGTTGCATTAATGTTCCCCCTTTCCACAAGGTCTTAACTCTGTTTTACCGTTCTTGTTTCACATAAACCACCATCAGTAACTAGCAACACGTCCTTGGCCAAACCCACCCACTGTACAACTACATAGTTTATATACATGCCTATCCAAGTGTAAACCTGTATGACTATTTTATTATTATGATTATTATTATTATTATTTTTATTATTATTATTATTATTATTATTATTATTGTTATTATAGTTATTATTATTATTATTACAGTGTTGTTATTATTATTATTATTATTATTATTATTATTATTATTATTATTATTATTATCATCATCATCATCATCATCTTACACTGGACAAGTAAAAGCCCTTTTGAACCCTACTTTCTACTGTACATCCAATATCAGTAAATTTTCATCTTTATAATATTTCAGTAATCATCACTCACATTACCCACATTTTATTTAAAACACTTTACCCCCAACTTCAGCAGTCATATAGTATACAGTATTAAGAAAAAGATCGGCTTTCAAAATTCACTGAAAATATAACTGAAAATAATCATCATAACGGAAAAACTCACCTGCAGAGTTTTACCTAGACCCATACAATGGGCAAGGATACAGCCACTACCAGGCTTACTGTTCATCATCTCCACACTCTCCACAGTTGCATTCCACATAAACGTTATTCCTTTGAACTGTTGGAAATAAAATCACTTAATAATACGTATAGGGAAAATTATTCATAACACTGTACTGTATAGGGAAAATTAAAGTAAAATAATTCATTTGACAGTGTTCATTATATATTCCATTTGATATAATTCAATAACAATCCTCACATTTATATACAGTATTTTAGGATAATTACCCTGGTGATTCTTCATAACATCATCATCACACCTACATTTAATTGAAACCACTCATTCATCCCACCAAGGACCCTACATTGCTAAGCATGAAAAATTAGCATAAAATGTTTTTAATGATAATGATGACGAAAATTTATGTACCGGTAGACATACTAACCTGGTGAGGTTTCAAAAATTTAACAAGTTTCTCATGAACAGAAACAAGCTCAGACTTAGTTTCTGGGTCAAAGTCGAGGACTAATTTACCCAAATCCTTCTGGTCAGATTCCACATCAACCTCAAAGATCTGGTTATACTGTGAAAGACAAGATATTAACTCAACAAAAATCGCTTAAAAAGATTTTTTTAAATAATATTGCAAGGTAAAAACAATCCATCTACAGTACTGTATTGTGTAAATTATGAATGAAACCTGAACACAATTCATGCACAGCCTACATATAATGTGTCCTATCAAGAAAAGACAATTTAATTTATAGTAAATATAATTCTAGATGCCAGTAACTTTTGCTAAAAGGCTTAGTACCCACTGAGAGCCAAACAAGTAAGACATATACTTTTTTTTTAGATTTACTTAAATACTATGACATTTTGGATACTTTTACTCGAGTCCATTTTCAGAAAAGATATTGTACAGTACTTTTACTCTACTAATTCTTCCTGAAACTCCCATTACTTACTGCAGTTACCAAGATGATATACTCAGGTTCTACCAAAGCAACTTATATACAATTCCCGGTTTGCCAAAGTAAGCAACAGGAATTTTGAAAATCTACTGTTGCTGAAACTCAAATAAAGATTTTGCAAATATAGAATGTTTTTAAGCAGTTTGTTTAAGTTGCTGAACAGGGATAATATTCTGTATGCTTGACCTAACTGACCTGTACTCCCATTACTTCACAATATGTAATAACATCCCCTTAATCTGTAAATGGCATCCAATATGGTAAAATTATGAAATTAGATAAAACTTTGGATGAAGTTATCCTATCTCTGAAAGACAGGCCATTTAGGTGAGGAGAAAATTTTCCCAAAATCTTTATAACAGTATGTCTTACTCACAAATATATACAGTTATAGGTCAATATATACAATAATAGGAAACATTCTACTGTACCCGTTTCTGACGCTCTGATATACGTTTTCGACGCTCTTCTTCTTCCTGTGTGGCATTCTTGGTGGTCTCCAGTAGGTCTTCATCTCGTATTACCCGACGAATCTTTTTATGCTTGCTTGGTGAATCCTCCTGTTCAATCAATTAAATCATCATTACCAATAATCATCATCTTCCACATTATTTAATTCATTTCCCCCCAATCACCCTGCATCTTATATGCCACCAAAGGTCAAAGCTAGAGGGATGCAGTTGCCAGTACTGGACTAAATCCAAGACTCCATCAATTGACACAGTAGTTCCCAGATGACCCCAGAATGAAATACATATGAAATCATAATTTATTAAACAAAGAAAACAAGTGAAATACTGGATTAGACATGAGCCTGGATAGATCAACTGATCTAATAGCAGCCTTTACTGCTTTTCTGTTTCTAAATAAAGAAACGGATCGAGTTGATATGGTTAGGGCTGATAGTAGTTGCGTTAATGGGTTGAAATGACCGATCACCATATGTGTAAAATAAGTTGGTATTCCGGAAGTGCTTCAAATAAATTGGGAACCCAATGCTACAGTAATGCTGTCCAAGCTCAGTCAAACAGAACTGCAGCTCGGATATGCATTCAAACAGCGGCATTGTTTTTTGTATTTCATTTTCATCTATTACTTTTTCTTTATATCCAAAAAATTTCATATTATACTCAAGAGGGAACCTTGGTAATACAGCAGTAATGCGCATATCTCTCACCACTATGTCATGGATCAAGGCCTGTTTGGCCCAAACACACATGCGAAGGGTGTCATCCAGTTGTGACCCCACCAAACAACTTAGGTTCCCTCCAGGTTCCTCCTGTACTAACACTGGACAAATGAATGAATGGCAACTTTTTCTTGCCTTATGCTGCTGCACCAATTTTTCTTTAACAACTTTATTACAGTGGGAATATATATATAGGGAGTCAGAAACATGTATATATGTTCAATTCTTTGCATCCCCTTAAAAACCGAAATATCCCCAGGTTAAGAACCACTGTTCTAGATGATAAGTGAGAGCTATAAGTTCCCATGGCCTCTAGAATAATGAGTCCATAGACCCTCCACCAAGTTAAACCTTGCAAGATCCAAAAAGAGTCAAACACTAACCTAAGTCCCAAAAATTCAATTCATGTAACATAACAAACTGCATCTTCATCAAAAGAAGAAAACAACAAAAAGCCACAAATTGAGCTTCTAACTAAAACTGTGATCAAGAGTAAGAAACAACTCCTAACATACCTTCTACATCAAGGGAGAGGGTATCTGAATAGGAGCTGGGCAAGGCTGAAGAACATGAAGCCAAATCCTACAAGGCCATAAAGGAGTTATTTAATCACTCCTGTGAGCGAGGTGAATGCTACACTGTTCTACCTAACCTATAAACATATAATAAAAGGATCAACTATATGAAAATTATTATCTTTCTAAGTTTCAACATTCAAGGAACTTACTTTATTTTCTTCATCACCACTTTCATCTGAAGATGAAGTCATTTTCTTTATACGTTTTCTTTTGGATTTTGGTTTATCATCCTCATCTTCCTCACTAAAACAAGAAGAAAATACACAAATTAAAGACCACTTGGAGGATATACATTGAACATTTATCCTTTCTTTCTCACTATTACAGGTCCTTGGTACAGGGTGGCCAGAATCAAGGGGCTCTTCCTTTATTTGCTGTCATTCATTCCAACTGCAATATATAGTATTCCTTTTTCAGGACATAGCCCAATATTTTCATCTAGGTTTGACTTTATCATTTCACATAACACAACACCACACATCAGCAGCATATACATTCCCATTCAATTAAGAGCCCACATGTAGAAAATTTACCTATCTGATTCTGTTGTGGTCGCCTTCTTTCTCTTCTTCTTACCGTCACCTTCACTGTCTGAAGAAGATATCTGGAATGCTCTCTTCTTTCTGGGCCTTAAGGACATAAGAAAAAATCATCAACACAAAAGTAATCTATCATTAACAACACATTTTACCATAATATAAGTCTAAATGAGAAGAATCTTTACCATCATACCTGAGCATAATGTAAATCTTACAGGGAAGAAAATTTATTTCATGAGAGAGAAGAGCATAGTCGAGGGCTACAATAACCCAAGTGGCGGATATACTAAAGGGATCTTATAAATGTTAAGAACACACCCAAAACCAGCAGTGATATATACAACACTTATGAGTTTAGTTGTTAACCCTTAAATAGGGCTAGATTCCCTTATTCTGCTCCTATATGCACAAATATGAGAAGCAAACACTCTTCATAAAAATCATCTTAAAACTAGTAAACTTCTAATTTTCAAATATAAATTTTATTTTTCCTTTTAAAATAATGTATACAGTTAACCCTCACTTTACGCGGTTAATGTAACCCGGAGGGTCCCGCGTCAAGTGAGAAACGCGTAAAGTGAATAACATAACATATGGGATTAATTGAAATGGAGTCCGGGCCGATCCCCAAACTCCACTTTTTGACGACACACAACTATGTTGTAGTAAAAATATTATCTAAACTTTATGATGGTATGCACACACAATTAATAATTAAGAGAAATATCAATAATATTAGGTTTTTTAACACTTACATTAGTAGAAAAAATGGCTGGGCACACGGGGATGGGCGGTTGGTTCCGAGGCAGAGGGCAGATTATTGGCCCTCACCTGTGTCACTTGTATCAATTGTATCACTATCCGCCACAGAGGCTTGCAGGGCCTCTTTGTCAAACTCCCCAAAGTCCATATAAGTCCATATCCTCACCATAATTATCACTATCACTGACTTGGGCCGGCTGTGGTGGGTGAAGAACTGGTAATGTTTTGATGACTGGGCGACCTTGTGCGCACCATGTTCGCGCAGCTTACACAACATGGCGGATGGCAGGAGGTTTGGATCCAAAAATGGCGCGGCTCGCCAGCCGCTCTCCGCGTAAAGGGGTACACGCACCGCGGAATGTGAGCATCCTGGGTTCCGGCAGGGCACCGCGTAAATGTGGAAACGCGGAATGTGGGACCGCGTAAAGTGAGGGTTAACTGTACTGTATATTCTTCTATTCTTCTACATACATCCGAGAAAAAATTTAAATGACATGATAACCTGCATTTAATACACCACAACAGATTGCCAGAGAACACTACATTGGATCTCAATCAACAAAGAAAACTATCAAGTATAACAAAAGAAACATTGGCTTACGATTCCTCAAAGTCACTGTCATCGTCATCATCTTCCTCTTCCTCTTCCTCCTCTTCATCATCCTCATAATCACTTCCTTTATCTTCATCAGATGATATATTCAAATTCATATATCCCTTATACACCTTTGGAACATTCTGAAAAATTCGAAAAGAAAGACAAATTAATCATTTATGTATTCATATCATTCACATAACAAAAATCGGCTAAACTAATCCCTGGACCAAAACACAGACCAACACCCAAATTTTCAACGTAGCCCTTTAGTTATGTTTTTCATCATCCACTCACCACTGCACAAACTTCTAGTCATAATTACTCATTCATCCTTAGGTGGGCAAAGACAGGAGAGAAAAAAGGCGATGTGGCACATTCATTAGGTTTAGCACAGTTCGCTCTAAAAGGTGAATGTCATTTTATTGTCTTATTACTGGCATCTTATTTATGAATTTTTAATGTTTCTTTTTTAAGCATATTTCATGTACTCAGGCAATCTAAACCATACATACTGTATTTATGTGCATATTTAATGATGTTTTCCTATCGCACCCCCCTTCTCTTTAGTTTTGAACACATCCCTATGCCTTCTATATTATATCTGCCTCTGGTCAAGGTACACATCCACTTCCTTAATAGAGCAATTACTATACTGTACTGTACTTACAATCAACCGTCTAACAAAACAAAAGATAGACAATTCGACAACTCATACCAAAGACTATGAAGTAATTACCTCACCACCAGACTCTTCCCCACTTCCTCGTTTGTTCTTCTCTTCTTCTTTCCTCTTCTTTTTCTCTTCATATTTCTTTCTCTCCTTTTCCTCCTCCTCTGCATCATTTTTTGGCTTATCTAGAATAGAGATGAAAGAGAGCACCTAATACAGTAGAGTAACACCAATTTATACAATGCTCTACTTCAAAATACAGTAAAAAAAGCACCTATTAAATAGTTTTCCTTTACAAAGATTCAAGACAGAACTCTATTATTCTTGTCAAGTTCTCTATGCCTTCAGCAGGTAGATATAAACCCTAACTGAAAGAAGAACAAACCACTGAGTCAACTGGATTCAACAGTAATTACACACTAATATGGATTTTTTTTACAAACCTTCATCATCTTCATCATCATCATCCTCCCCCTCCTCGTCACTGCTCATGAGGATCTGCTTCTTCATCTTTTCATTCAGTGACATACCTCCTTCCTTCTTACTCTTCTTTTTCTTTTTGTCGTCTTCTTCTTCTTCTTCCTCCTCCTCATCATCATCATCCTCTTTATCTATACTAATATCTAATAAGCCTTCCTTTTTCTTTTTGTCACCTTCTTTATTCACCTTTGTACTAGATTTCTTCTCACCCTCTCCTTCACCCTCTCCTTCAACCTCTCCTTCACCCTTGTCTTCCTTCTTGTCCTCCTCCTTATCCTCTTCTTCCTCTTCAGTATCAGGTTCTACTGCCTTCTTCTTGCTTTTGGGAGCAGGTTTTGGTATTTTGTTCATCTTAAATCTAGGAACAGGAGCAAAAGTTAAAAATATCTAGCTAACAAACACAAACCTTTTAATCCACTATAATAATGTAATGCCTCTCTAAGACTTTGTAAAACATGGGGCTAAGTCACCACAATTTATATTAAACATACAGTACTGTGAAACTTTGTAAGGCTGAAGAAAATAAGTAATGACGATAAGGTTACTGATAATAAGCAATATCATGACTATTAATCATTACAGTATTACTAGACGTGACTAAAAACATATGACTGATAATCCTAATAAGACACAACACAACTGTGAGAGGAACATGAGAGGAATATTGAAGAAAGACTCCAATGGATCAAAACTAACATATCTCTGAAATAAGTTCCTGAATGACTGCTTCATCCTTATTAGTACTAAGCCTATAGTAAAAAGTCTACCAATACCTAAGACCTAATCTGCCAACTGTCCTCTAAAATTGCCCAAGACACTCTTCTCTGATTTCCCAGACTTGTTTGTGAACTGTTACTGTCATGGTAACAATGATCAATTTACAAATAAACCCCTTAAAATATAACCTGCTGGTGCCAACAAAAAGTGATCATAGATATTTTTTTTTATTCTAGGTACACTGTTTGTGACTACTGGTCCACAGATGGATAAAAGTATGGAAAAAATAAAGATGAATTACAACTACCCATTATTACCTCCCACATTCACTCTGAAGACAGCAAACTGTAAACAATGAACAGGTACCTAAATTATTTGGTAACAAACACCAACACCAATGAGCAGGGTGAGACAATGAGGAAGTAGAAAGGTAAACTGATCAGACATATGGACTGATATAAGCTAATTGAACTTTAAACTGTGAAATAGCTACAAGAAAATAACAAGTAAATACTGTATTCAGAAAATTATAATTGAAAGAATACTCACTTCATTAATTTTGAGAATTCCTTGTCGGATTCTTCTTCATCTGCATCACAATCATCACTGTCTAACATTTGTCTGTTAGGGGAGTACAATTCTGGGAAGTCCAGCACATCAATATAATCATCTTCCTCGAGTTTTTCTTTTACGAGTGGAGTAATATCCTTCATGTCAACCTGGCACTTACTTTCAAGCTGTTTTACTTTCAATTCTTCTTGTTCTTCCTCGGTAAGTGCCCTCCTAATCCTTCTAATGCGTTGCCTGTTTGTTTCTCCGTCATTATCACTGGAAGACTTTTTCTTTCTAAAGTTTTTCTTCTTACATCGTGGTTTAGGTTTATCCTCGAGATCATCTTCACTTTCACTCTCAAGTAGGGCGGCTTTTGCCTTCTGGTTGTCTGTCTTCACAGGTGATTTAATATCTTCGGATTTCTTTAATTTGTTCTCTTTCTTTTCAGTTTCAGATGCTGAAGATTCGCTCGCATTTTTCTCCTTTTTCTTCTTTTCTGAAACATTTTCCTCAGAGTTCTCACCATCATTGGTTTCAGTAACACTCTTCTTACTTCCTGTGTTGTCATCTTTCTCTACCCCTGACTTGTCTTTCCCTTCTTCATCAGTGTCAGTTGCCAACAATGTGGATAATGCTTTCTCATTTTCCAAGTTCATTTCATCACCCTCTTCTTTTTCTCTTTTAATTTTGCTTACCTTCTTGAGCTTGTCTTTAGTCTGCTCCTCTGAAGAACTTTCCTTATTCTCCTCATCATCTTTACCATCTTCTTTGTCACTCCCCTCATCACTGTCCTTACTTGCATTCTTTTTCTTCTTCTTTGTCTCCTCCTCCTCCTCCTCTCCTGAACCTGCAGAAGACTTTTTTGGTGAACGTTTCTTTTTCTTTTTCATGGGTTCCCTGTCTTCTTGCCGCCTTCTAATTTCTTCATCGGTGTTTTCTTCCATTGACGTTTCTGAACTCTCCTCAACAAGTCCCAACATAATGTCATCTTCATCTTCATCCTCGTCTTTTTTTCTTCTTCTGCTTCGTCTTCTATCTGTTTTCTTCCTGTCCTGAGAGTCATCATCCTCATCCTCTACTTCTTTCTTTACATCTCTACGTTTTCTCTTCCTTTTGCCTTCTCCCTCATCATCTTCCTTCTTATTTCTTCGCTTTTTATTTTTCCCATTTTCTTTTACTTTCCTTTTTTTGTTCTCTTCTTTCTCTTGTCTTCTTCTCTTTCTCAGCTTCTCATCTTTCTCTTCATCTTTTTTCTTGCCTTTCCTGCCAAGTTCACCTTCTTTTTCTTCTTCTTTTTCTTCTTCTTTTTCTTCTTCTTCTTCTTCTTCTTCTTCTTCCTCCTCCTCCTCATCATCATCATCCTCCTCCTTTTCTTGATTATCTTTATTTTCCATATCATCACCTTCATGTTCATCATCTCCCTCGACATCATCACCATTAACTTCCTCTGGGTCTTGCTTAATTTTTTTATCATTAACTTCCTCTGGTTCTTGCTTAATTTTCTTCTTATCATCCACTTTACTTGGCTCTTGCTTAATTTTCTTCTTATCATCCTCTTCCTTTGATTCTTTCTGTACTTTCTTATTTTCATCATCACCATCTTCTTCTCCGTCTTTAAGTTCTTTCTTTATTTTCTTAACATCTTTCTTTGACTCTTTCTTTGTTTTCTTATCAATATCACTATTTCCAGCATCATCATCATCATCACCACCACCACCACCACCATCATCATCATCATTACCATCACCACCACCATCATCACTACCAACACCATCATCATCATTCCTGTTACTTTTGGCTTTTGCTTTCCCTTTCCTAGACTTCCTCTCATCTTCACTCTCTTCACCCTCCAGATTTTTCTTCCTAATAGACTTCTTTCTATCCTTGCTGGTCACCTCCTCCTCCTCCTCCTCCTCCTCCTCATCTTCCTCACTCTCAGCTTTATCACTTTTAGCACATTTTTTCCTGTTGGATCTCCTAAAACCTCTTCTACCATATTTCCTATTAAGTTCTTCTTCCTCTGTTTCCACATCACCTTCACTCTCCTCACCTTCTCGATTTTTCTTTTTGATAGACTTCTTTCTGTCCTTGCTGGTCTTCTCCTCCTCCTCTTCCTCACTCTCAGCTTTATTACTTTTAGCAGTTTTTCTCCTGTTGGATCTCCTATAACCTCTTCTACTAGATTTCCTATTAAGTTCCTCTTCCTCTGTTTCCACATCACCTCCTTCGTCATCTTTGGGTTTGTCCTTGACTTTTTGCAATCTCAATGAAGTTCTTGTCTTTTTCGGTTCATCATCGCTATCCACACACTCTGATGTAGTGTTTTTGGACAATCGAGACGAGTCATCATCCTCGTTGTCTTCTGTCGCCAAATTGCCCTCCTGATTAGAGGCTCCATCGCCCCGACTTTTTAATCTTAGTTTTTGTTTTCTCTCTGATTTCTCGTCATCATCATCTTCTTTCTCTGTGTTTTTGTTGGATTTTGTGCTTTTCTCAGTATTTTCTTTTTTAATTCCAACTATATCATCAAAATCTACTCCACCATCTATCCCATCTTCTAGAGCACCATCAATATCACTGTTTCCATCACTTAATATGTCATCAATTGCATCTTGAAGATCTGGAAGAGAATGTTCATCGTCAGACCTAAAAAGATCAACATTAGTATTAGGGACTTCAGCCATATCCATCAGCTCTTCGTTGCTTTCTTTTGGTTTTTCTTTACTCTTTGCTTGTTCACTTTTGGAATTCTTGACATTTTCTGCATTTTCATCACTGTTGTCATTTTCATCATCTTGAATTTGGCTGTCATTATCACTCTCTACATTCTTTTTCTGTTTTCTATTACTCCTACGATTTTCCCTCTTCTTGTTATCTTCCTTTCCTTTAAGCTTTTCATCATCACTCTCCTTAGGTACTTTCTTTTTCCCCTTCCCAGTCTTTTTGACACTTTCTGCAACTAAATCCTTAGCAGATGTATTTTCTGTATTACTGCCACCAGCTTGTTCATTATCCTTCCCAGCAGACTCATCATTTTGACAGTCTCCTTGAGGAACCTTATCAAGATGATCATTCACTTCATTTTCCATCAATTCAAAGTTTGAACGCAAGGCATTTAACTGCTTTAAAATACGCTTTCCAGTTTTTTCTGTCGCTTCTTCGGAATATTGTCCTTTTTGCCATCTCCCCTTGATAGTCTTAACATTATTAAGACATAAAGACAACATCTCAGACATGTTATCAATGACTTCCATTAGCTTGCTATGAGAAGCAACTGGTTCAGTTTTTACTTTTTTTACCGCTTTCTTCTTAGGTGTCTTTGATTTTTCTTGAGGTTCTTCCTTAAAGCTTCTTTCCAATCGTGTTCGCTTTAACAAGTCAAATTTAATCTTCAGCTTGTGAGTCCTCAGTTCCTTTCTGTAAAGATCAATATTGCACCATAAAAAAATCACATTACCATATTGTCACATAGAAAGTGAATATTAACTGACAAACATAAATAAATATATCTCCAAGTACTCACGCACACACACACACGTCAATATACAAATGTCATTGAGGATAGTATCTTTGCAATTTTCAAATTAATTAGTCCTTAACTTGACTATACAGTAAATCTGGATTTGGGAGTTCTGGTCTATGAAGCCTCCCTAAGAAGCATTCCCAAAACAGAGCAAAGAACATTTTAGGCCCGTGGGCGCTGGTTGACCAGTCGATCGCGCTGGACACAGGTGCCCGAGGAGGTGGGAAACAAACAGTTGTCAATTGTTGTTTGTGGGAATATCTCATTCACTCTTGTAATGATACAATGTTTCTTATTATCTTATCATAGGTAAATGAATGGTTTATATAATTTATTTATCATTGTGCCTGTCACTGTTTTCAAATTAGACTACAAGACATGTATTTCTCCCATACGTATTTCGATTGTACGCCTGGCAACGGGTGCGGGTAAGGGAAGTGAGTTGAGTGACTGCTAGTTAAGTGTCGTCCCTCCCTCCCTGCCGTATTTCACTGGATTTACTGTAATTATTAGTGTTTACTGATATAATAATACTTAATAGTGATTAATCATAGCATTATAGCCAGATTAGCTCATCATTGTAACCACCAGGATACTGTGAGGTGTTATGGTTGTTTTTCAACTCGTATTTTCAGATAGGTGGGGTATGCTATAACAAATCTAATTGGTTCTAGAACCTCGTTCGTTATAGCATTCGTTCGTTATAGGATTAATCCGTTCCAGGCCCCCAAATACAACCACTTGACACCGAAAAATTTCTGTGGAAATTGTAAAAAAATACGGTACTTTATCTTACCTTAGTGTTGCTCAGCATGCAAGAAAGGAGGCAGAGGAGGAGGGGGGAGGAGAGAATTATGGAGAAGAGGTGGAAGGAGAGGACTCATCCTTCCTAGCCCTCTTTGGTGACTATGTCTTACAGGCACTTTGCTGTTTATTTATAATTTCTTTCTTAGTTTCAAAGGTTATTAGCTTTCTCACTAGCTTTTGATGATTCAGTGTTACAATTGTACACTTGTATAACAAAATAGTTATAAAAATAACACAAATTTCCACATCAAAAGAAGAAATTTCAACAAGTTCAGTGGTGCACTGACTACACAATGAACCAATATGGCGCCCGACGCTCTTGATGTGAGCCGCGGTATAACAATATTCATGCACAGGACAAAATAGTCCCGTATTCATCCGCGTTCGTTGTAGGAGTTTCGTTCGTTATAGCATTCTCAATTTTATAGGTAAAACCATTTGTTACAGGAATATTCGTAGTAGAATCCGTTCGTTATAGCATACCCTACTGAGTATATGTAACTTTCTTCATTTATTTTTATTCATTTTCATACACACACCATCCTAAATACATACTGTGAAAAAAGTAAAAGAAATAATTGTCCTAAGGGCAAACCTATACTCAAATGTACTAAGTTAATTACTAAAAATTCTATGTCTGGTGTAAATTATGTGATCTTTACACTCAAATTAATTGCTATCTTGCAAGAATTCCAGCAATTTAAGTTATATTCTGCTAAGCCAAGTCGTGACATTTTATGAGCAAAAAACTTAACTCCCTCTATTTGACTGATAACTGTCCACTTGGTAATCTCCCTGCCTGGCTGTCAACACATCACCCCCCCCCCCAAGCCAGGGTTAAGGTATTTTTAGGCTTAAAGTTTTTATCTCATAAAATGTCAGACTAGACTTAGCAGAATATAACATGCATTGCTGGAATCCTTGCAAGATAGCAATTAATTGGAGTATAAACATCACATAGTTTGCACAAGAGATAAAAGTTTTAGTCCTTTAATGTAGTACATTTGAGTACAAAGTGAGTACAGTAATATGTTGCTCAAAATTGTTTTGTTTTTTTTCACAGAAAAAAGTCTGTATAACTAACCCCAGTGGTCAGGATATTATGTACAGTACTGTCATTTTGGTGTTTTTTATATCATTATTTATCGTTTTTATACAGTACATTTAGTACATTCACTGGAAGATTCAGACAATCGGCTTTTTCGGACAGGTGGTCCCCCTTTCAGTCCAGATATTCAAGGGTTCTCTGTATATGGTATGTTTGTAATCAATGATCCCACATCTAGTATTTAAAGTTCCTACAGCCCACTTGTTTACATCAAACCATATTTTCATTTAGTCATTACTGGAGCACTTCATACCCTATACCAAGTTCAAAACTGAAAAGATTTGTCTTATTTGTAAAGTGAAATTAGACAAGAAATTTTGTTGTACTGTACACATACAAAAATAAATCAACTATTGTCAAGAAAAAAATTATCCATGGACAGGCAGATGGATGGAGAAACATCATAATGACTACTATACAATATATCTATGCCAGGTATAACGAGATAAGAAACAGGGAAGCCAATATAATGCAGTCAAGCTGAAAAATACACACAGTAGGTAGTAAAATTAGTAGGTGAATTTCAGAGTTAAGAAGTAAAAGACACTAACAGAAAAGGAACAGACACCAAATGTATACTTATGAGAACATCTGCAGAATGACAAATATTAATTTCCTTTTCAGCATAACCTAACCTCTTTTTACATTATAAACCCACAAACCTCCATTTGTGTACAATCCTACAATATCTTTAAGTGGTGTTTGCAGCTCATGTTTACTGGAGTCTTCAAGTACAGTATGAATTCACAATTCAAAATCCTCCTCTTGTTCTTTCAAAATATTTTGTTGAGAGCACACAATTTATCCTAATCATGAATATCATAATAGTTTAAGAAAATGATAAATTCAACAAATTAAATTAAATAAACAATGAGAAGTAAATTTACAATTCTATCACTGTATCTCAATCCTATATTAAGAACCATCAGAAGTATGCAGCAATACTGTATAAATATAGGGTAAATTACCTGGACATATTAGCATCATCTTCTTCTGATTTCGTAAGGTTGCTCAGGATGGTACGGTGAAGGGCTCGTAGTTCTGTCATAGGTGATGGATCACACACATAGCATGCCCAATTTTCTGTGGATTCTACTTTTTTTAACTCAGATCGACCCATGGTCCGTTTCACACAACGCTGAAAAAGAATGGGGGGGGGGGATTAAAGACAATACTTGGTAAAATTTACAGTTTGTGAAAGCTTCTATTACTGAATTATTTTATGAGTTTTCCATAAGATAACAATATAGAGAGATGGGTGGGTGTATGTAGTTCCATGTATTTGTTAATACAGTCAACCCTCGCTTTACGCGGTCCCACATTCCGCGTTTCCATGTTTACGCGGTATCCTGCCGAAACAGGAATGCTCACATTCCGCGGTGCGTGTACCCCTTTACGCGGAGAGCGGCTGGCGAGCCGCGCCATTTTTGGATCCAAACCTCCTGCCATCTCTCCCGCCATCCGCCATGTTGTGTAAGCGGCGCGAGCATGGTGCGCACAAGGTCGCCCAGTCATCAAAACATTACCGAGTTCTTCACCCGCCACCCACCACAGCCGGCCCAAGTCAGTGATAGTGATAATTATAGTGAGGATATGGTCTTATACGGACTTTGAGGGGTTTGACAAAGAGGCCCTGCAAGCCTCTGTGGTGGATAGTGATACAATTGATACAAGTGATACAGGTGAGGGCCAATAATCTGCCCTCTGCCTCGGAACCAACCACAACATCCCCGTGTGCCCAGCCATCTTTTCTACTAATGTAAGTGTTAAAAAACCTAATATTATTGATATTTCTCTTAATTATTAATTGTGTGTGCATACCATCATAAAGTTAAGATAATATTTTTACTACAACATAGTTGTGTGTCGTCAAAAAGTGGAGTTTGGGGGGTTGGCCCGGTCTCTATTTCAATTAATCCCATATGTTATGTTGTTCACTTTATGCGTTTCTCACTTTCACCAGTACCCTGTGGGTTGAATTAACCTCGTAAAGTGAGGGTTGATCCGTTTTAGCCGATTGTCCGAATTAACCGATTTAGGGGTTAATATTGCATTATATTTCAAAGTCATTGTTTTCGTCACGATTTTATCCCACTCTCCACTGTAATACGTATGGTAATTTCAGCAAAAATAGTACATTTCCGTGAATGTATTATATCAAGCACAGTGTGAATAGAATATCATTGTAATATAATAGTATTTTAACCGAAAACTATTAAAAAAACGAACAACATCTCAAGAACATCGGAAGCTTAGGTAAAGTCTTTTGTTTTCGTCATGTATTTTATCCTATTTTACATTAAAATACATCACGTTTCAGCAAACTACCATTTATTTCCGAGAATATATTCATTCAGGCGCAGTTTAGGTAAAATATACGTGTGATGTAACAGTTTTTTAACTGAAAACGATTCGAAAAATACGTTTCCTCTAGCCCTGTTCAAGGAGAGGACTGGGAGAAGCTGTTTGGTGCTGCAGACGATGACAAGGGAAATGATTTGGATGGATTATAATGAAAATATTCAGAAATATGGTATCGAGTATTTATTCAAGTCAATTAGGATAGAATATTATTGTAATACAACAGTTTTTTAACTGAAAACCAATCGAAAAGCGATTACGGTAACATCTTTTGAACGAAAGAAAGCAAAAGTCATTGTTTTCGTCACGATTTTATCCCACTTTCCACTGTAATACGTACGTCATTTCAGCAAAAATATTACATTTCTGTGAATGAATTATATCAAGCACAGTATGAATAGAATACCATTGTAATATAACAGTAATTCAACCAAAACTATTAAAAAAACGAGTAACTTCTCTTGAACATCGGAAGGTTAGGTAAAATCTTTTGTTTTCGTCATGTATTTTATCCTATTTTACATTAAAATACATCACGTTTCAGCAAAACTACTATTTATTTCCGAGAATATATTCATTCAGGCACAGTTAAGGTAAAATATACATGTGATGTTACAGTTTTTTAACTGAAAACGATTCGAAAAACACGTGTACCGTCTACTGATACTCAACAGCTGGTGGTGCGTCATGCGTCGTTGTAAACAATAGGAGGTTGAAGTAGATTACCGGGTATTATATTAAGTGTGAAATATCGAAAAGGTTTTTATTACCGGTATTTTTTGTAGATCAATGAGAACTGTGATACTGTATATGATATGATAAGTTAGCCTGTGCTAAGAACTTCAACATAGACTACTGAAAACACGTTGTAAGGTAATTGAGCCTATTTTAAGTTGGTGAGCTTCATTTGCTGAAGGAACTGCACAACTTTTCATTACTAATTGGTACATATTTTACGTTTCCATTGTTTACTGGCAGTAAATGGTAAATATTGTTCATGTCTGAAGCTAAAAGTTGCATCCCCCCCCACACTAGTGGTGGAGATGTTACATTTAACCAAAAAGACGCTGGTGTTTTATCAGATTTTGTCCGAATTATCCGAAATCCGGATTAAAGGGGTCCGAATTAACGAGGGTCGACTGTGTGTGTGTATATATATATATATATATATATATATATATATATATATATATATATATATATGTATATATGTATGTATGTATGTATGTATGTATGTGTATGTATGTATGTATGTATGTATGTATGTATGTATGTATGCATGTATGTATGTATATATATATATATATATATATATATATATATATATATATATATATATATATATATATATATATATATATATATATATATATATATATATATATATATATATATATATATATATATATATATATATATATAATATATATATATATATATATATAGCCTGATAACAGTGAGACCTAGCTGGATAACTCAAGAAACAATTGCCTGCATGTACTGACATTTACTGTTTTTATAGAGAAAAGAATCAGTTTACCAATAACCTTAACTAACACCCCAAAATGTATCTTTACAATTTTGTGTTAAACAATATAATACAACAGATGAAGGATTCTGACAACCCTACCAAAATAACAGAAGTTATATTGTTCATTTCAAAATTCATTAGACCCTCCAAAAAGATACTTTTTGGAGTGTGTGTACATTACACTTGTAAAACAAATTACTCACCTTACAAAAACCATTGAAGCAACCTTCTTGTTCACAACACAGAAGATCACCTCCCTCTGCACACAAGCGGCAGTACTCGTCATAACCTTCCTCATCCTTGCAGTATCTGCCTTTGCCGTAGTACTTCCGGCATCTCTATATGGTATAAATCATGCCAATATAAAACAATAAAAACAAAATGAATAATGTCTGAATTATCATAAAGATCTTAACATCAAAATTTACTTTTCTCCTCAGTGTTGTTTATAAATGCTACTCTCCATCCTCCATATATATTCAGTTGTGGAAGGTTTACTTGGAATAGTTTCCCATCAGTGCTACTCCCCTTTTATATCATATTAATAACATCCTCCACTTCATTCTTTCCAGCAGCAGACCCTCTTGCTGACCACATTAACCAACCTATACCTGTGCTCTATAGCCCACTCTCAAGTGGCCTCTCCCTGTACATTGAACAAAATCATAAAAATAAAGTGAACATAGACCTTGAGACCATAGCCCATGGTTACATTTTATCGACTAAAACATCCACTCCCACATATCAGCTACAGGAAAAATGGATGATGTAATAATCTGAGTACCAAAGGGAAAGATGACAATGGTGGCAAATATGACAAAACATATCTCAAATTTTTTTGTGATATACTGCAACTTTGGTCAACATCCACGACTTCATTGATGTTACAATCAGACTGCAATTTATGTTGAACCTTTTTACTACTGGTATACGAAAGAAAAAACCATCAGAAGATGGTGAGGTGCTGACACAGGCACCTGAGGGCTTCCCATACTGAACTTGGTCAGTAGCATCATTTATGAAAGTGTGTTATATATTTAAGAAAAATATGCAAATACAGCTGCTCCCCGACTTACGACGGGTTAGGGACCGACATCCAGGTCGTAAGTCGAAATGGCCGTAAGTCGGAAATGCTTAAATAACACAGAAAATTGAAAATGGGGGGTTTCTTTTTCTTCTCAACACCACAAAACACTCACTTTTAATCTTGCCATCCTTTTTAAAGTGAATTACAGATGAAAATTTTGTTTGTGTACTGACTTTGGGACTCGAAAATACGTAATTTGACCAAATTTTGGTACGACTGAGGCAGGTAGTAAGTGCGGGTGGACGTAAGTCGAGAAGGTCGTAAGTCAGGGAGGAGCTGTAAAGATGCAGTATATCTTTACATTACAATGCACAAGTCTAATGAGAGAACCAGTAACACAGTTACAATTAGTCATACCCGAGTTGTTTAATTTCATCTTAATTTGTGTAATGAATACCAGATTAGAGTGATGTACAGTACCTACCTTGCAAATGAAGACTCCAAGAACTGGGTGTGTGTGGACCAATGACCTTATCTGATGGTTAACTTGTTCATTGCAAGATGTGCATCGCACTACTGATCCACTGAGCCGTTTATTAAGTTCTGAAGGAAAACGGTTTTCAGTTAAACAATACAGTATATTGAAAATGGTATATTCTTATATTGTAATGAAGATTTGATTAAAATAAACTATATCCCCTAAAATCTAAGTACTGCCATTTTTGTGTTCCAACAAGATGAAATGTGAGAAAGCTTAGGTATTATTATATAAAGTTAGGAGATCTGCCATGGCTAATCTATTAATTATAATCTAATTTAACACCCTTCTTCCTTTGCTTATCATACATTCTGAATTTTGCAGTCAACTAAACACAACTTTGGCCAATAAACCTGTGCAATTAAAATATTCAGTGTTATAGAAAAAACAGTACAACTGCATTAAAACAGTGAGGTTAGTAAGATTTCAGTAATGTATCTTGCAATTATCTGGTGTTCTGGCCGGATAGTAAAATCTGAGACCTATTGCGCCCCTGAAAACAAGGTGACTGTGCGGGTCCACTCCTTAAAATATGCTAGGAAAATGATATTTATCAAATTGTCCACACCTCACTTAGCTACACTCCCACACAAAGTTTCATCAATATCTATTACTATCTCTACTCGGAGACGCTGCAAGCTACTTCTCTTACTGATTTTACATATTATAAGGTATATGAGCTACTGTACTTACCATCTTTTTGCTTGTGATAATATTTGTTCTCTTCCTTTGAATAGTTTACTTTTTCATCCTCCTGCTGTCTTAATGTTTTCTTGTCACCCTCATCCTTTTGTTTTTCATCTCCATCTTGTTCAATGTCATTCTCATCTTCTGATTTGCCATCACTACTTTGGGTGGACTCATCTAAAAAAAAATGGTACATTAATTCATACATAAGAGGAAAATTGACCAACAGGACAAACATTTGCTTCCTAGGTATAAACAAAATTTTCAACATTCTATCACTAAACATTACTTGATAGAGGCTTTATTGATCAAGTTTCCAAGCCTTTATGCAGAACAACTGTCACTTCTAGTTACTGTATTAATAATAAAAATATGTTCCCTCTATGTGAATTCAGAAACATAAATTTACTTTCCAAATCAGCTATAATGTTATAATCGCATGCACGCACAGAGGCGGGAAAAATGACTGCGAACTACTTCATATTTTTACCGCCTCTGCTAACGGTAGTGTAATATTTCAACGTGATTCTGATCTTTAAAATGTTATTTTTGCATAATGTACTACAGTAGTCTGGATTTATGCAGATTTTGTTCACGCTTTTGGTCATTTACGCGGTGCCTTGCCAGAATGAAATGTTTTATTTACGCGGTAAATTTCATCATTTACACGGGAAGCAGCGCGGGCAGGGTGCGTACAAGGTTGCCCAGTCATCAAAACATTACCGAGTTCTTCACCCGCCACCCACCACAGCCGGCCCAAGTCAGTGATAGTGAGGATATGGACTTTGAGGGGTTTGACAAAGAGGCCCTGCAAGCCTCTGTGGTGGATAGTGATACAATTGATACAAGTGATACAGGTGAGGGCCAATAATCTGCCCTCTGCTTCGGAACCAACCCCCCCATCCCCGTGTGCCCAGCCATCTTTTCTACTAAAGTAAGTGTTAAAAAACCTAATTTTATTGATATTTCTCTTAAATATTAATTGTGTGTGCATACCATCATAAAAGTAAGATGTTATTTTTACTACCATGTACGTATTGTGTTGGAAAAAGTGGAGTTTGGGGGTCGGCCCAGTCTCTATTTCAATTAATCCCATATGTTGTTATTTCGTTTACGCGTTTCTCGTTTTACGCGGACCTCCACGGGTTCAATTGACCACGTAAATGCAGACTATACTGTATTACTGATATGTAATTTGCCATAGTATGTCTTATTGTAGGTAAAAATAAGTATACAGTATATTAAATGCATCCTCCGAAAGCATGAATTTGCTACCCAAGTTTATCAGTTAATTCACGTACAATACTTCTGATAAACTTCCTACGGGCTCCTGTTTGAAATAATGAAGATATGTATCTTATATAATTTAGTTAAATATCTTTCTCGTCAGAAATGGTCTTTATGAATAAACTCGTTTAGAAAAACTGTAATACTCAGGACAAAATCGGACAGGTTTGCAACAGCCAATCAGCTGTAACTCTTGAGGAGGGGGGGGGGGCATTTTTTCTCAGCTGAAAAAACCGCACTATAGGCATCATGCACAATGCTGGCCCTCTGTAAAGTTGCCAATGATCTTATTGCTGAACATTTAAATAATTAGTAAATATTTTTTTATATGATTCGATTAATTATTATTTCAAGTAAAACAGAAAATTTAATAACTTTCCCAAGTGAAAAAACTATAACTGAAAGTGGACCGTCGGGTTACTTAGAAATATAAAAATAATAATGTGGACCAGTTTTGTCCAGCTGACGGAGAGCCGCCGCCGGTCTACATAGCTTCTCCACAAGTGAATGCAGTTTTCCTAGTGCATGCATTTGTACCCATTACATTTACAGAAACCTTATTAAATAGCGACTCTTATGGAACAACAATTCTTAGGCAATATAGTATCACCGTATATCATAAGACTTCATGCTTATTAAGGGAAAAAAGTATTAAATTTGACGAAAATGGCTTTAATTCCTTATGCTCCAACACAATAAAATTCATTTTAGCATGTTATTGATAGGATGATTATGTCTATATGTCCATTAAGGGCATGCGGCTTATCCTTCTGCAGGCATTGAGGGACGCCGAGTCTCCTCGACTCTCCTGAGTGAAAACTGTGAAGACTCTAAAATTAAATCTGTATTATTGAAGATACGTACCCTGTACTATTTAAAAATATATTTTGCTTTCTACTCGGCATACAATGCACGACTCGCATTCATAAAGAGCAAACGAACGAAACCACACGCATCACACACACACACAATGGGTTACCCGTCAATGTAATAATAAAGATATGTCTTGTGTATATCTCTGTAAATAACCATCATGATTTGTACATATAGAAGAATACCAAGATCTACTATCCATGGGACCAATGCAATATGAAGGTGTTAAGACTGCTTTTGCTACCCTAACCATAAAGTTAGGTACCCATTAACAGCTGGATGGATTGGGAGTGCCCTGGGATAGAACAAGTAACCATTAGGACAAGAAATGAGTACTGTACTGTACCCACTTTATCACTGCAAACCCCCCCCCCCTCACACACAATACAACTAACATGTACAATACACTTAATATTTAGGCACACACACACCTACCTTTCATAATTTCTCATACAACTCATTGTTCAAAAAATTCTGTACATTGAAACAATTGATTCATTCATGCCTTTAAGTCACTAACAATTACAGTTGAGTATATGCTTTAGATTTAGCAGCACATATATAGTACCTAGATTTACAGTAAATATTAAAGCAAAAATATGGCAGTAAATAATTTAAACCTTTTATCGATAGTTTTCTTCTTTTTTTAGCCTCACTAATTCTTTCATTATTTTTATTATTTTTTTGAGGGGCAAAAACATGTACTGTAATTACCCAATATATCTAAATAATAAAAATTTAAAATTATACAGTATTACAGTAAAGTACAGTACACTACACAGTACATGTATGTTTCATGAACTTTGTTTGCCTACTGCATATCACAATGAAATTGTTTACAAGCCAATCACATCTTTCAAATCCAGCTTACGAGCAACACAGAACTTTCCTTCAATTTCCTGCATTTTTTTTTTTATGATTTACCCTATTAAGAGATATAAGGAACGCAAGCAACAAGTACAACAAGTAAAAGCCATTGTTATCCCATGATGCCATCACTTTAGATGTTAAGTTGGAGGTGATAAGGAGCCCCTCATCAAATGCTCATCCATGCCCCTTTGTAAGCTTTGCACTACTGTTATTAGTTGTATCGTAATCCACTCTCAAGTGCCCACATGCTATCATGCGTCTGCTTGTCAGTGTTGCTCAGAACAGATAAACACACTCAAGTGGACAGACTATTTATGTGTTATCAATTAAAACATGTTTTATCAATCCCAAGAAAGGTAAAGGGAGAAAATGTTAAAATTTCTCCCTTTTAAAAATCCTACGTTACAGAAGGCATACCCCTGGACCCTCTTAAGAGTATGCATGTGCCTATGGCAAATGCATTGGTTGCCTATAGAGACCACAATACCCTTGCCCAATATTTTCATTCTGCCCCATTTTCTCCCAAGCTTGACGGGCAAGTTGAGGGTGGCAAAAAGATGAGTGTCATATTTAAGTTGTAGTGTACTGTAAGTGTTCCATTTTGTTTAATCAAATTCATTAATATGAACAGATTCATAATTATTCAACCATTCACACTTAAGGTGTACCACATTCAGTGCCAAGCTAATTGGATGATAAAAAAATAAATTATTTACGGGTGAGACTGCTTTGAATGAAATCATTTACAAGGAGTGAGACATGTACTTTGATAAAATTAATAAGAAAATACTGAATGAAGCTAAAGAAGCTAATGAAACTAATCCACTGACCATATAATAACTAATAACACAAAAAACACTTTCTCATTTCTAAATGGAATTGGTTAACTCGACCTTTATACAACAGCAGTGGACCACCACCCAGACACAATCAGATAACAAATAATACTAAAGGTAGATACAAGTCTTACCATTTCCTTCTGTGACGGAAGTAGTCTCTTCATTTTCAGTGTCATTTGAGGAATCCGGTTCTTTTTCTTCCTCTCCCTCCTCCATTAGTTCTATCTCATTTTTCATATCTTTTGAATTTTTTGCCTTTCTTTCCTCCACCGATTCTTTCTCATTTTCACAATCTTTTCCCTCTTTTTCCTCCCTTGATTCTATCTCATTTTCAGACTCTTTTAACGGGTCTTTTTTATTTCCTTCTTCCACCGATTCTTTCTCATTTTCTTTATTTTTTGTTTCATTTTCTTCCTCTTTTAATTCTATCTCATTTTCCTTTACTATTTCATTAACAATGCTACAATCCATGTCTTCTTCATTTCCTTGTTTGTCATCTGGCAATATTTGATTTTTATTCCCCATTTCCTCATTCTTTTCTGAATGTGAACTGCTAGTCGTCTTATTCGCAGAATCAGTCGTAAATGAGTTATCACCTTTCACGTATTCATAAATTTCTATTTCATTTTCACTTGTACTGTCTAGGTTGATTGGTTTTTCACTAGTCTGTTCTGTACTATAACTTAATAAAGCAATGTCTGTAACTCTCAGGCGGCCTATTTTGTCATTCACAATCGCACTGGTTTTTTCTGCATCTTTTGTAGTGTCTTTAGTGTTGTTTTCATCAATTTTAGCTGTAGGTTCATTATCTTCCTTTTGGAGATTAGTATCTGTTGATTTTTCCCCATTCACTTCAACAAAGCTGTTCTGTCCATTGGCAATTTCCTCGGCAGACTTTCCATTTTCCATTAAGGCTGAGTTCTCATCCATGGTTCCTTCTTCATTAGTAACATTACCACGATCTACATTTATTCCGAGGGCATTGAACACGTCCTCCTGTGTTAGACCGCTCATACTAGATGGTGGTGGACCTAGCACTTCTGGCTTCTTGGAACCCTGTATATAAAGAAAATATATGGACTATATTATAAAAATTAAATTGCCTCAACAAGACATATATTAATAAATTAATAGTTTAACATTCTGGGAAAAATTTTCACCATGAAGACCCAATGTCAATATGATCATTTGTAACTGTTCAGTACTGTACCATTCCCAACAACTAATCATCATTTACCTCCTTTAAAATAATGTGCAGATTTTGCAAAATACTGTGCAGTATACCATAAGGATAAAGGAAATAATAATTTACTAAGGATATACAGGTTGTACCTCTCTAGTCCGGCATTCTGTGGTCCAGAAACTCCCGTGATCCGGAACAATTTTAGTTTGCCCATGGAGTAAATTAATTTGAGTCTGGTACTGTACTTTCGATGTTTGGCTAAATTTGGCCTTATTTACCCTACTTTTTTGGCGAATTACTACCTGTAATAAAGCAACATCCTAATAAACCAACGAAAATAACACAGATAAAGTTAAATAAAAACTAAAAACAACACAGGAAAGTTCTTATGTTCTACGGCTTTAGCTAGAGTTGAACCTGATGGCTTGGCAACTTCGTCATCTGAGTAAAAACACACACAACAACATTGGCTGTCTTTATGTTTTCAACTTTACCACCACTGGTGGGTAGAATTTTTGTTTTAAATTCAGAAACATTAATTAAAATATATATGAACAGTAAATAAGTGTTGCTTTCATATTCTTATGTAGAGTAATGACGATATGTTTACACATGTGCTCACTTACTTACGTGACCTCACTTTTTTTTACCATTAATGGTTAGCTACTTCCATTGTTCCACTTATTAACATTAAATAACATTACTTAAAACAACCATATTAAGTTTACTTCAGCTACAACCAGGGTCTTATTTTCTTCAGTTTTATATGTAGAACCAATCAGAAAATGTGAACATGTGAAAGGATATACTGCACAGCAAATTAATAACTGGGTGAATGCACCTCTAAAGATAACTTTGGTATTCTTTACACTTAGTGAGAACCATGAGCACAGAAACTAAGAGTTAGAAATATGATAGTTTCCTTCTGAGAGAAGATCACACTTTATACTGTACCTCCTTACTAATGTGGTTTCCAAAGCATTACTTGCCTTATCAAAGGCATAGCTGGCTATCCTGTTAAAATACTCTCAAAATCATAATTCATATTGTTTGAAGGACTGGAAGGGTCAGTGTTCAGAAAAATGCAGCATAAAGTACCTAACATAGCTTAAATAAAAATGAAACGCTATAACCTATGTGAATGTCATTATACTGTATATACTTTGCCGATATATTACCTTTTGTTTCAACATGGCTGAGCTGTGAAAACCCATTTTTTTCTTTGATAGGCAAAAACGTCGCATAAAGTTGTCTAGCCAAGCTACTGTTGGTTGAAACTCTTTGTCTGACACCTGAAATGAAAAGTCTTCTCATCAGTATACATACAGTACATCTGTTTGTTGTAATACCAGAATCTACATTCATTATAATATTGGAAGACAGATATGAGTGTAGCAGACCATCAATTTAACACAATTAGATTCTACACTTTTGCTGCAACATGACAGTCCCAATTATTGTTCATGCTAGTGCGGTCAAGTTCAATTTTGCAGTGTAATCTGTCACGAAACAAAACAAATAAATTTAATATGTCAGAAGTGGCATTCAATGTCAAGAATCACTTTGGACAAACCCAAAATCAAAACAAAAAATTAAACAAAGAATTTATGTAAAACACCCAGAAATGCTGGGGTTTACTGCAGGGTTGGAAACAATGTGTCATAACTAATTAATGACAAAACACTGTTTTAAATCATGCCATTAACCCTCTCATGCACGATGACGTGAATCGTGTCAAATCATTGGGTAGCACTGTTTGCATTAGACAAGAATCGTGTCATTAAACCTTAAAAATTTGCCCCAAAAGTTTTCAAGATAATTGTGCAGGGAGCTTCTAGAAAGTACCAAAGCATAGGTGGAGTTCTGCTGTACACCCATTAAAAATTATTCGGCACACGTGTCATATTGTATCATGCCGTAAAGGTGCCGAATAATTTTTTTGTGGGTGTACACTACAGTACAGACCAGCCAGAGGCCATCCCAATGTGTGCCAATAAGTTGTACACCCAATAAAAAATTATTCGCCACCCTTATGGCGTGATACAATATGACACGGGTGCCGAATAACTTTTAGTGGGTGTACATCAGTTTCCTCCTATCAGAGGCGCTGGAAGGTCGCATTTGTCCCTTTATTTCCTCTCCATCCTTCCGACTATTACTCATATACAAATTCCGAAGCACCGTAGGAAAACTCATAAAATTACACTTCGATAACTATGATACACTTGGTAGGTTTGTGAGAAAATATTCGAGATATGATGCTGGGAGCACAAATAATTTTTCTTTATTCACAGTGAAAACAAAAACAAAGCCAGTACAGTAATGTACAAATAATAAAAAAAAATTCTTGTGGGATAAATTGGCCACAGAATGAACCTCACATGAGTGGTCCTATATGACTTTTGTTGTAGTCACGGAAACTTAAAAACTTATTGCATGAGCGAGAGGGGTAATGCTATAAATGTCATAAATTTTTAAAAACACAGTTATAAAAATCAAATACATTTAAGAAATCATGAAAAATTACCAATACTGTACATGTATATACAGGAAAAAAAATAAACACTAATTCATACCCATCTAATTCGAAATCACCCATAACTCTTAATGTGTTGCCGTTATGAAATATATACTACATATTTCATAATATTTAGTAAAATTTCAAAAGATGAGAAATTTCATAATATTACGATATACTACCGGTATATACGTACCTGTACAGTATACTACCATCCCAGTATCTTAAGTGAAATAAAGAAAATTTTCCACATGTGTACTAACTTCCATTATTTTATAGCAATAAGTGTTATTCCAATTTGGCAAAACTGCGAGTTGTGTTTCAAGGTATAATTGGATGATTCTCCCAATGTAAAATTAAATTGTGCATGAAAAAAAATTTAAGACACACAGACATTAATGATGTAAAAGAGACACTAAGAATCTCTCTCAAGTAAATGCATAAAAAATTATCTAGTCATAATAATAAAAGAAAAAAGAAAATGATACTTACTGAAAGTGCAATACTTAGTGCCATTTTTCGGACATCATCCCTCAGTTTGTGTTTACCAATCTGGCATAGTTTGTCATACAGCTGTCCCTCCACCACAGGATGCTTGCTGTGTTTCAACCCAGCTTCACGGTACACCTAGGCACAGAAAAGAATCATACATATCAATCATAGCTTCTAATTGACACTCAAAAGACAAAGAATTTCCCCTTTGAAAATTTAGCAATGAACCATTTCATTGTAAGAATGAATAATCACAAACAATATACAAAGTACATAAGTCTGTAACATCAACACCTGAAATTTTAAAATTAAACTTAAAAAAATAGAAGATGTATCATTTGATATACAGTACAGGTTAGTGCACAGATGAGGGACCGGTAGATGACATTCAAATAGCATTTAAAAAGCAATGACAGGGTGTACTAGTATGGTGAAAGGGAAACTACAGGTACTACAGTACCATATATTTAAAACAAAGACAAATTGTTGCAGTCATACATATAAGAAAACAAGTTGCTGTATTTCTAAGAAGACAAGAAGAAAGAAAAACGTGAGATGAGTGGCATGTTTGCATCTGTATAATAAACACCAAATACAGTAGGCTCTCGCCAATAACAACTTCCACAATAACGTTTTCGACAATAACGGTAAGTTACAATAGGTACCCATTTTCGATAATAACGTCTGGATTCTCTTGAATAACGGAAATTTCGCGGGAAGCGTCCGAGGGCATCAATGAGAGCATTTGTTTGCCGCCGTGTTGATGACGTAGTTGTCCACTCCGCCTCACTCTCACACACGCTCAGTGGAATACAGCGCTGCGCCCACGTGTGAGATTTTCGCCACTATAACCAGTGGTTGTTAGGGTCGGTGATCAATAATGGCTAACGCATTTTTGCCTGTGGGGGCTAGGGGAGGTGGTGGAGGGAGTGATTTGCCACCTGAATGACTGGGAACTTTTAAAGTGAGGAAATTGAACTGTCCTGAGTCTACAGAGCGAATTATTAAGAGGAACTTAGAGGAGACCAAGAAGAGTATTGTGCTGACTAAAAATATTTCGGTAGTGATGGAAATGCGAGGCGAGCTATGAATGATAAAGGCGATAGAAACAGGTTGTTAGTGATAACAAGAGCATTTTCTTGTGAAATGGTTAGCTTGTAGAATGAAAGACAGTGCAAGTGTTAGCAGCCCTCAGATATGGAACAACCATCACACCAAGCACCTCAAAACTAAGTGTTATATTACTCAAACTCTTTATTTTGATGATTGAATAGCACTTCTTTTTATTTCAGCTAACAAAAAGTGTTAGGAGGGCTTCAAGGGGAAAAAATGGGTGAAATTCTTGTGGCAGCGGCACCAATAAACCCTTTTTACATGTATTTTAATGTCACACAAATAACGTTTTTGCTAATAACGGTGTTTTTCAGGCACCTATTAAACGTTATTGGTGAGAGCCTACTGTACTCATAACTAAGTGCTGCAGTTAGCAATTCCCTATAATCACCTATAAAAGTATGGAGAGATTTGTGTGAGAGGGAAGCTGTTTGAAATAATCCTCTGTAGGATACAAATAAATATGGAAACTGATAAATATTTTCACATTTAACCACAATTACAGGATATTTATATTCAGTCTAATTAATTATAACAGTAGCCTCACCTGCCCAGTCATTATAACTGCCACCTGTTGGCTGCAGCCATCTGGATCCTCCTCCATATTGAAAAACTCCATTATTATATCTTACAATGCTCAAATGTACGGCACAGTAAACTAGTGCAGACACCAGCCCATCATATCTGAAAAAGAGGAACATAATTACAATCCAATTTCTTAAAACCAATCTCAAGATCAGAAGAAAGTTGTCTAAATCATGAATCCTCTGAAAGTAAGGTCACAGAACATAAGTGTTGGAACAACCTTTTGTGTGGGAGTCTTACTCTCATGGGAGTACAAGTATAGAAGTTTGTCATCAAGATTTGGGAAACTACAGTATATGAACTATCGATAATTGCTCACACTGAATGATTCAATCTATGGCAAACAGATCCCTTGAATGGCTTCTATGAGTTCTTAAATAGAACAGAGCACCTAACATCCTCTTAAATTAAAAGAAAATGAACAACTGACACCCTCCTAAAATACTAACTCCGGAAACCTCTACCTGTACCTCTGCTCCTATCAGATGATTATTTTTCAGTTCCAGGGCAAACCCCCCCTCGTCATCCTGGTAATCGAACAGGCAAAAGACATCTGGATTACTCAACGTAAAACTGGACAAAACCTTGACAGCAAAAGATGCCCGATTTTCAAAATCAACCTGCCACTTGAATCTAACCAGGATCATTACAAATACTGTGCATTTTAAGTTAATACTTGTAACAGAAAAAGAAATCAACTCTAAATACCAATACTGAGACTAAATGGCATGCCTGAAAACACCCTAATGTGCTTGAATTATAAAGTACTGTACAGTAAAGTACAGTAACTCATCTACAGGAACACAGCAAGTTGTGTGATCACCTGCTCAATATGAGGGTGAAGTCAGGAATGAATAGGTGTTGATGTCTGGAAACCAAGTTGGCAGAGGAAAAAGTGATTCTCTTTTTGTTCTTGCGTGTTTCAGCGCTTAGGTCATGAAAGAGGCAAAACGCAACTTGAGGTTGAAGAAGCCACAAGTTCCAAAAAATTGTCTGGGCAAACTTTTTTGTAGTGAGGATTATGAACTCTTGGAACAATCTGCCAGTGTTGTGACAGCACCAAGTGTGAGGTCCGATGATTTTCATAATAAACACTACGACTCCTGTTGTCTCGATAGGGTTGTCAAAATCCTTCGTCCATTGTCATATTGTCTCACAAAATCCTATAAGTACTTTTTGGAGTGCGTGTACATCCACTGGGGAGAAGTGCATCATCACATGCATACATACATACATACATACATATATATACATATATATATATATATATATATATATATATATATATATATATATATATATATGAAACATGAGGTGCACTTGAGCCAGAGGCAACTCTGAGATGTAGTAAACAGCTAAAAATCATTGTGGATCTGCATGAAATATATATATATATATATATATATATAAATATATATATATATATATATATATATATATATATATATATATATATACAGTACAGGCACTGGATCCCGAAGACAAAACCAGCCCGACCTCGACTCTCGACTCTTGATCTGTCAGCTAGCTCCTTGGCCCTTTAGCAACAACTATTTCTACCATCCTAATTGTAATTTGTATGTTGTAACCTGCGTAGGTAAAAAGTAAAACACCGTGGCTATACTGCTACAGCTTTATTAATGATCTGGACGATATTTAAGAACTACAAAAAGATGATAGGCTTGACTTTCAAAGTTTCAATCAAAAGAAAAATAAATTTATTAAGAATTCAAGATATTAACTAGAAAACACCATTTACATGTATATCTAAAAGTTCGATCTCAGCATATGAATTTTGTTTAAGCTCATAATCTGATGTGGATCTAAATGATGATCCTACAATTCCTTTTAAAGTAAAGTTATATATTTATGTACATTAAAGAAATGAATACCTTATTAAGGAAAATGGATAAACCTTACATGATTAAGTTATTAAATTAAATTTGCCTTAATCTCACCAAAAACAGGTTGTAGCTAATTGTTTTGTAGCTGAGAGCCTCTGTGCAGTTTTCAACGAAACAAAATTTTATATAATTCAAAATTTCAAATGGTAAAGAAGAGACTATCGTCCAAAATTATAGTGCTATACTGTGCCTGCTACAATAAATTCATAATAATGCTTATAAAATGGAAATAAATTCTTTTAATAATTTAAGAAAATTAGTGGGATCAGTGGAATCACTACAATGAATATGCCTGAGTTCATATATTTGTTCTTAGGAACAGAATAGCTTCAGTCGGAGTCGGAGTCTGGACAATTTTACCGACTCCGACTCCAGAAGCCGAAATTTCCTCCGACTCCTCGACTCCGACTCCACAGCCCTGATACAGGGTGCGCACAAGGTCGCCCAGTCATCAAAACATTACCGAGTTCTTCACCCGCCACCCACCACAGCCAGCCCAAGTCAAGTGATAGTGAAGATATGGACTTATATGGACTTTGAGGGGTTTGACAAAGAGGCCCTGCAAGCCTCTGTGGTGGATAGTGATACAATTGATACAAGTGATACAGGTGAGGGCCAATAATCTGCCCTCTGCCTCGGAACCAACCCCCCATCCCCGTGTGCCCAGCCATCTTTTCTACTAATGTAAGTGTTAAAAAAACTAATATTATTGATATTTCTCTTAATTATTAATTGTGTGTGCAATTAAGAAGTTATTTTTACTACAACGTAGGTATTGTGTCTGAAAAAGTGGAGTTTGGGGGTCGGCCCGGTCTCTATTTCAATTAATCTCATATGTTATGGTGTTCACTTTACGCGTTTCTCACTTTACGCGGGCCGCCGTGGGTTGAATTAACCGCGTAAAGTGAGGGTTCACTGTACAACAACTTTTTCATTTAATTCTAAGTATTTTTTTTTCTCCATCTTCAAACGTTACCTATAGTGGGTGGAGCATATCGCATGATACAGTATCTGTGCTTGTGAAGCATGAAAACAGTCTGTAAGAGTTCATCTGTCAATATGGACTAGTTGGGAAGACGTGCAAGTGTTCATAATGTGGCAGAGATCTGACAGTGAACAAGAAATATGTTTTGGTGCAACAACCATAACACTCTTACGTTCATATCAGATGTGGTAAATAAAACACTTGGTTGCTACATCCAAGCTTTACTTGACTCATTTCACTACATACCCGAAATAACACAGAAGCAAATGTTGTAACAATTCAAAGAGGAAACTACAAGAACAAAATAATATTACAGTATTTTCCATAATGATATTTTAAAAATATCACATTCTTCCCTCCTAGAAAATGTACACTAATAGTACGTAAACACAGCAGATAACTCAAATACATACTTCTCCTCAAGATACTAATTTACTTCAATACATGATCTTAATCCCAGCCATAACGATTGGGAGGCTTTGGTACTCGAGTAGACCTTCTGGGTCTCACCGGGGAAGGGGGAACATCTTCACTGGGTACTTCACACGATAAGTCACGACCTTGAATACTAAGTGTAGTAGGGGAATCCATCATTCTCGTCCCGTTGTCATGGACTCGAGAGGGCTGATTCTTGTGATCAGATTCTACATCATGCTGCTTCACAGTAGTTGTCAGACTTGTTGGACACGGGGCCAAATCACAGACAGATACTGTAGATTGGCGTCCATCTGGATACCTAATACTAGCATACTGTATGTTGGGTTTACATCAACAAGCTCAACTTGGTCTACTAGAGGTTCATTCTTGCTAGACCGGACAAAACATTGCAGCAGCACTGGTCCAGGGGACATAAACCATGATGGTAGTGAAATACCGTGAGTTGAGTGTCGTTGAAATCCAAAAAACCGCTCATGTGGGGTTGTATTAGTTGAAGTAGACAAAAGTGATCTAATTGAGTGTTGTATGCATCTGGAAGCACCAATTCCCAGTGTTGATCTGCTAGATTGTGTGACTTCAGTGTTAGACGAATAGCCTTCCATATGATACCCTTGTACCGTTCGACCTGTGCATTCCCTGTGGGATGGTAGGGTGTTGTCCTGCTTGTTGCGACAGCCTTTTGAGAAAGGTATGCCTTGAGCTCCCGGGACATGAAGGAGGTACTGTACCTCTGTCTGAGTGTATAAAGTTGGGTATTCCACAAAGGCTAAATATTGTTTCAAGACATTTGATCACAGTTGTGGTGTGCGTGTTAGGGCATGGGAATGCAAAAGAGAAGCGTGAGTACTCATCAACGGCTGTCAATGTATAAGGATTACGGGTCGCTGATGGTAGAGGCCCCTTGAAATCAATGCTGAGCCGCTCCATAGGCTGAGTAGCTTTGATGAGTGTCCCTTCCGATGGACGGTAGAACTGGGGCTTCAATTCTGCACGTGATCTTTTTACATCTTCTGTTGAGTATGGGAGGTTTTTTTTCTCACAAAGTGTAGGAGCCAAGTCACTCCAGGAAGGAAGAGTCCATTATGGATTTCAGTGAGAGTAGATGCAGGAAATGTTGAACAGCAAAATGCTCTGATCAGTGTATCAGGAGCCACATTTTCCTTTCCAGGGCGATACAGTATGGTGTAGCTGAAGGATGCTAGCTCCAACCTCCATTCTTGTATTTTGTTATTCTTTATTTTAGTTCGCCTTCTGCTGTCCAGCATAAATGCTACAGAGCATTGGTCAGTGATCAGCCTCTTTCTCTACATCTGGGTAATGTAGCTCACTACCCTGCAAAGTCCTGGACATGAATGCAACAGGACGGCCACCTTGATTCAAGACTGTTGAAATAGCTACTTCTGAGGCATCGCACTCCACTACAAATGGCAGGTCCTCATCGACAGATCATAGAGTTGCATCCACAAGTCGCTTTTTTAAGAGTTCAAATGTTGTCAAGGCTGCTTCGCCCAGTGGGAACGTCTTACTTCTTAACAAAGGTTGAATCATGTCTGAGGAATTGGGGATCCATTTGGTATAATAGGTGAACATTCCCAGTGCCCTCCTCAGAGATCCTACATTTGTGGGTGGCAGCAATTCTTGGAGTGGACGAATCCTCTCAGGGTCTAGCATTATGGTACCACTCCCTACACAATAGCCAAGAACATTGATGGAGGATACCGATTTTATGGATTAAGATTCATTGAGTGTCAAGTTTCTGCGCTCAGTGACTTCTAGAAATTTCCGAAGATGTTCATCGTGTTCAGCCTAGGTATGTCCGGCAATTGTAATGTTCCCCAAGTATGGGAAAGTATTCTTAAGATTTTCTTCTTCCACAAGCTTGTCCATTAAACGTTGAAAAAGAGCTACTCCATTTGTGACACCAAATGGTATTCTACAGAACTGATACAGTCTCCCATCAGCTTCATAAGCTGTGTACTTCTTGTCAGATTCCTTGATTGGAACTTGGTGATAGGCACTTTTCAAGTTGAATGTAGAAAACACACTGTAATTGGCAAGATTATTGACCATATCTTCTATCATCGGCAGTGGACAAGCATCTAATTCCGTATATTGATTAATGGTCTGAGAGTAGTCAATGCAGTCTCTCTTCGTGTGTCTGTTAAGAGGATCTTTCACCACAACAACCTGGGCGTGCCATGGAGATGAGCTTGCTTCAATGATACCTTCTGACAAGGATATCCCACGGCCTTGAAAAAACTTCCCCAAATGAGACGACATGCGGACATATTATGTATTGAGGTATAGGAGTATTTCCTGAATGCAATATAGCTTATTTTTGTACTATTTTGTTTGATATTATCTGAATATGTAATACATATCTAAATTTGCTGTTTAGTAACCAAATTGATTAAATTTATTTGGCATATACCAGACATTGATTTATACCAATTTCCTGCATTTTTGGGTATAAATGTCATTTTTTCTCTAAAATTTGCACACATATGTGAATTTTTGTTCCAGATTTGGAAAATATACTAAAAGTTCTCTAGGAAAAACATATAGAAAATGTGATTATATGAAATTCATTTTTGGCAGGATAATTGACACTTTTCAGGAACCGGCGCGAAATTTAATTACGCACCTAAAGAGTTAATGAAAAGGCGGTCATCCTTACTGAAGCACCGCGACTTGGTTACAATGAGTTTACATTCTGGTGGCAGGTTTGGAATTAGCTATGGCTCATCCATCAAAGCTGCTGAGAGTGCACAGACTGAATTGGTACCAGCAACTGTGAGCTCTGGTTTATGTCCTCCATACTCGAATGCCAGACTTTTGTGTTGTTTCTGAAAGTCTTGGCCCAAAAGCAGGTCACAACACAGGTCTTTTAAGACCCCAAGGCTGGTAGATGGATACATTTGGCCATTGAGCTCCAAAGTTACATTAGAAAACTCCGAAGAGCTGATACTGTACTTAATGACGCTGATGCCAGAGATCTCCTTAACGGATGGATACACTGTCAGATTTAATTTTTTCGCAGTGCTTTCAATTATGAAACTATCAGAACTAAATTAATCAATTAGTGCCTTCAGTTTGTGTCCATTTACTGTGACTTCAGTGGCTGCATGTGAGAAGCTCTGAGGAAATGGTTGTAATAGCAAGAACAGTAGGAATGTACAATGTAGCAGTAGTACTCACGGATGTCTTTGACCAACAGTCTTTAGCAAAATGCCCTTTCTTGCTGCAAGTATGGCAGGTAGCATCACGTGCCGGGCACTTGTTTCTAATGTGAAATGCACCGCTACAGAAGTGAACATTTCTTCCTAGCAGTGTAGACAGTAGCTAGTGTATGATCCTCATGGGGTATTTCTTTTTTTGTCTGGGGTTGCTCGGGTACAACTAGTGCAGCAGTGATGAGTAAGCATCAGCATTACGCTGGGCCAGGTCAAGTGAGTATGCCTGATTATAGGCATGAGTGGTGAGGAAATACCATTGATGAAGGCATCACGGATTAATTCTTCACGATACTGCTCTGCAGTAACTGGTTTCAAGTTACAGTCTTTACTGAGTTTGAGTAGTTCTCTTACAAACTCATCAAGGATCTCACCAGGCTGGTGCTGCCGCCGTGTAGCTAAGAGGTGTCTAGAAAAGATCTCGTTTACATCACAGAAGACATAAAATTATGCAATCCCGCTTCAATAAAAATGCTTTCATTGGCACCTGAAATCGAAGTAAGTTCTTTCTACTTACTATGTCGGGGGTTGGTTAGGAAGTTCGGTAGGTTTGGTTGGTTAGGTGAGGTTATGCTAGGTTCTGTGCATTGTTATTTCCAAATAACATCTCCACCATTATCTAATCTGCTAGTGTTGTGACAGCACCAAATGTAAACTCATTTAAGACCAGACTTAACCAACAATGATGCAGGTTTAGATACATTCTGGAGCCAGTTCAAGCCCAATACTTGTCAATAATGCATTACAGTCATAACCAGCTGCCCAAGCAGATAACAGACCAATTAATGGCAAAGAAGATAAAGTAAAGTATTGGTTCACAAATTATAGCATATTGCTACGGATACACTCCATTTCGTCACCAAATTGTAAGTTATTATCTTACACAAATAGAAATTACACATGTACTGTATACAGACAACTCGAGAATTACTGTACTGTGTTATTATTATACATGAATATTAATTATTTAATAAAGAAAACTATTAAAACATTGGAAAATAAACAAAATACAGAACATATGAAGGTGATTTGGCATCAGTGCATAAACCACCAGCAGCAAAGAACAATCTCGCTCTATACCGCCTTGTCCCTCTTCTTCACAGAGAAGCCTCAATGGTTGATTTGTAATTACTGTACTACAGGCACTAGTTGCAGAGCACAAGCTAAAATCGTGCACAAGAATAGCAAATCGTGACAAACAAGTCCATCTCTGGAAGTTGTGGGATGAATATAAAGAAAAAATATCACTTCTAATTTCCCCCAAAAAAATTTAAGTATCTTCTTCCAAGCTTGCACGAGTAATAACAATGTTTTATTTCTTTTGTTTTTTTAAGTGTTCCACATATTGTTTAAGTGAGATGATTGCAGGCATATTAACAATGTTTTTATTTTTGTTTTGCTTTAGTCTTTAATAAATTGTTTAAGTGTGATGTTTGCATGATCCAATGCATTGTTATGCCGAGGCATAATTTTGTAATACAATTTTGTAAACAAGGTGTTATGATTATTTTCTATCCCAAGCAACAGTTATTTCGGCAAATTTAGTGAAATATTCGTGTAAATATTGATATATTAATTATGTAAGAATTTTCTTGAAATGGTGATGGGAATGAACGCGGTGACAAAACGGGTAAAAAATGGTGACTAAACAGATAAAAAATGTGGTGATGAAACGGGTTGGTGACGAAATGGGCACACCCCATTGCTACATCACCAATAAACATTGGTAAATTTGCAGTTTCAACCCAACTACTGTTCGACCACAAATTTTTGTTTTCCTGTAGTATTTGGTCTGATTCACACGAATTTGACCTTCATTTCCATCGTAAACGAGTGGTGACTGAGTTATCAACCCCCTCCCCCACAATATTGTTCTCCTAAGCAGTCCGACTAATAGACCATACCTAAATGTATTTATAAGTTGTGAACTTCTCGATTATTATTTGATGTCATAAAGTCACAAAAAATTGGTAAACTTAATTTAATCTATGACATCAAATAATAATCGAGAAGTGATTCACAGCCCGATTTACGCTTGTAGGACCATCATTTGACTTCATTGCGACTACATTTAGGTACATTTGGGTAATTACTCGCTCCCTTGGTACATGCACGCGATCTATTAGCTCAGATTAAAGTAAGTTTTCCAATTTTTTTTTGCCTTTGTGACACCAAATACTAGTCGAGAAGTGGTTGGCAGTCCGATTTATTCATGTAGGACCATTATTTGACTTCATTGGGGCTACATTTGGCTACATTTGGGTAATTAGTCGGACCGGAGTTGGGGCTGAAAGTGCAATAATGCCTAAACATAAATAATTACTGTAAATTACCAACTGTCATCCAAACCCAATAATATGTAACATTATCATTCACAAATGTAAGTAATATTACATTTATCACTTCCATGGAGATTAATATTACCCAAGAATCTTAATATACAATGAAAAGCTAAGCCATCTCTTGACTGTTCAAAACTATGTTTCTCCTGCTCTGACATCACCTCGCACCTACTAGTATGTATTAGATACTCAATAATCATGGATATTTGATAAAAGTTTGAACATGTCTGCATTGAAACAATTTTGAAATCAGGCCGACCCATAAATCTTACACACAATGGCTCCCATCAACTAGCAATTTTATGTCCTTATGGCCCGGAATGGCGATCGATCTCAGCAGTCAGAAACGTTGCTATTAACAGTCATTCACGAGGATAACACTTAATAGTACCCTTGTATTACAATCTGCATTACCTGTTGAAGAGCCATGCAATTCGTTGTGTACTCTGGCATGAAGGTGTAGTGGTATAAACAGAGAGTTCCCGCACACAGCAGACTAGGATTGTTTACACTGTGCCAGCGACATGGCGGGGATGAGAGACACTCGGTTCAGGGAACACTGAACCAACACACGCACTACACCATAATACCTTACAACCTAAGTTTTCACTCACCCCTCTTTGGGTTGAATTTACTTAAAAATTCATCTAAATTTAGTAATGGAGTGCCATGAGTATCTAATTGTTCTTTTCAAGTTAAGATAATTTTCTTGTTATTGCACACCTTGAATTACTTCCTCCATGATGATAGCGCGCATGGCGGGAAGGTTTCCCATTTTCAATGATATTTTCCCGAGGCTAGATGTTAAAAGCAAGATATCGAAATTCTTACATAAATTGTTTTCTTTCTATATGAATAAAAAACTGAAAGTGACTCTGATAATAAAAGATATGAATTGTCCCAGTCCTACTAATATGTATGAGGAAGACCTGACTTTTGTGTTACCTATCGACACCGCATCCTTGTTTCAAAATTTACATGTAGTCTCTCTGTTAAGGCTTGTTTCAGGTGTTGCTGAAGTCTTATCACTCTTCACTGAAAGCTTATGTGTAAGTTTCAACAATTCTGAGAATATTTGGAACATGCATTCTGCCATGCAGTGACTAAACAGTTCACTGTAACGCTACTTGCAGGGGAAACAACCATCAAAATGTTGATGTTATCATTCAGATTTTAGCTTCATTTCTCCTACGAAATTCTTCTGTGTCTAATTAATCTTACGAGCGAGTTGATCTCTGTGTCTGATGGATTCTGCAATAGCCTGCTTTATTTATTATGCATATATTGTACAATATCCTTGTAAATTTTGCAACAAACCACCGTGTGAGATGTTTACATAAATAATTAACCCACGATGAGCACAATTAAGTGCAGGAAAGAAGTAATACGCTGCCTGATTTGCTTGATGGTTGGTTATTTTTAGCCTCCGTAATAAATCATTAACCAAGAAGAATTACGACATTATGGTCATGTCAAATTATATTATTCATTTATAACCACAGAATCCTTAGACTGCGCTTGTGGGGTACCACTACACGCTTCCGTAAAAGTGATCTTTGACTGCACTGAGTTTGAACTTTTTTATCGCTCTATATCCACGACTCTTTCAAGATTTATTAGACATTTGGTTGTAAACAATGACTGATGCAGAAAACAGTTATGATTTGCGGGTGTCACCAGACACTCCACTGGCTATGTTTTTCATTAAACTGTATATTAAGATTTTCGGGTAATAGTTTTCTCCGTGGAAATGACAGACATACAGTAATATTAATTACATTTGCGCACGATAAAATTGACGAGTTAATAATTATAATTTGTGTACCAGTACTTTACTTTATCCTCTTTGCCATTACTTTTACTTTTATCCTCTTCACCACTGATCGGCTTGGGCTTGGGCGATCGGTCACGTCTCTGTTACGCACTGTTGGCAAGTATTGGGCTTGAACTGGCACCAGAATGTATCTGAATCTGCATCATTGTTGGTTAAGTCTGGTCTTAAATGAGTTTACATTCGGTGCTGTCACAACACTGGCAGATTAGGTAATGGTGAAGATGTTATTTGGAAATAACAATGCACAGAACCTCACCTAACCCAACTAAACCTGCCTAACTTCTTACCCAGCCCTCGGCATATTAAGCAGAAAGAATTTAATGTACTTTTATATCATTGTCCGGGTCCCTAACAAAGTGTTAAGGCTCATAAGAAGCAGGAGAATAAGCTACGTCCCTTCAGGATCGCTTTATTTTATCCTCTTCGCCATTTGTGTCTGTTATGCACTGTCAGCAAGTACAGTACTGTATTGCATGGGCGGATCCAGGGAGGTCCTAGGGGTCCAGACCCCCTTTTCATCAGAAAATTCCAATACATTTTCTTTAATGCAGTATTGTACTCAGGCATTTTTGCATAGTAGAAAGTAATTCCTATTGACCTCAGAATATCTCCTAATAACAAGTGCACATGGATTCAATATTGCCTGAAATTCCCATGATACTGGTCAGATTTCAAAACAAATCCGGAGAGGGGGCCGGGAGCCCCCCTCCCCACAGCTGGGTGGGCTCGGCTCGCTATGCTCGCCATGTTTCCCACCAATAACTTCTTGGACTCCTCCCCCTTTTGATATTCCTGGATCCGCCCCTGCAATTATTGGGCATGCACTGATGCAGGTACAGATACATCCTGGAACCAGTACTTACCAACAGTGCGTAACAGAGACGTGATCGGCCGCCTAACGAGCCGATCAGTGACAAAGATGATAAAAGTAAAGTAAAAGTTAACCATCACTAGCCGACAGTGTTGGATAACTGGCGCGAGTTTAGTTAGGTATGCACCCACACATGCCCAGTACTTGCCAATAATACTTACTCGTTTTATCTTAATGTTCGGAAATACAAAGATAACTATATTTTCGATTTTGATCTTGCCAAAAGTTGACGTAGATGAATGTTTCTAGAAGGTTCTGCTGTCGCTGTTTCTTGAAGATTGTTTGGAAAATGCAAGTAAAGATTGTAATTCAGAGCTCACAGTGTCACAGGTCCCCCTCTAGAATCTCAAGGTCAACTGTCCTGTCTCTTACCGTTATGTCAAGGCCAGGGTCCGATCCTCAGTCCGGATACACGTGAGAAGGGTATTATCCAATGTGACCCTACCAAACATCACAGGTTTCCCGGTCCCCGGTTTCCTCCAGCAGGACCAGTACGAAAACGAAGAGTCGATAGACCAAGCGCCCGAACGTCTAGTAAGATGATGAGTGGCGAAAAATTATAAGAAAACGCACTCCCGTACTCAATGTACGGGTAGCGTTCATCCATTGGGTAGTGAAGTATCACTGAATTATAAATCCATAAAATGAGTATTTAATATATATTCCCGACTTGACCAAAACTGGCGCAGCTACAAAAACATCCAGGAGCCAGTGCAATTACTGTACTTGCCAACAGGCGTAAAAGGGACGTGACCGACTGCCCAAGCGGCTAATGAGATGATTAGTGGCGAAGAGGTAAAGTTAAAGCACATACAAGTAGTTTCATTACTGTTTCTGGTACTTTACTCATCTTCTCCATTTCTGTTGTAATCGCATCTCTCATTGGCATTTGAACCTCAGCAGTCTCTCCGAGTTACCTGTTTGCGTATACTGTATAACAACAGGCCCAAAGTTCCCCAAACAGGGTACACCTTAAGCTGGGCAGCTGAAGCGCCGTTTTTAAATTGCCAGAGAAACATTGGAAGCTCAGTGAAAACAAATGCTTAATACACTTTATCCACTCACTTTCATCTCCTTTGCGAAATTATATTTTTGTGTTCGATGCAACATATATTTAATCTCAAGAGTTTCAATCACGACGGCAGAAAATGAGAGCATTATATATTTCTCGTACATGAGGCATACAAGAGCGTCACACACCTCTCCCCGCTCTCTTACTAAGGGTGCTCCCGCTGATCCGGTTGTGCTCATGCTTCTCATCCTGAATGTTTGGTAAGGGAAATTTATTGTAAAATAACACACTTAGTTGTAGCGTTAGTGTTGGGGAATTACTGTAGTTACAAAGATCCCCTGGTGAGGTATCCAGTATGTCCGTAGTAACGAAGCTGCCACTATCTTATTGGTGCTGGCCATACTTATTGCTGACGACATTACATTCTACTCAGGACCAGACTGTGACTCCTCCGTGTTCCCTTTGTACAAGAAACACCAAGTTTTTTTTACCCCAGGCCAAAAATAAATCAATGTCAACTTTGTAAACGTGTAAACAAACCTTGTCTAGGTCTATGGTACCGTTAATGTTATTAAGGAGAATATTCCCTTGTCATTAAGGAGGATATTCCATTATATTTAACCTACAGTTATACAGCAGCATATCTCATTCAGATTTGGTACTTTTTCGTTATAACCCTGCAAAATGTTTAAGTTCACAAGTTGGTTTTAATTAACCTAACAAATCTAACCTAGACTGGGTTAGATTAAGGTTAGTTTGGTTTGGTTAGTTAAGTTTGGTTATGTTTTCTTAAGTTAGATGGTTAATCCTGGAGCAGATGGCTAACACCAGAATGGGTGCACTATATCACAGGCTAAGTCCTTTTATACATCTCGACTCACTTAATTTAAGAGAAAAGAAGAAATTGAATGACAAAATACAGGAAAGGAAAGTAAAAATTAAAGTTTAACACTTACCCTGTACACTGAAACCTTGGGCTGGCTGATCTTCCACCCATATCACTAACAATCTTTCCATTTCAATTAACAATCCACTTCTTTGAATTACTGTAGATCCATTTACATGTTCAAGAATTTTGTGTTTATCTTTCAAAATTGTTCATATCGTTGACCGACTTTACCAATGATTGAGGATGTTTCACCCTTTTCAGAATGTTTAATTACATCAACTTTCACTTCCATTGTAATTGTTTTCCTTTTCTTGGCTGCAGTACTATCACTTACATCAGGTTTGCATTTGGGAGCCATGATGAGGGCAGAAAAAGAGTTAATAAGCAAAAGACAACAGTTTGCACTTGATCACAGACATTACCGAGGTGAGGGCAAAGCATACTGACTCCCCCTCAAGGTGCATGGCTGGGTGACGCATTACTCCCCACGCGCAGCTCTCTCACCGCTACACCACGCAAATTAGTTCTCGCACGTTAATACTACGAACAGGTTGTACAGTACTTATGTCCTATTCTTAAAATAATTGTCTTGATGGGACCTAATTCGTATCGGCGGATGTTCGCAAGTCGAATATTTATAAGTTGGGGACCGACTTGAGTAAACTTCTCTGTAGTAAATACAAAAGCTTTTTTCCTCAAGTAACATACTGTAGTGTACAAAAATTGCAGGAGGAATATGTTTTGCGAGATATCAGTTTTGACGTGTGAAATAGGTGGGTTAGTCGTCAGCATTAGCCGAGGAAGACGGCCAAAAACAACCTTGCCAGGAGTGCCATGTTTAGACTGTAGGAATACTGTAGTTCTTTTCATAACAAGGAATTTTATTTTATTTGAGAAGAACAAAATATGGACAGGTTCATTTTATGGCCAATCGGGAATTCTATTACTAAAATGTTTTATTCCTATGATTTATGTTTTTCATTTTGATTTTAAACAAATATGACCTTTCTTTTTGGGGCTCAATCAATAAATCAGAGTACCATCCTTGTATCTTAGGGTTGGTGACCATATTCCTGCACTCTAAATGTTATGGGGCTCTTTTTAAAATGCACAAGATACGTATAGGTACAGCAGGTGTATGTAAAACATCAGTGTCTATTGGTATGGCAGCCTGAAGTGCATGCATGGACAGACAATACAATGATAGTTATTAAGATGGCCTTCTTTCTGACTAACCTAAGCTCTTTGCCCAAGTGGAAGAAAGCACCACATACTGCATCTTGAGCATGCACGATTCTTTGCTGTACCATTAACCCCACAGTCCGTCGATATGGCTGCCGCACCTGCATCCATTGTGTTAAAAATCCTCCAACATTTTGTATCTCTCTAGGGACTCAGTTTTTAATTTCATTCATCCATCCTAGTCTCCTAGTCTCTGCCTTTCCCTAGCCCTTCTACCCTCAACTTTGCCCAATAATATTTCGGTAAAGGTGGAGCAGATGGTTAGCAACAGAATGCATTTATATATTTCTTTCATATTTAACACAGTTGTTCATTGGATGGTACAGCTGCTCCTCAACTTATGATGGGGGTTAGGGACCCAAATCCAGGTCGTAAGTCAAATTGGTCGTAAGTCGAAAATGCGAAAATAATACATAGAAAATCTAAAATGGGTGTCTCTTTTTCTTCTCAGCACCACAAAACTCTCACTTTAAAGCTTGTCAGCCATTTTAAAGGGAATTACAAACGAAAATTTTGTCAGTACACAGCGCAATCACTAATGTCGGGACTCGAAAATACGTAATTTGAAAAGATTTTGGTACGACTGGGTGGTCGTAAGTTGAGGAGTGGCTGTATGTACTGAGTAATAAAATAAAAATTACAATATTGTAGTGTTTTTTCTTTGTAGCCTAACATTCGTTCATAAATTACTTATTAGTGGGCAGGGCCTGAAAGAAAAGAGAAATAAATGGGTAAAAAACACTGTGAACACTGATCATATGGCAGTACTGTAATTTCATGTCTCTGTTTCCTTTGTAGGCAAAGAAATATATTTAAAATAATTATGGCGCCATCGGATCTCCCGTGGCGACCATGATTTGGTTCACACCGTCTGCTATATACTGTATATATATATATATATATATATATATATATATATATATATATATATATATATATATATATATATATATATATATATATATATATATATATATATATATATATATATATATATAATTGAATTCCTTAATTTTTTCTTCAGATGTTTGGATGATATCTGAAATAAGAAAATCAAAATGCAATGCACAGGTTAGGAAATTTAGTAAAGTTAGGTTAGGTTCTAATAAGTTCTGTGTATTGTCATTTTGATTTTCTTACTCATCCAAACAACATCTGAAAATTTGGTGCAATTCCATAGAGTCCTTCTGGGGCTAACCGTCTCCTCCACCATTACCAATATTTGTTTTTATCTCCTCTTCCCTAATTGACCTAAGTACAGTACTGTATCTCATTTTTCTATTTCTATACATATAAAGTATTTCTCTTGAAGTTTTTGCTAACTTTATACTTCTTCATTTGTTTTCCTGTCAGTGTAACTTATTCTTAACATTTACCTACACCACTTTTCAAAGGTCTCCAACCTCTTTCTGGTGTCTGCTGAAGGTGTCCACACTTCTGACCCATACATCAGTACCTGCCATATACATACAGTAGGGTCGGGATATATCGCAACTTTATATAACGATTTTTTTTTATATCGCGGCTACCAAAATTATATAAACTTTCCTATACGGTCTCTCCTCGACTCACGACAACCTGGACATACGACGGCCATGGTCGTATAAAATATTTTTCACATTACGTATTTTCGAGTCCCGATGTTAGTGATCGCTCTGTGTACTGATAAAATTTTTGTTTGTAATTCCCTTTAAAATGGCTTGCAAGCATAAAAGTGAGAGTTCTCGTGGTGCTGAGAAGAAAAAGAGACACTCATTTTAGAATTTCTATGTATTATTTTCGCCTTTTCGACTTACGACCTGATCGTTGGGACGGAACCCCGTCGTAACTCGAGGAGAGACTGTATATAGCGATATTTTTTTTTTTTTTTTTGCGAGGGAAATCGGGCAGGAAATATTTCAAATGTACCACCATGGCAAACAAATGCGTTATTTGCTCACCAGAGGCGCCACCGTGGCTGCTCACTCGCGCGTTCACGCTCGCCCGCTCAGTCTTTCTGAGTGAGTGACAAGAAAGCAGCCGAGTGCTGCAGATTACGACTTCTAAGGTGAGTATAAATGGGTTGATATTGATGTGAAAAGTAAAGTGAGATAATGGAAATGATTTAATACTGTAACTAATATTTTATGATTGTTAAGTGTGGGTGGCAGTATGTCGTCTGTTATTCTCGGGATGGCGCGTCAGCTGCCGAGTCTGGTGCAGATTCCAATTTCTAAAGCGAGTGTAAATGTGTTGCTAGTGACGTGAAAAGTGAAAATAATGGAAAGCTTAATGGAAAAGATTATTACTGTAACTAATATTTTGGGTGTTCATTTATGTAGGTGTGGAATTGTCAAGTGAGGGTGGCAGTGTGGCGTCTGCTGCCGAGTCTGGTGTTCCCAGGATGGTGCGTCAGCTGCCGAGTCTAGTGTTCCTGAGTCTGGTGTTCCTTGATATTGAAACAGTCTGTTGTTCCCAAGTCTAGTGTTCATATGTGCTTTAGTTAGTAAGAAAATGAACTCGTTAAGTCAAGTTTAGTCACTTTTTTTGGCCTCCAGAACCTAACCCTATTTTCCCCATTGATTACATATACTGTAATTATATATCGCGATTTAGTATATAGCGAACATCGTTGGACCCTATCTCGCGATATATCCCAACCCTACTGTATAGCCTTTCACCAGCCCCTTTTCATTAGGTTTTATAGATGATTAAATGCTGCTTTTGTAAAGGAGCTGAAACACAAATGATTAACGTACAGTACTGATACTATACTATTGGTGAAATTTTTGAACATGCCAAACTCTCCCAAGAAATTTGAACTGTCATCTGATTGGTCAAAGCAAATTTTGTAAAGTTCACTTGAAAGAGATTTGAATATACAGGTACAGTAATATGCCACAAAGATCTGTTTAATGAATTTAAAATCCGTCAATATTGTATCTGGGTCTTGGCCAGATCACATCCACTAAACATAAACACGATTCGTTGTGTACAAAACCAGATTCACAAAATCACTTTATGCACATGTCAGATAAATACAGGAAGTTAAGAATTTAAAAAAATGGATTATAGGTTAGGTCGGGTTCTCAAAGGTTCTATTGATGTGTTTTTGGTTTGGTAGGTTAGTTTTCTTCATTTTATGAATGATAAATTAAGAGATTGAAGCAAAGGAAAAATAAACATGGCGTAAGGATGTCGCAGCTCCGCAGACAGAAAAGCAACAATTTGGAAAAGTGAAATGATGCAACACACATTCCTCCTGTATATTTATAAGTTTCTCAAGGTTAGAAAGCTTCCATATTCTATGGAGAAATTTTTGCAGGTTGCTAAGGCTAGATCACTCTTGTCAAGTGTTATTGAAAAAACTGACTTACAGGTATAATCATAAAAGAATTTGCAAGTATAACAGAAAAACAGCCAAGGTTTTGACAGTTCATATAAAGAGAAGCACAAATGCTTAGAAAATAGAGGAAAGATTAAGATAATAGATGAAAACTTAATTCTTGATTTTGATTAATGATTAATTATTTTCATATTTATACTGTACTGGATAACTATCAATTTTGACTACAGTGTAACCCCGCTTTACGCAGTCAATTGAACCCACGGAGGCCCGCGTAAAGCGGGAAACGCGTAAACTGAACAACAGAACATATGGGATTAATTGAAATAGAGACTGGGCCGACCCCCAAACTCCACTTTTTCAGACATAATACCTACGTTGTAGTAAAAATAACATCTTAATTTTATGATGGTATGCACACACAATTAATAATTAAAAGAAATATCAATAATATTAGGTTTTTTAACACTTACATTAGTAGAAAAGATGGCTGGGCACACGGGGATGGAGGGTTGGTTCCGAGGCAGAAGGCAGATTATTGGCCCTCCCCTGTATCACTTGTATCAATTGTATCACTATCCACTACAGAGGCTTGCAGGGCCTCTTTGTCAAACCCCTCAAAGTCCATATAAGTCCATATCCTCACTATCACTTGACTTGGGCCGGCTGTGGTGGGTGAAGATCTCTGTAATGTTTTGATGACTGGGCGACCTTGTGTGCACCCTGCCCGCGCCACTTCCCGCGTATATGAGTAGATGCACCTCGTAAAGTGGGAATTCCGGTTCTGGTGGGGTACCACGTAAATGTAAAAACGCGTAAAGCGGGGTATTGCTGTAATTGGACACCCTAGAGGCTAGAGGTACAGGACAATACAGAAGGAAACTTGCAATGTTCGGTTGGACAACACAGGATAACACATTTGACCCAAGTCACAGTGGTGAGAGACAAGCATGATATTGTACTGCAAATTTGATGGGGGATTAAGGTGATGTGATTTATTTAGAACTTCATGCTTTATCTATTTATGGTGGATTGATTCTGTCAATTATCCTCCATTACTGTACCAGTACACAAAAAAAGAAAAAGGGGGGAAAAATAGAAACATCATATGGTATTGGCCACTATTCACTAAGAGAACAAAATACTGTATGTATACTTGTAGTATAATGTTACCTAACCCCTCAACTAAGGGGATGCCACTTTTAATATTTTATATGGCTAGTAGATTTAATATTTGCCTAGTGGAGTTAGGATGATCGCCATCCCTAAACACGGATGGGAGGGATATCATATAGAAGGCACAGAAACTCGAGCAGGTGACAGAGCACAGTACTGTATAATAATGTGTACAGTCCCAGATCGAAGTTCATGATACAGTTAAGGTGGAGGGTGCAAAATATGCCCCCACCCTTAGTGGATGACACAATTCATGAAATTATAAAAAAATGTATATAATATAGCTACACAAAAATAATAGATACGCAAATGAAAAGAGACTCTTGGTATTCTGCATTACACAATAAAAATATCTATTTGCTGGACAGTTGGAGACGAGTAAACTAAAGTTCTATCCTAGTAAATCAAAGCAGCGATTTTACTTAATATCTAAACAGGTAGACCTGTTTGTACCGTAGTAATAGGTTAAGAAGAATTTTTCAAAATCCAGCCATTGCCTCCAGCACACAAACAAGCAGTTCAACAATCGAGCTCTGATACTTCCATTTCTTAATAAGGACTGGGAAAGGATGTCATTGTTTTGTTTAACGAAACAATTTACCAAATCAAGTTACATACACATTATTTGACATACTGTAATAGGTTAGGTCAATAGTAGATAATCATGACCTTCTTTACAATATAGAATCCTCCAAGCTGTATTTTCCCTCCAAATGGTAGTCAGGACAGTATACTAAGTATGAATGTAAGGGATAATATGGTTCATAAGAGAACATTTATCACTCCCCATGATAATGGCTTATCATGGGGTTTACCGCACATAACCTTTTCCCTAAACTGGATGACATGATTGGAATACTGTACTGTACTGTATAACCGACATATGAGCGACCTGATTAATATAAAAGTGAATTTTCAAATCTCAAATGTTCGTAAAGCGAGAGATACCTGTACAGTATACGAAAGTGTTCCTACTGCATTTTTTGTCAGTTTCTCAAGGTAAGAAAGCTTTCATATTCTGTGAAGAAATTTCCTCACGTTGGTACTGTACCAAGGCCAGACCATTCTTGTCAAGTACTGTACATTACAGTAAGTCCTCGCTTAACGTCTTGGTTCCGTTCCTGAAAACCGAGGCGTTAACGGAAACGACGTTAACGAAATAAATTTTACCCATAAGAAATAGATAAAATACGGGAGTTACGTTCCCCAGCCTTCCTTTGTCCCCTAAAATACGTACATACATTACATATACTGTACAGAAATTCAGTGGCCTTTTTTATAGAAAATAGTATATACTGTACAGTATATAAATAAACTAAATAATTTTGTATTGTACTCACTGATGGACGGAGGAGTTTGGTGGGTAGTGGAGCAGAGGAGGAGGAGGAGGAGGAGGGTGGCGAGTCACTGAGACCTTGCGGGTGGCTCCTCCTGCTGCTCTGTTTGCTCCTTCTTGCTTGCAGCCTGTTGTGAAAATGCTGCTCCTGCCTTCCAGCGACGAAAAAAAGAATCCTTGTAGATCTCATAACAACTAAGAGTTTCCTCCATGTTGCGTACAATCTTTGAGCTACGTTCTCTGTTTGAGTCATCATTAATGAAGATTTGCATTCCTTGCTGGATCATGTCGAACGCTTTTGCCAACCTCTTGGTAGTTAGCGTTCGTTGTGGTTCTTCTTCGTCATCGTCTTCAGCGGCACTGTGTTCTGTTAGCAGTTGCAGATCTTCATTAATAAGCTCTTCTGTATGGGATGCCAGGTCGTCCTCAATATCCTCAGATTCCAACTCCTGAAAGCCTGCCTGTGTAGCCAAGCTGAGGATATCCTTATTCACAAATGGGACTAAGTCCGTGAATCCCGTAAAACTGTTCACACACTTGGGCCATAACTTACACCACACACCATTTCTGAGACTTCTTGCCAATTTTGTCGATTGCATGAAGAATGTTGAAGCCTTGCCAATATTCTCGGATCGGAGGTTTATTTTCTCCATCAGTAGCCTTGAGCAGTTGGTCCATGGTATGCCGTAAATAATACGTCTTGAATGCGACGATAATGCCTTGTTCCAAAGGCTGCATCAGTGCTGATGCGTTGGGAGGCAGGAAGATAACTCGAACATTGTCATGTAAGTGTTTGAGACTGGGAGGATGTGCTGTAGATTGTCATAGACACATCTTTTCAAACTACAAATGTGATAGTTTTAGTTTTATTTTAATGTCATACACACTTTTTTAAAACTGCAAATGTGTTACAGTAATATTTTTGTCTTTTAAGTCAGAATCATCCAATTTTGCCATTGTACATACTGTAATATACTCTTCCTAAGGCATTGCAGACTAGGGCTTGAGTAGCTGCTCAACCACAGGTGTCAGCTTCCCCAGTTTAGTGTTTACATACATATGCATGTAACATGGTTAGGTTTATGTAGGGTTTTTCTGCGAGTTTAGTTTATTCCTCGCGGAGCATGGGGGGTGTGACCAAGCGATGTAATAGCCCGTCTTATAGGCAGAAGTATTTATATAAACGGGTTAATTACATTTGATTTATGTACTCTATCACCCTCTGTAACTTTCCACTAGCTATGAGGTAGCATGTTCAGAGCACGTGATAAGGTGTGCCCATAGGAAGTTGCGTCACTTAGTGCTGAATTAAGGCATTAAGTAGCCGGCTCTCTGGCCATCTCTTGCAGCAGTAGTTTGATGTCCTTGACGAGAGGAAGACGTTATTAAGAGCCATCGTGGATGGTTCCGTTTTCCCTCGAGGGAGGACATATATTACCGTTCTCCCTCGAAGGGGCATTGTCACTCAACCCCTCACGCCAACCGGACGTATTTCAAAGAGCTATTTAATATAGCCTCCGTCCTAATTTTAAGACTCATAGCTACAGTGATTAAGTTACGGTGATATACACTTGGAATTGTATATAATATATTTTCTTAATAAATACAGAAAGGACAGTTGGGGTTCGCTACTCAAACCCAATATACTTTTACATGTCCCAGCCCCATTAACCCAGAAAGAATCAACGGTTACAGGGCCAGTTCATCATTGTCAATGACAAGAAGAATTTTGAAGTCCAGGTTCTCCTTGACACAAAATCCTTCAGTGCAGGGACGGCTTACACAGTTAACCACTGGCTAAATATGGCGCTGGTTATCCCTGCCTTCTTATTTGCCTTGTAGATAACAGGAAGGTGTAACCTTTCAGGGCCCGTGAGTTGGCAGCACGAGAAATTAGCATAGGCTTCAGCTTGAAGTCGCCAGCAGCGTTCACGCCAAACAGCAGCTTCAAGAGATCTTTTGCCGCTTTAAAACCTTGCGCTCTTTTTTTTTCTTCCTTGGAGATATGGGTTCTTTCATGTATCCTCTTCCAAAAGAGATCAGTCTCATCCACATAGAAGACTTGCTTCACTGAGTAGCCTCCTTCCTCGATAATGCTTTTGAACTCCGGCAGGAAAATCTCGCCGGTAACCGTATCTGAACTAGCAGCTTCACCAGTCATCTTAATGTTATGGAAGTTATAATGGTGCTTAAATCGTTGAAACCATCCTCGGCTGGCCTTAAAGGTCTCATCCTTCGATCCTTCACCCTCTGCTGCCTTTAAGTTGTCGATAAAGGATCTTGCTTTATGCTGGGTAACCATAAGGCTCACAGGGGCATTGCATTGATTCTGGCCCTCCATCCACATAGTCAGCATCTTTTCTAGCTTTTCAATCACGGAACTTCGAGCACAACTTGTCTTTGTTGTACAGTAGAACGTCGATATGCTCGCGAGATAAGTTCCAAGAGAGGTCACTTTAAACAGAATTCGCACTAAATCGAACTCTTGTTTTATTGGAATAATTTCGTCTGGTGCTTGAGAGAAACCCAAAATACTAAAAAGACTAGGAGTCTACCCAGATGCACCTCAGCCCATCTCTTAGAATAAACCAAACATTGTTCACTTTTCTCAAAACGGGTTAAACGGGTCTTATGTTACTTCTTCACAACACTAGCATCACCATTTTGAATGGTTAGAGTACAGTATTAAGAGCAAAAACACTTACACACGTACGAACGCTGTGGAAGCCTAACAAAGACTGGGGACACTGTATGACCATCTGCGAGTGAGAGCATAGCGTGCCTAGCTGAGAGTGTCGTAGCGCGCCAAAAAATGCGCCGTACATAGTAGTCCGTGACGACGTTATCCGAATTATGGGTATCTAAAGTATAGCGATGCTATAACGAAACAACATTATCGGGGGCAACGTTAAATGAGGACTTATTGTATTACCAACTTCATATATGTGAAGTGAAATAGCACTTGGATCATAGTTTTTATATTGGGAACAATATTGAATTAGTTAGGGTTCAGTGCAAACAATTCAGCTTAGGACGATGGTCACTTCCATGTCATAGTTTGGGTGTTTACCTGTTTTCACTTTTTATTAACCTGTTCTGCATTTCTCTCATGTATAGGTAGATTAGAGGGATTTTTTTTTTGCCAGACTTTCACTGTACTTCAGTGCTTGAAAATTTCTATGGTCCGGCACAAGTCATGTCCCAAGTGCTCCAGATTAGAGGGGTTTGACCTGTTGCACCAATGGTACCTTTACTAGGGATAAAAAGTCTTCTGGGTTTTTTTTTTTATTTATTTTTTTTTATTTATTTATTTTTTTTTTTGCATATGGAAATTGTTAATGAGGTGATCACTTTACTGTGTAGTACTGTACTGTACTTGCAAATTTTATTTTTCCAGCCATAAATGAGCAGATATACAGTACATTATTTATTAATTGCAGTTGTATGTGGCAAAGATGACTGAAGAATTTGTCCAACTGAAATGGAACACCCACAAGTCTATCTTCCTGGAGAACCTCAGTGGCATGCGAGATAAGGTGAGTATACATTACGGTATTTTGTACTGAACACTACTAGAATACTGTACTCGTATAAGGTCGATCACCCAAGAGTCGCTATACAATATACAGTAGTGTACAGTTTGCTTTAGTGCACCAGGTGACCCATGCAACAGCTCTTGTGCCCTGATCAGTACAGTAATTGCTTACTTTTCCCATCACCCTACTTGCCTCAATTGTCTGTTTTTGTTATATGTCATCCAGGGAGGGGGGGGGATGCATGCTTCCTGTGTGTCCAGACTTCCAGGAGTAGTAAACTGGATAATTTAAACAAATTAAATTGTGATGGACTTCAATCAAAGTTGATACAAGAGCTTAGATGAGATCAATTATTAATATTTTCTCTCATCACTGCTCAAAGTGAAGACCCTTTTGATTTCTCTATGGTATAATTGTGGACCTATGTGCCTTAATTGAAAACTGTATTCCATACAATGCATATTTTCACTCCCATATTATATAAGTTAAAGAAGAAATTTTCCCCTACACACTCCCCTTACTGTGTTGCATTGTCCATTGTTACGAGTGTGGACCTATGCTACTCATATCTCATTTTGTAGTGTGTAGATTTACCATTACTTTGACTAGTGCACTGTTGTCTAAGCAATCTTCTAGTACATTTCCTAACCCCTCAATAAATCTATCAGTGAAGTGAATGAAAGACACCAACTGGATCAAGAGATGCATGAGTTTGAATGTGGAAGGGCAGAGAGCTGGGGGTAGGCTAAGTATGGCCTGAGTAGAGGTTCTAGGAAATTATCTCGGAGATAAAAACCTGACGAGAGAGGCTGCAAGAGACTGCACAGCATGGAGGGCTGTTATCAAGTAAGCATGGTGGACCCATGCAAGCATGGGAAATGGCTGTAAAATAGTGATGCTAATGAGAGTATTTGTAGTGTGTTTCACATTTATCAACCAATCTATTAATAATAGACTACCTTGTGTATGGAACTTTGGAATTACTTTTAGTAGAAATCTTTATTTTAAAATCATTGCATGGATAAAATATCTTATCCGGTTATTTTTTCTTATCTCTTACAGCAAATATTCACTGATGTCACTCTGTCTTGTGGAGATCAGTTCTACCCAGCCCATCGGTTAGTGTTGTCATCATGTAGCACCTTTTTAGCCCAAGCCTTGGGAGTGGCCAACTGTCGCTCTCCAGTTTTACTTTTACATGGTATTGAGCAGACCACTCTTGAGCAACTACTGATGTTTATGTATGATGGTCAGGTAAGAATTTAATATTTATTTTCTTATTTCTTATACGTACAGTAGTAGCAGAGATATCTGTTTTTGTTGTGGTTCCTCTTTTTCTTTCTTCTTCTTACAAACAGCAACTGAATGTTATTCCTTCATGTTTGGTCCAGTGATGCTGAAATTGGGAGACATGCATGCTCAGAGACGACACTACCTATTTCTTTATTGTTAATGGTCAAGGGAGCAGATCACCTGTTGTGTTTTGTAATATGATTCGTGGCAGTACCTCAGATTAGTGGTTAGACAAAGAGGAGTACAGTACATAAGTCAACTCTACTGAACATGCACCCATCAAAGTTACCAACAACCCTTTCAAAGATTCTTGAATGTTTAAATAATGAAAATCAAACATAAGCACACCATATCCCCATTGATAATGACTTGTAGTTTAGATATGCAGATCTACTAACAATAGTGGGTTGTCTATTAAACCTCAAATCAAAATCCGACTCATAGCTATCCTACATCTTAAATCAGCTCATGTTTAGTGTCACCCACATTGGAGTAAGAAATCCACAAACAATGTTGACTTGAGATTTGTTGATGTGAAGTATGAGTCACAAGCCTGGGGCCAAGGCTAACCATTCCTGCATAAACATTAACTTGGACTCTGGAATGCCAGCAATAAACACAAGCAAACTGATAAAACTTAATATCAGTTTTACTTTCATGATAAGAATTAGAATTGTAGTAGTTCCTACCAACCATTCCTGAGATGTTGCAAAGAGGTTTTTCTCTCATCACCCCTTCCTAATTTATTGTATTTATTTTATATAATGAATCATAAATTGGTAGTTGCTGTGTATATTATGAGCTCATTTAAAATATTTTTGGTTGCATAATTCATAAAATTTTCTCTATTTGATCAATTTACTCTGAAATTTTGTCTAGAGAAATACTACAGTAGAACGTCGATTTAAAGCGATTCAATTTAAAATTATTGATTTCAAGCGACGCCCACAATTAAGGACAATGTATTAATTTAAAGCGAATCTCCTATTTTACGCGAGTCATTCTGGCACATCATATGGAAATACAGACTACAGTCTCTCCTCGACTTATGACATATTCGACTTGCAACAACTCGGACATACGACAGCCATGGTCGTATAAAATATTTTTTCACATTAGGTATTTAAAAGTCCCGACTTTAGTGATCGCGCTGTGTACTGATAAAATTTTCGTTTGTAATTCCCTTTAAAATGGCTGGCAAGCGTAAAAGTGAGAGTTCTTGTGGTGCTGAGAAGAAAAAGAGACACTCATTTTAGAATTTCTATGTATTATTTTCGCCTTTTTTATTTACGACCAATTCGACTTACGATCTGGTTGTTGGGACGGAACCCCGTTTAAGTCGAGGAGAGACTGTATTTTAAAATTCACATCTAATGTTTACCGCCAGACGTGTCTCTGGACATGCAACACGGCTGCCTGCCACCCTCACGCATCCTCAGTTCTCGCACTGACACTCTAGTGGACAGACATATTATGTGATACTATCTCCTTCTACCACGTGCATCAACCATCGCCACTATGTCCAAGAGGCCAGCTACTACATCATTAACTACTCCAAAGACTAAGAAATCAAGGCAAGCAATTACACTGGAATCAGAAAATCAAGGTGCTGGAAGCACGGCAGTGAGGAAATGATGCTTCAAGTGTGGGGCGTCAATTTGGACAGTGATGTGGATAATGAGCTGGTCGAGTTGGGCTCTGCATCTTCAGAGGATGAATTGCCTGACTAAAGTTGAGTGAAAATCTATTTTTGATAGCATAAAGTAATTAAAAAATAAGTTGAGAGGAAAGTGAAATTGCTTGGTGAGTCAGACGAGAAGCGGGTGGTGCGTGGCGCCAGCGTGACCACCCTCTCACATCAGCTGATCGCTAGTAAACAGACCATTTCGCTTCCCGTAATTTTAGCTGTGTTGATTTATGAGTGTTTGTTTTAGCATAATACTACAAAAAAACAATGTTTTTTTATTCTAGGAGATGGGCTGAGGTGCATCTGGGTAGACTCATCTTTTTAGTATTTTGTGCTTCTCTCAAGTACCAAACTAAATTATTCCATTGAAACAACACTTCGATTTAGTGCGAATTCGGTTTAATGCGACCTCTCTCGGAACTCGTGTTATATCGACGTTCTACTGTACTGGGACGAGGATACTGTCTTAACTACCTCTGTGTCCTTTTATCTATTGGTTCTAGTTGTTGGTGTTCTAGTTACTAAAACTAAATGTTTCTTACTTACAGAGAAAGTTTGATTTAACAAAGATTTTTTTCCTTATTCTTATTGTTTTTTGTTTTTGTTTTTTTGTTTATTTTGTTTTTTTTAGGTCACCATATCCAGAAGTAACCTACCAAGTCTTCTGAAAGCTGCTCAGTGGTTAGGTGTTAAGGGACTCGAGTCTACTTATGACAACTTTAGCGACTTATCTCAGTTTTCTGGTGAACCTCACCACTCACATGAAGAGGCCACAGGATCTCCGTTTCGTCAGTTATGGAGACAGCTAATATCTGCAGTAGCAAATAACAGAGAAGATTCTGGAAATTCTGAATCTGTGACAAATGTACTGCAACAGGTTGCAAGAAAAATCGTGGAACAAGGGAATACCCTTAATAATAATATGATAATATCTAATGTTGCATCATTAGACCCAAACATAGAAATTGAAGATGATTTTACTGAAATGAAACCTAATGCTGGTGTAGAGCAGGTCGGTCATTTTAGTAGCGACGACAAAGCTAACTTTCTACCTTCACCTTTCTCCTTAGGGAGCATCCCAGAGGATTTTCTTGATGTTCAGGTTAACTCGAGTATTGCCAGTGAATACTCATTTGAGGGTTGGGATGATGCAACTGATTTAAATAAAAGTGAGATTTTACTGAAATTGAAGAAAAAAACCCTCACAAATGAAGTTGAGATTGATCCTACATATCTTTCAAGTGAAGCACCAGGAGGAGAAGTCGGGAAGGTAGGTTTGTAAAGTATTTATATCTTGTAATTCTTGTTATTATAGTATACATTATTAAGTGAGATGAAAGAGGTTGTTAGCTACTTAGATAATGGAGAATGATTTCCTAAATTTTAGATACATAGAATAAAGATACTGAAAGTGAGTACAGTAAAAACAGTTGTGATTTTGCCTGCATATTTGTACAAGAGTACTGTACCATATTGTGATTCAGGAATGCATTTGTACATATTATATACAGATACAGTATGTGTTTATGTCATCAGCAAGACCACCAGTTTTTGACCATTTTCCACATTAGCAAGGGTTCTTTAACGCTGTGAGGAAGTATGCTTAGTGTTCATATATGATGTCTCGACACTTCACAGAAGCTTTTTACTTTTATAACTGACATGGGGATTGAGTAACTTCATATAGTCAAGAAGTCTTTAGTGTTGACTCCAGACCCCAAACTTGTGATTGGGACCTAAAACTAAAGTACAGTATACATTAAAAACAAAATGATTATCACCCCCATCCATCACGCTTCATTATAGTTTCGCCGCTAAATATAACATGAGATACAATACTGTGATCTGTTCAATAATTTGTTGATGGCAGTAAAAGTGCTTTTCCACAATGACTGATACTCCTAGTTTAATGTGGTCATCCCTTGCCCTGGAGTTTCATTGTAACTTGCAATGTTTCATATGTCTTTTGGGACTCATGGGTTACAATTAGAATTTAAATAACTTAAGTTTTGTTGCTGAATTTAATAAATTATAAAATGACTAAATAAACTAAGAAAAATTAAAGTCGGTGGTACATTGTGAACTTGCCTATCTCACAAATTAGTGGATCCATGTAAGAGACAGCAAGGTACATTAGTCTAATTGTGGCAGCTGTAAACATTGACCTGTGATGATGAACTGTTAAGTAAAATTTCCTTCTTGAAATTACTTCTATTATTTGCTCTTACTTAGAATAAACAGTTCACCTTCCCATCAGTCAAAGTAACGTCCTTATATTTGAGGGTTAGCGACTACAGTTCTCCACTCTTAAACATTTTTGGGCTGTTTTTACCAATCCTTCAAAATTTTGTATTTCTTTGGGGACTTGGTTTTTAATTTCATTCATCCATCCTAGTTTCAGCCTTCCCTTGGCCCTCCTACCCTCAAATTTACCTGTTAAAATTTTTGTTATTATCCCTACTTAGAAGCAGTATGTCACATAAGATTTGATTTCACACATCCACGTACATAGGACCATATTTATCTTCCCATTATATATATATCTTGTAGAAAGGGGTCCTTGCATTTACCTCAATTTACATAACTTGTAATGTTGAGAAGGTAACAAACAACCTCTTTTACATAAAGCCCTAACTGTATTAATTCAGAAGTGCTAGGAAGGTAAACTATAACTTCACCTAACTTTTCTTATTGGCTGAATCTACATCATAGTTTGTTACACACTAATACTGTACAGGAATAACCCGGTTAGCGCAAGGGGTGCATGCCTAAAGGTCATTGTGATTAATGATACTGCAAATATCAGGGCAATTTACCCCATAAGAATTAATGTAAAGGGGGGGGGGGGCGAGAATGCATTCCCGGCCGGCAACTTTCACCACAAATAATACTGTATTGTATTGTATTTTTCCATATATACTCCTCATTATCCAAGGCTATTAGGTACCAGGGTCACGTGTATACTGTAGTACAGTGAACCCTCACTTTACGCGGTCAATTGAACCCACAGCGGCCCTCGTAAAGTGAACAACATAACATATGGGATTAATTGAAATAGAGACCAGGCCGACCCCCAAACTCCACTTTTTCAGACACAATACCTATGTTGTAGTAAAAATAACTTCTTAATTTTATGATGGATATGCACACATTATTAATAATTAAGAGAAATATCAAGAATATTAGGTTTTTTAACACTTACATTAGTAAAAACGATGGTTGGGGTTGGTTCCGAGGCAGAGGGCAGATTATTGGCCCTCACCTGTATCACTTGTATCAATTGTATCACTATCCACCACAGAGGCTTGCAGGGCCTCTTTGTCAAACCCCTCAAAGTCCATGTAAGTCCATATCCTCACTATCATTATCACTATCACTGACTTGGGCCGGCTGTGGTGGGTGGCGGGTGAAGAACTCGGTAATGTTTTGATGACTGGGCGACCTTGTGCGCACCCTCCTCGCGCTGCTCTCCGCGTAAAAGGGTACACGCACCGCGGAAAGTGAGCATTCCGGTTTCGGCAGGGTACCGCGTAAACGTGGACCTGCGTAAAGTGAAACCGCGTAAAGCGGGGTTTACTGTACTGTACAGTACTAGTAAATCTTAGAAATACAGTAAATAAAAATTGTACGAATAAATAAAATAAAATAAGTATACCACATTGCCAGTTGACAATAGTTTCACCCCACTCCCGCTCCCCCCCTTCCACTCCCTCGATCACACACTAACTCCTGCGGAAATAAGAAATAATCATCTCTATGTTTTTTACCTTATGATAATCATTTCCTTTATTGGCACATTCTTTATGAACAATTACAGGTGTATGTAATAAAGTAAAAGAAATTGAATAAAAATACATACATCTTCTCGAAATTATGAGTTGAAAAGTAACAACAACTCAAATCAAAGTTGGCCCAATAGGGGGAGAGGTAAGGTGATGTAGTGATGGTGGTTGGCGACCTCCAAGTCCACACACACACACACACACGTGTTCATTACGTCGGGCCTTACTTTGGCTTACTTCGCACGAGCGAGTGTGAAATGGACCTTACGTCGGAATATGAGAAGCTGCGGCTAGCCCTCCTGCTTTGAAATATTACCGTAGGGTATTGTAATTTTTCATTTGCGAATATCAAGTAAGGGTGTTAAAATATAAATTGCAGATAAATGGGGTTGCGAATAGCGAGGTATTCCACTGTATTATGTACAAAAACAAGTGATAAGATTTAAAAAAAAAACCTGAAAACCTTATTTAACATATCTTATTGGCTGAACTAGATCTTTGTGGTTAAATAGTAATGCTGTATGCTGACCAAAATACAGTTGATATAAATACAACTACTATAGGGTATAGTAAATTGTGCATCTACTTCATCAGCAGCAGTGTACACAATTCAGTATTTGCTTTTTTTTGGCATGGCTAGTTTATATTCAGAATGGCAAACAATTTTGAAAAATTTTACATACCTGTTATTATTATGTGAACCATACTGGGTAGCAGGTTATTATTATTATTTTTTTTTTTTTTCTCACAGGAAAATGTTGAGTGTGAGGAAACCAACACCAAGAGAATTCTTCGATGCAAGCATTGTAAGAGAACTTTCAAGGTTCGGGTAGAACTGGCAAAGCATTTACGCCTACATCATGATTCTCAACAGAAGTTTTGCTTTTCCTGTAATAAGGAATTTGTTACTGCAAAGAAATTTAATCTGCACATGAAGCTGCATGGTTCTGATTCTTTGTATACCTGCAAACTATGTGATTTCATCACTCATAATAAGAGGACTCTGGGTAAACATATTCGGACACATAAAAATGAAGACTCTGGCTCTGTTCAAACTAGTGCACAGGAAGAAGCTTTAAAATTTTTGGACAAACACTTGATGACTGAAATAAACCCCCCAGAGAGAGTTTTACCCTCAAAAACAGTGAAAGTCGAATCCCAGGAAGAACTTGACCAACACACAGCCTCAGACTGTGCACCAATATTGATAAAGACAGGGGGACACAGATGTTCCCTTTGCACCCTTATGTTCACTAGAAAACGTAGTCTAACAGATCACATGTGTAGACACACTGGCATTTACCCATTTTGTTGTTCTTATTGTTCTTTCAAGTGTACAAGAAATGGCACTCTTCAGTTACATGTTAAGAAAAGACATCCAGATGTCTGAAGTAATAAATACTGAAGTCTATGCTACAGTTTTGCTACTGTTGAGAAAAAAGCTTCGTGTTTTTGGTGTAATGCACTACTGATTTTGCTGCACTTAGATTAATACTCCAAACTCCTAATAGCACAAATGTAATTACTGAGGACTGGTGTAAGTTTGCATCATTTATATCAGTGGTTCCCAAACTTTTCAACTTCATGGACCAGCGGAGTGAAAAAAAATCTGCAGACTAGTACTGTAATTGTAAATATTCTATAATTACAATATACAGTGGTTCCTCGGTTAACGAACACAATTCATTCCAGAAGGTCGTTCGTTAACCGAAACCATTGTTTCAATGGGATTTTGGGTAATTGGTTCCAGCTCACTGAAAATTACATACAAAGTAAAAATAAATGCAGTAAAGTACACTTACTTTGAGGTGTGCATGTAGAAGGCTCCTGGTTGATGATGATGGGAATTATAATGGGGGTGGAGGAGAAGGGAGAAGAGAAGTCACCCCATGCCGCCATTTCACCCATACAATTTTAGTTCACTTGGTGTAATTCAAGATTATTTTCTTTAGATCAACACTGCACTGCATTATATATTGTCAATATGCAAAATAAACTTCAGAATGATCAATAATTGTACTGTAAAAACATAAAAATAGTTTATGTTCAAGAGAGTCTGAAGCAAGATGCTTCCTCCTCTGAGCAGGGACACACACTGACACCATTTTGGGTGTGTTGAGTGACTGTTTGGCACGCTAAAAACTAGTTCCCTGTACTTCAATTATGTTAGATAATTGTTAAAATGACTAAACACTTTAATATAAGACTTGGAAAATTATTGAATAGTACAACCTTCTTGATATTTACTCAAATGTTAACGAATTTAAGCCCTAAAACCGATTACTGTATTGGCGGACTAATACTCCAGCTGGTGAGCAGGCGAAAACATGTTGGGAAAAATTCGTAAGGAATTCGTTAACCCAAGTGAAGAATCTTATGGAAGGTAATTCGTTAACCGAGGCGTTCGTTAACTGAGGCGTTCGTTAACCAAGGGATCACTGTACATATTGTACTCCATGTACAGTAGATCCATGGTATTTCATGGGATTGGAACTGATAATTACAGGGAAATATTGTTTTTGCTATACAGTTGTACCCCACTTAACGCGGTCAATTGAACCCAGAGGGTCCCGCGTTAAGTGAAATCCGCGTTAAGTGAACAACAGAACATATGGGATTAATTCCAATAGAAACCGGCCCGACCCCCAAACTCCACTTTTTGAAGGCACATACCTATGTTGTAGTAAAAATAACATCTTAATTTTATGATGGTACATGCACACAATTAATACTTAAGAGAAATACAGTCGCCAAGTTAATGTCCATTCAAATAATGGACTCAACTCCCTCCCACTCTCACACTACACTGCCAGCTCTTCCCTCTCAGAGAAATTTTTGGGGGAAAACCACTAAATTTTAATAAATAATACCTCAGATTAAAGTTAGGATAATATAATTGACATTGCTGGATTCCTTGTAAGACCAGGAATATTTTGAATATAAATGTCATATATTTTGCACAAAAGATAACATAGTTACCTAGAGAAAAAATTTTATCTAAAAATTGTATGTTTAATGCAAAATATATGATATTTATATTCAAAATGATCACCAAATTATAAGAATTCCAGCAATGTAAATTATATTCTGACCGGGTAATTTGTATGAATTTTATGAGCTAAAACAAATATCTTCAGTTAATAAAAAAAAAAATAATCTTCACAACACTATCTGTCAATCAAAGTACCCCACCTTGCCTCCCCCCCTCTTCCAACCGCGCGGTCAGTCCCAACCCTCCCCCCCACCCCCCACCAATCCTCCCTTCCAGAGTTTTTAACATTTAGTATTAAATAATACCTCAGATTAAAGTTAGGATAATATAATTGACATTGCTGGATTCCTTGTAAGACCAGGAATATTTTGAATATAAATGTCATATATTTTGCACAAAAGATAACATAGTTACCTAGAGAAAATTTTTTATCTAAAAATTGTATGTTTAATGCAAAATATATGATGTTTATATTCAAAATGATCACCAAATTATAAGAATTCCAGCAATGTAAATTATATTCTGGCCGGGTAATTTGTATGAATTTTATGAGCTAAAACAGGCAGGGTGGCGGGTGGGGCAAATCTAAAAATAGCGTCTCGAGCCGGACACTCACTGCTGCGTATATGTGGAAAAAATCCGTGTTAAGTGAAAGTTCAGCTCTGGCGAGGCACCGCGTATGTGATAAAACGCGTTAAGTGAAACCGCGTTAGGCGGGGTAATACTGTATACAGTATCATTCTACAATGGGGAAGATGAAGTATGGAATCCCTCCGAGTTGAATAAAATTGACTGCTGTTAGACAAAATATTAAAAGTGGCATCCCCATAGTGAAGGGGTCAAGACATTTACTTCAATAACATTGATAACAGCTGAAAAGTGAGGCTTCACTGTAATATGTACTGGTGCAAACCGTATATTCCTGTTTTCTGATACTCTCTACACAGCATCATTGGCAATTATAGTTAAAAGTAATAAATTGAAATAAAGCCGAGAGGAACCTGCAACAATTAACCCCTGACTTATTTGCTAAAGACTAAATTGTCATCTGCCAGGCCAACCAGGAATTAGTTGACAATTGCCACAGATTAGATATAAATTAAATTTTAACAATTAAATGACCACAGTAAAGTATTGTTATTAATGACTGTAAAGTTGCTAAGAAATTATAAACAAAATAAGCAACAATAAAAAAAAAAGCGGTGGACAGGTAAATTTTACGCCACCGACTGGCACTGGTCTGCAAACCATAGATTGGGAACCACTGGTTTGCATAACGAGAGATCTTGAATTATAATTTTCAGTGTTTGCTTGTAAAATGAATTAAGGAACCATCCTAGTCTATACATACCCACTGGTCCCTACTAAGTTGAAGATTCATCAAATTACAGTACATGTATTGAATAACTTTGTGCTGTGCTGAATTAGATGGTTTCTTCTCATCTAATTTTCTACACCATGTAGCTGGCCTAATGGTATAAAGAGAGAAGTTCCTTCATCCATTTACAGTTTGTAAAGTCACTTCCTCTTATTTTCTGTGCTTCATTTGCATTTCTTTACTGTCTTTGGATTTAGCTCAGCCTTATTATTCCATATGCCTGCCATCTAATTCATTTCATGTTTATCATTATCATTTTATGGTTATTTTCCACACTTGGGCATTATAGAAGTACTGTACAATAATCATGCAAGATTACCATTTGCAGTTATGATTACCAAGACAACCAAAAAGTCTTGAATTAGCTTCTCTCTCTAAGAATTTTAACTTCCCTTCTTTTCAAGAATCCTTTTAGTACATAAAATTTTATTTTGGGTTCAACTAAACTGTTCAAGTGGTAATTTGTATGTTGCTTGGGTATTCAGGCAACACAGATTATCCTTTAAGAATAGGTAAAGGCAGCATTTGTTATTAAAAGAAAACATTATGGTCAGTAAGAGTACCCTGGCAGAGCTGAGCCTGCTCGTTTAATCGGTGTAAGGTAAGTGAAAATTTACATAACATTAAAGTACCAATCCCATCAACATCTACACCATCATCACTATCTCAAGTTTCATCCCAATAAAGCCTCTCTCACCCCTCCTACAAATGCCCATCTCTACATGCAAGCCAGTCCCAGGTTTCAATTTAAGTGTTTATTAAAATTTTCAGTATTTTACCGAATTTTGTCATCTATTTCTTTTATCGTAAATTAAGTGATTTTAGATGTACTGTATATAAGGACTTAGGCTATGATATAGTGGGATTTTAAACATTGTTATGTAAGAACGGTATGCACATAGCATATGTTCCGACTTGAGAACGTCCTCAGGAATGGAACCCGTTCGTAACTCGGGGACCCTGTGCTATAAAAACAATACAAAAGAACTGTGTGTGTGTGTGTCACACTTGTAAATTAGTGTACACATTTAAACTACAGTAGACCCTTGCCATTTGCGATTTTGATGATTCGCAGTAAGCAGATGGTGTTTTACTTGCAAGCCTTTTCCCGCAGCACGAGTCATCCCTCGCAGCATCTCATGTTGTATTCTCAAAACTTTGGTGTTTCTGTGTGAAATGGCCCTAAAAGACTGCCTAGTGTCAGCGCTAGTGATGTGAAATGTAAAAGGCAAAAGTCTGTGATGACTCTGACAGAAAATTTTATTATTAGATAGGTTAAAAGAGGGGACGAGTGCTTCCGCAGCTGGTCAGTCGTATGGTACAAGTATACAGTAGTGCACTGAGGTAGTATAAGTTGCAATTTATGGTTTTGCCAATTCATGCCATTTCTTGGAACCTATCCACCACCAATGGCAAGGGTCCACTGTAGTGTTTACCATTGCCATATGAAGAATTCTACTGTAGAATGCTCTGTGTTTTTTCACACCATGGTTTGGAAGTACAGGAGTGGGGCAAGTGTCTCCCACGCGTGTGCTCCTTGTCAACGGTCCTATTGAACTTCATCAATTTCTAAACTGAGTGGGTCTTAATGTCATGGAAAAAAAATACGCTCATGTGAAGCGGGCTTACAGCAGAATACTGTATGAGAGCTGTGGCTAGCCCATGCAATTTTAAACATTACTGTAGGGTATTGTAATTTTTCTTTGCGAATAAGCTGGGCATGCTTTGCAAATATCGAATAGGAGTGTTAAAATATCAATTGTGGATAATAGGAGTTGCAAATAGTGAGGTTTTCCTGTACAATCCTTTGCTTTATGTATCTATCACAATTTGACTTGATTATACAGTACTGCACTAATCCTTTGGCAGAAATAATGATCAGATTACCAATTTAATGGTTTGTTTAGTGCTTTTATCCTATTCTTGAAACACCTTTTCAAAGTGTTAAGACGAACTTTGCGATATTCACAGTACAGTTTACTTAGAATTTTTTCATGTATTGAAGATTTTATTTTCAAATATGAAATTTTCAGAAACAATTACAATACTGTATTGTAATAATACAAGTAAATTTATCCATGATATATATATCATTATTATTGTGTGAAAACAGTACTGTAATTATTAATTTTAATGTACTCTTTGTGAATTTATACTCTAATGCTTTTACCCATTACTGTATTTGTAAATACATTAAATAATTTGTTAAAAAAATTTGAAGGAGGTTAGCCTCATGTATCCTCATCCACTGTGTTGCATGCTGAGTGATGTCATGTGGACCCCAACCAAACTAGATCTATTAGGACTGGAGCTTAGTCCTGTGAGATCCTAATCCTAATTGTTAGATCAGTCCCATTTGATATACCTGTATAACTGTGTGCTGTACTACATAATCTAGTGCTGTAAGTGCAAGGAATAGACTTTTAACTCATTCTGGATAATTACCTTTGTTGCTAAATGTGGGTCTCAAGAGTTTAGGCTAGCTGGCATTGTACTCAGCCTCTACTACTCCACCTGTAATAAGTTAGGCACCCATTCACAACCTAGTTGACTGGAAGTAACAGGAGACAAACATTGCATCCATTTAGTCATTGCACCCTTTGTTGATACCGGTATACTATCTACAAAGTTACATATTGTATACTGTATTTAGTGTATAAGTTGCTAGAATCAAAATCCCAATTGACAAATAAGTAAAAAGTGATAGGAGTTTCCCAGTACTGTACTGTACAGTATGTGAGGTGCTTCATGTAAATAAAGCAAAGAATTAGTTAATGCTGGAGATGGAGAACATGTTGTTATATTGTTTTTAATGTTGAATTTCATGGTGTGTACCAAAAAATTGATGGGCAGCTGCATTGAGATGGCCATATTACATAGCTGCATCAAGTAAGCTATCAGTGGAAACGCTTGATTTTTTGTGAATTAATATGCTATAATTATCATGTTATTTTATCCATATATGAAGTAACCATGTTATTACAGGTAAATGTATTTTAGTTTGTTAGAGCATCAATATTGTAACTACTGTATTGTATTGTGGAAGTTTAAATACATTAAATTTTAATTAATTTTTTTTTCTATATTTATCAATTAGAGTACATTCCCCAACAAAGAAAAATAAACAGTTTTATCAAGTTTCATAAAGAAAATTTTAATTTGTTAGAAGTGTTAACAAAATATATCCCTTGGAAATGTGCAGATTTTTTTTTGTCATACAATTTGTACAGAGGACCAGACAGCTCATTTTGTCAAAAAAAACCCTGTGGGTTGACACCCCTTTCTTGTGTGGCTGAGAGAATTAAAAACATCCACCAAAATTAGAAAACTTAAAATAGCGTCTACCCGGTAGTAAGTTGTGGTCTAACGGTCTTTGTTCGCTATAATGAGCACATGCTCTGTAATTTAAGCCATCAAAATAGGATGAACATTTGCAACTCACCTTCCATTCCCAGATATCTGTAATGTATTATCATAAGTCCTCGTTTAACACCGTGGTTATGGTCTTGAAAAAAAAAACTACGTTAACGGAAACAACATTAACAGAATAAATTTCCCCCATAAGAAATAGCTAAAATACGCTAGTTGCGTTCCCCAGCCTCTCTGCCCCATAAAATATATTACATATACAATACATAAATTCAATGGAATTTTTATAGACAATATATATTATACATTCAAAAAGATAAACTAAATCATTTTGTATTGTACTCACTGATGGGCAGAGGTGGAGCGGGTGTGTGGCGAGTTAAGAGCCTCCATTTTCGTAGCAAGGCGAATGGTCTTGCATTGCTGCTTCACAACACTAGCATCACTAACACTTGATGGGCGCTTGGAAGCCATTATGGTTACAGTACAGTATTTATAGCAAAAACACTTAAACAGCACATACGTTGTGGAAGCCTAACAAAAACTGGGGACGCCGTGATGCTCCGTGAGAACGTAGCGCGCCAAAATGAGAGGGTGATGCGCCTTACAAAGCAGTCCGTGATGACGTTATAACGATTCGGTCGGGACGTCAGAATTATGGGTATCTAAAGAGTAGCGACGTTATAATGAAACAACGTCCGGGGCAATGTTAAATGAGGACTTACTGTATAGATATGTTCCAAGAGTCATTACAATTACTCGATGACTTGGATGGTAGTTAGCCAGCAAGCTAGAGGTTGAGAAAAGGGCCAATTGCAAGAACGGTTATGGGGTGTACGACGCCATTTACAATGACCTTCTTGCCCTGGTCTTTTTCAGAAATATCGCCTTTAGCACATGAATTCTGCACTTTTCGAAGCTATGGAGGAGTCTCGAAACAAGTTTCCTGGTGGGAATTATTAGCTAGTGCTGTACTCAAAATATCGAAACTTCGAGATCTCTCCAGAGTTTCAAAAGGGTGGTATTCCTGAAACAAGATCAGGGCAAGGTCATCGTAAACTGCGTGGTACACCCAACGACTGTTCTTGCAATTGGCCCTCAGCACCAACTAGCACTGCATCATCACATGTATGGTAACTCGGCTTATTTATCAGATTCAGGTTGTGGCCTAAGGCTTCTATGTGGATATTCTGGGTCCCTTTGATGGTAGAAATGAAATGTAAGTAAGATTAATTTCTGAAGAGCAGTCATGTTGTCCTACTAAAGGGTATGCAAGATCTTCACATATGTTATCTTTCTAGGGGGTTCTTTTATGCTCCCTTTTCCCCAATCATAAGGCAGTGCAGAATCCTTCCAAGGTTATAGCTACATTGTTTAATCGAATCAGTTGAGTAATTTCTACCTATCTTCTAATAAGTTTGAGTTACCTCTCAACCAACAGTGTCGATATCCACCATCGGCTGGCAGTAACATATACTGTAGTTTCTGAAGTACAGCAGAGTTCCTCATTGATGCGTATTAGGGACCACAAAAGCTTGTAATAACAGGAAGCCTTAATTGCATAAAAATAATTTCATTAAAAAAATAGGAATTGGGGCTGAAGGACACAGAATATAGGCACACTACACCACATTGAGCTGAAGGACCAAAATTACAGGCACAATACACTACAAAATGCACAATAACTGTGATAATATTACTGTATAGTATGAATGTAGTGATAAATTAGCCAGTGCAGTGCTGGGCCAGTAGAGGGTGTCTGGTGTATACTAGTTCCATCCTGTTCTGGAAAATTGCTGTACAGATTAATTTTCTTTTACAGATATTTAATTTTTCAAACAGTACAGTGTACTGTATTATATACTGTACAGTACAGGTAAATGAGGAAAATTGGACAATCAGCAACTGGCTTAGAAACTATGTACTAATGGTACTAGGAGTGAGGAGTATTTTACCAGTACAATATGTGGTGAATGTAAACTTAATAACATTGCAAGTTAGAAAATAATGAAACAGGTACTCCTCGACTTACGACCATCTGGACACACGACTGCCACAGTCGTATAAAATATTTTTCAAATTACGTATCTTCGAGTCCCGACTTTAGTGATCGCGCTGTGTACTGACAAAATTTTTGTTTGTAATTCCCTTTAAAATGGCTGGCAAGCGTAAAAGTGAGAGGTCTCGTGGTGCGGAGAAGAAAAAAAAAGACACCCATTTTAGATTTTCTATATTATTTTCGACTTACGGCCTGGTCGTCAGTCCCTAACCCCTTCGTAGAATGACTGTACTGTAAGCATACTGGTGGTAGTAATTATAAAAAAATAAAAAAATCATAATTTTGGGGTTTTCACTTGTAAATCAGTGTGGTAATTTTTTTTAACTGAATTCTTTTCAGTAAAACCCTATAAACAGGGGCCTGCCTGTACAGTACACATAACTATAGTGTACTGTACATGTGCATGCATGTGCAATATTTTTTTCATATATCAGCAGTATCTTCCAAGACTGAACACTTATTATTTATTTAGATCAGTGAATATAAATTCTTGAGTTAATCACTTGCTACAGATAAAGAAAGGAAAATAAATCAATGTTTGTTCTGTAGCCATTTTCATATGCCCATTTTCTTCTGATATAATATTTTTTCCTGAGCAAGTACAGTATAAATAATTGCTAGCTGATACAAAGATTAAGCAAAAGTGATTAATCAACACAGCCAGTTTACTCTTTGTGCATTCTTAAAAAAAAAAAGAAAAAAAAAAGGTTTTACATTCACATAATAGAGCAATATAAGTGAAAAGATTAATTTTTCTTAACGTTCCTTTGTGGAGTTCTTTGTACCTTTCAAAGTTAAGGTTGCTAAACAATATAGACATGTGTTATCCCATTTAAATCAACTGACAGGAAAGAGATATGTATAATATTTTACAATGGAACACAGGTGAACTGTGAGGAGGCATTTAAATAATGTGGAAGTGGTTATTCATTTGTTTCACTCAACATTATTTGCTTGTGAGGACTGGTGATGCTCCTGTTCTATCCCTTTAGTCAGGAAGGATTATGGCTGATAAGTAATAACTTAAGGATAACATTAACATATTTGTCTATGGCTGATAGATAATAGATTGCTAACTCAACATTTAATCCTTTGTTTATAGCTGATAGATTACTCCATAGTCATCTATATCTTTGGCCGATAGATGATGGTTAACACGACATTAACATTCTTGTCTTGCAGCACTGTATTGTGCTTGTGTATTATGCATGTCTTCTTCAAAGTGGTAAATACAGTGCATTAAATCCCTTGTAATTAAGGACATGCAAAGCTTAGTTGCACAAAGTAACAATAAATAGTATGTAAACTCACTTTCTGTACACACTAAAAAAACAAGTCTAAGAGGTAGAAGTAGTTTATAGGAATAAAATCTGGTTTTATAACTAACAATCCAAATTGTATTCATCATCATATTTACTTCTTTAAAAGCAACATCATATATTGCTATAAAACCTCACAAGTACACAATTTGGGCATAAATATAACATCTCTAAGAGAAATAAAAATATTCCCCTGGCTATGTTCATGACAGTAACACTTAAGACCTTCTCCACAATAAAAAGTATTTAAATTTTATTCCAAAACAATAACAATCAAAATCATTAATATTTCAAATTATAATTGTTCTTCATATACTGGTGAAGCCTTAAAAAAAAAAAAGCCATTGGTGTACATAAAAGGTGATTGAAAAGCAGTGGAGTGCTCGTCTTAAATCACTGTACCAATAAATATCAAAGTTCTTATTAAGCAGTATATCCTCACATTTACTTATAATTTACTGGTTTTACACAAGTAGACATGAAGTGTGTCAAAATTTTCTTGGCACATGACAGTAAAACATTTGAAAGTGTAAAGTTGGGCCCTATAGAAGAGATCCTCTGTATATTGCCTGTTTGTGTTACGAGGCAACTAAGAGTGTAACAGAGGTGAAGGCCTCTGGGCTTGATGCACCTGTTCCACACTAGTGATTTGATAATGGAGTAAGGTTGACAGATAAGATACTGATCACAATATTTTAGTCCTAAGTTTTCTTCCTGAAACAGTATTCCATAAAAAAAGAAGAAAGCTTCAGATACAGAAGACACAATTCAGCCACAAATTTCCCTAGTTTACCCTACAAATATATTATAAAAGATGCAGTCTAAGAAAAAAAAAGTACAAATCTTGAGACAAATTCCATTTACATAAACAATTGAACTATATTTCTTTGTCTTAAGCAAGGGGCTGTAATATTCTATTTCTAATGTGTATTACAATACAATGGATATTTCTGTTCTTTATATTTTTCATATTAGCTGGGAACCTAAGTACTGGCAGACAAAAATCTGCTGCAATCACCAATGAGGACTTGACAAATGGATGGTGTGCTGAAGGACCTGAGTAAGCATTACTGGCAGTGGAACTTTAAAGTGGATCTTCTTGCTCAGTTTGCAATGTTGCCCCAACTAAGTTCTGTTTTCCCCCTTAAAAATTCTATGATACTCCACAAAGTAACTCTTGATGTTGAGAATTCTTTAAATTATTCAATAAAACTATCACAAACAAAAATAAAACTCAACAGCAAGTATCCTGGTTGGATAGATAATAAATTTCAAACAATGAATGACTAAAGGCAGTGAAAACAGGCACATGAAATTAAGATGCTATTTGAAATATAGTCAGTCTCACATGGACTAAGAATACATAAAATTAACCAATCTTACACTTTATCTACAAACATCACTTCAAAGAATGGTGAAACATAGGTGTATGCAGAAAAAAGCATAAAAATTATTATTATTATTAACTGTATTAACATATCATCATTACATTCTTTCACACAGTCCTTCATGAGACAGTTTGGGCAGTACTCACGATAAACACCCTAGTCAATGAAGACACCCAGTTTATGCTTGTTGTACACTAATACTATGTCGGGTGTCAATCTTGCACTTCCTGGCACTCGCTGAACATCTGTATATCTTTAATGATAAGGTATTACGTACTACATATTTAGTTGATATGAAAAGAAAGTGGAATCTACCATAATTTGTGGTGAAAGCATCACATACGAGTGAGTACATCATCAACATAACAATTGACTCGAGTGCATCTCCTGAATATAGTCCTAGATCATCTTGGAATCGCAATGTGCTGAGTCCCGTTGAGATGTTTGGCAATGGTGTTTTGCTTATATCACCACTTTTAATAAGGTTTATGTTACTCGATAACTTTTCACAAATCCGTACACACAAATTTTTTTACAATAAATATATCTCTATGACCAAACAGTGAGGCTCCACACTTTGCGACCCTAGAATGAAAGTCTTGTCTGGAAGGGGAAAGCATTAGGACTATCACATATGAAACTAGCACATCTGACTGCAAAAATATTTGTGGCAAGGTCAGTGACTCATGAACCATAGGTGGAGCCCCAGGAATGATCACATTACACCAACATCTTCATTATCTACAACCTGTTTAATAAAAAAATTTCTAGACCTTTATAAACCAGGATTTCATTATCAACATGATATACTAAAATCTCTTATGAAGAACCAGGTTCACTACTTTGGATTATAATCTTCACTGACCAGAACCTTTTAATGAACTAGAACTTGGTTAACAGGAGTCTTTCATCAAGGACCAAGTTAATCATAATTTCTTTGAACCTTTGAATCTAATTCATCAGTCTTATCAACAGTTCATTATTTAAAATTTGAATATTGAACCAGAGTTGACAAGAGTAAATGGCACTTCCCTTCTTATCATTGTAGAACATACAGACAATGGTGTATAATTCCCACACTAAAATTTGACCCTCACTGAAGTTACACCTCTGGTGCAGAATCCCCAAACTTGACCTATTTGTTGAATGCTTCTGCACACTTGCATAAACTGTATCATCAGCACATCAACACTTTGAGGGTTTGTGTTTTTATCGCTGGGTTAGAGGGTTGTTCTATACAACCCTAGGTGCAACAGTCATTACTGTAGGCATCATTATCCTGAAAAGAGGAGGGTAATTGTTACATATCATACATTTCATCAATAAGACATTAACACAATATCTCTAAAATTTCATTATCCTTATATTTAATCAAATTAAACATGGAAATTAATTTTATACAAAGAATAGTCCACTGTACAATATAATTTACAGATTTCATAATACAGGAATAAGATATGAACCACATAGTCAGCTGAAGATAAATAATTTAAACTTCCAATTCTAAATTAGGAAATTAACTAAACTCTGTAATACTGTACATGATAATGTGTGTACAATAAAATTATGGGTCAATGTTTAAACAAAAGCCCTGAGAAACTAAAAAAAAAAAAAAAAGCACCACTAATATACAACATGAGCACCAACACCAAGTCAAACACCCATGCAGGGAGGACACAAGGCGATGAGACTACTGAGATGAGAAATTTGTATGAACATTTCTGGAAAATTAACCTGACTGAACAAATACAGAGAATATGATACTCTCCAAAAACACAAGACAGGCAAAGATATTTTGGCCATGCTAACTATTACAAAAAAGACAATGCAATCAAAATAACAATTGCCATAATAATAAAAGTTATAAGACAATAACAAAGTGTTAACAATACCAAATACCAATAAAAAAATATATAAAAACAAAATTATAAGACCATAAACACTTTTACAACTACTGGTAAACTAAAAATTTTATAAATCAAAATGAAAGGCTTTGTATGTATTTTCTGTACATAGACCAGCTTGTTTTTCAAAATAGGCAAATCAAATTCATAAATAAATAGTAAATACTCTATTAAGAATAAAAAATCAACAAAATTTATACCTGTACATGTAATTAATGGCCACAAAGATCTGACACATGTAAAATATATAGCCGACCCCCTTCCTGCCATTTTTGTGTACTGTACCCTACTACTAAATGGACAGGTGTGAATACTACTACAGTATTCCTTTACATATTCTTCAGCCAATAATGCAATATAGGAGCAAAAAACATCAATAAATGATGGTACGGGCCCTGGTGAGTGAGGAAAATAAGTAGGATCAGGAAAAATGATGGAGGAGGAAAGTGTTAGGAAGTGTGTAAACTGTTACCAATTTATCAGAACAAGCTCAAATGGAATGAACCCTTTTTCTGGAATAGATAAGAGAAGTGAGACCAATATTCTTAGATACTAATGAGAGGTGAAAAAAGAGTATGGAAAAATATTATTGACAGGATAAGCATAAAAATTAGTGATGTAGAAGGACATGACTTCTAAGATTAAGCAATGGAATATAATGTAAATGAACTAAACCTAAAAGAGATGAATGGGGACATTCAGAATACTGTACTATCTAAAGAGAATTCAAAATGCCAATTGTTGGGCTTTCAAACCAAATTACGAAAATCTTGAAACTTTTTAGTAAATTCGCCAACAAATATCTTGCAATATGTTTTGATGTCTATTGCAGAATACCTGTAATGACTCTAATAAAAATTAAATATAAATAAAAGCATAATACAAACAAGATTCTTCTTACCTTAAGAAGAAGACTGGTATTCCATGAAGAATAAGTCTTCCATTTCACCCCCTCTATACCACATAATTATACACTACACTGCATATTATTATCAGCAAGCAATCAACATTGCTACCAGTCACATACTCCTCACCACTGCTACCTCCAACAGGCTCTACCATTATGTCATACAAAACACAGGTAAAGAAAGAGTGCATCATGACTAAAACTGGACAGACTAAGACAAAATTAAGTGCAATGCAGGAAGTACAGTATGGAGAAATGAGACAAATGATTGGCTGAGACAAATGGGTGGAGCCTCAGTCTTTACCACTACAACATACAGTATCAGAGTACTGTACTGTTTAATTCTGTGACACACAGTAGACGTTCTAATCCCAGGAAAAAACTACAGGTATTAAATGTTTCAAACTGATTAGTGTAATGCTGTATGGACATTTTTGACATCATATGTATCTTATAGTAATGAACGATACAGTAGAAATAGTAAATGTACGAACAAAAGCTGAGTACAGTCACATAAGGGCATGAAGGGCATCGTGCATATTTTAGAAAAGAAAGGAATACAGCATAGAATAGACACAAGTACAGTATACAGTACACGCAACATTTTTTAAAATACTTTAGTATAACTGATGTATTCATTAAACTCTGCCCACTTTTTTAGTGTATATCCCTACCTACTGTTACAGCTCAAGAGATGATGCTTACTAAACAAATTGTACTGTCACATTCAACTACAATTTAATAAAAATTCTCAACAGTAAAAATATATATACCACCATGCTGTGTGTACTATTCCAGATGATACTAATTGTTACATAATACTTCCTCGAGATAAATGTACAGTATACCTGTATATCAGGTGCCTACAAGAAAGCTCAACTGGCTCAGCTATGTTAATAGTGTTATTATTATCAACTCTGTATCTGTATTTATCTGGCTAAATAAACTGTTTAAATCAATTGATCAATATAGCTAATATTTAAAACTTAAAATATTCCATGTGAAAATTCAAAGTGAAAAAAGATGTCACAAGATGTTGATTCATCTGAAAGGCTTGCAGAGATTTCCTTGGTCATGAGAAATGTGCTGGACCACTGACTGGGCAACTGACAGAGCAGTGACTAAATATGAGAAAAACAAGCAGGAGTAAAAATACTAGAAACATGGAAGTATAAAACATACTGTATTCAGATAAAACATAAACAAAGAAAGAAAAATGATAAGTCAGGGAAGAAACAGAGGGGGGAAATATACTATAAAAAAAAGTCTTATGCAGTAATCATTCACCAAACTATAAAATGAATGGGCATATTAATGTATCTGGGGATCATGTAAAATGGAGATGAAGTTTGGGAAAAAATGCAGAGGAATGGAAACATATCTCAGACACATCTACTTCAAAACCAAGTCAACCAATATGAAGCATTCAATAAATGGAATAGCGCACTGTAAATCATTATTGTCCCACTCTATTACATTCATACACTAATGTTGTTGAAAATTTCATGGTTATTTTCTATTCTTTATTACAAGAAATAATCCACCTGTTCTATATGATGCAAACAAATGGATTAAAAAGCTTCATATGTACAGTCAGACATCTTATAACAGAACCTCATATAACGCATTTTCATTTAACGGGCAAAAAAAAAAATATTCAATTAATAAATACAATACTAAGTACATACACTGTACAGTACTATTAAAAATAAAAACTCGCCTAACAAAACCAACAAGCCCATCAACAATCATCTTTATTTACATCCTCTAAGACAGGCATGGGCAACCTTTTCTCAGTCTTGGGCCGCATTATATATCCTACCTAACCCAAAACATGGGCAAATCCAGGAATCTCAAAAGGAGGGGCTCCAAAAAGTAGTGGGTGGGGGAACATGGCAAGTACAGCGAGCTCACCCAGCTGGGGTTAGTGGAGCGCTGCCACCCCACCCCCCCCAGATTTTTTTTGGAAATTTACCAATATCTTGGGTATTTTGAAGGATATTAACAGATATTCTGAGGTCAATAGTAATTATTTTTTACTATAGAAAAACGCCTGAGTACAATACTGCTTACTCTGGGTAAGTTCACTCAAACACAGGTAATGTAACACTCCAGGTGTCTGTTGGGTGGTTGTAGCATCAGCTACAGTGAGCAATGTGGGCATGGGTATTACACTACATCAATGCTTACCCAGAGGACAGACTGTAGTACAGTATTTAGAAATTTCTATTACCACATTAACACCGAGAAAAGTGCCCAGAATTCAGACAGTAAATGGATCCTGCACCAAAACAATATGCCTACCCATATCAGCCATTTGCCAAGAAACTATTCACTGAATAAGACATCAAAACAATGGCCCATCGCCCCATACTCACATGTTTGGCTCTTGTTGACCTTTACTTGAAGCAAAAAAATTGCTTTGAAACTGCCATCTTGACTGACATAGAATTCAATAATAAGCAAATGGGTACACTCAACACACTATCAAAAGATAGTTTCTCATAAGTGTTCAAGATTTACTCAAGTGGTGAAGTGTATGACAATTTAATTCTGTAACCGAGTGAATAGTGAAAACAACAGTACACTCAGTACAGTTGACCCTTGCCATTCACGAGGGATAGGTTTCTAGAAATGGCGCGAATTGGCAAAACTGCTAATAGCAATTTATACTACCTCGGTGCACTACTGGATACCTATACCAAATAACTGACCAACTGTGGCAGCACTCGTCCCCACTTTTAACTTATCTAATACAACTTTCTTTGTCAGGGTCATCACTGACTTCTGTCTTTTACTCCACTAGCACTGACACTGGGCAGTCTTTTAGGGGCCATTTCAAGCAGAAACACTAAAGTTTTGAGAGTACAACACGAGATGCTGCGCTGGGTGGCTCATGCTGCGGGAAAAGGCTTGCAAACTGGCCACCATCTACTTACCCCGAATCATCGAAATCACAAATTGCAAATTTGCGAATGGCAAGGGTTTACTGTATTGATTAGTGGTGTGGGTGAGGACCCATGGAGAAAAATGGTCATGTGTTGACTGTAAGACAGATGCTGATAGCAATGCAATAATGTGCAGTGAGTGTGGAAGGTGGTTAAACAAGACTGCAGGATGTTGCTGACTAAATATCCTGTACGTGCAGGTAAACATGTGTCCTTAGTAAGGCTAGAGAAACTGAACAATAATGACATATCTCTGGACTGTGTTGATGCGTTGTTACCTGGGTAACATGATCAGTGCTGGAAGAGGTGCAAGAGTCATAAGTGGCTGGAGGATGTTAAGAGAGTTACTGCCTTTATTGACAGCAAAAGGACCTTTCCTCACCATGAAAGGAAAGATGTACTGTATGCAACTATGTGAGAAGTGTGATGATGTATGACAGTGAAACATGGGTGGTGGTTAAAGAGAATGATTTATGCAGGCTTGAGTGAGTTGAAATGAGAATGGTGAGGTGGGTGTACA